TCGACGCAATGATAATACGAACATGCAGGTATCGAGCCAATCACCTCATGCATGCATTCCCAACATCATTCGGAAATTCCGTTCAATTGAGACATCCCTTTGCTTTACGCAAGCTTCTCAAGCCGCAGCCTCGGTTCCGAGATAAGAATTAATTAGCTTCCCTCATCAACCACTCAGATGGTGTGATTGGATCACTAGCGGGGAAATCTTTTCTACACTGGCTTTGGCCTCACAATTTGTTCCCTCAGATAACATGGCAGATTTTGGGGGTCATCCCAAGACAGGGAGCAGGTACACCGTACAAGATGTGGAAGATCAACTACCCCCACATTCAGGTCCACCTAGGGCCATAATCCCTGACGATGGACAGATCGTTACCCAGCGTGAACGCCAAAGTCTGATTCGGGGCCTGGACCAGCGCCATATTCAGATGATTGCCATTGCGGGTGCAATTGTATGTGAGGTTGATGTTTCTCTTCGCTTTCTCGTCTAACTATAACATAGGGAACTGGTCTTTTCCTCGGTCTTGGTGGGTCAATCGCTACTGGTGGTCCACTAGGTGCCCTGTTAGGCTACATGTTCGTGGGTATAGTCGTCTGCTGCATTCAATTTGCCCTGGGTGAAGTCTCAGCACTGCTCCCGGTTACTGGATCCTTTGTCCGACATGCAGAGGTCCTCGTCGACCCGGCGCTTTCATTTGCGATCGGATGGAACGTTGTGTATGGATGCTTTATCAGTGTTCCGAGTGAAATTTCCGCCAGTGTAGTCCTGATCCAGTACTGGACAGACATCAACGCAGCTGTGTGGGTGACTATCCTCATCGTGGTCTCTGTGGTGGTCGCTATTTCATTCATTCGCGTCTATGGCGAGATTGAGTTTATCTTCGCCATATTGAAGATCCTCCTCGTCATCTTCGTGGTTATTTTGGGCCTCGTTATTGACCTTGGTGGTGTGCCCGGTGTCCCGCGAAAGGGGTTCCATTACTGGAAAGAGCCTGGCCCGTTCGTCGAGTACATCGCCCAGGGTTCTTGGGGCCACTTCCTTGGCTTTTGGGCTGTCATGACCAACGCTGTGTATTCGTTCGCCGGCGTTGAATCCCTCGCCATGGCCGCTGCCGAAACGAAGAATCCGCGGCAAAACATCCCAAAGGCCTGTAAGAGGGTCTTTGCGCGTGTATCCCTTTTCTATCTCGCTGCCGTGCTCATTGTGGGCATGTTGGTTTCCAGTGCGGATGATCGTCTTGGTAACGACTCCGGTACTGCGGCAACAAGTCCGTTTGTTATTGCTGCTGGTGATGCAGGTATCAAAGCCATTCCATCAGTTGTGAATGCTGTCTGCTTGACATCTGCGTGGTCTGCTTCCAATCAGAGTATCTTGGCGGGAACAAGAACGCTCTATGGTCTTGCCATTAAAGGTCATGCACCTAAGATTTTCCTGCGGACTAGCAAGTGGGGAGTGCCGTACATGTGTGTATTGCTGCAGGTTCTTTTCTCTCTTCTCGCCTACATGTGCGTCTCGAACGGTGCCATGAATGTTTTCTGGTGGTTCGTAGATTTGACGGCTGCTGGTACCTTGGTCTCATGGATTACTATCGCGCTGAACCATATTCGGCTTTTGCAAGCAATGGACAAGCAAGGCATTCCTGGTACGGCCTTGCCGTGGCACAATCGGATTACTAGTGTGTACCTTTGTTACAGTGTCAAAATTAACCATATTGACTTATTCCAGGATATACCAGCTGGTTCGCGTTGATCTCCTGCGTCATCATTCTACTGACCGGAGGATTCGAGGTTTTCACGAAAGGAAACTGGGATCCGGCCTCATTTGTGTCGTCGTATCTGTATGTTTTTATTTCTGCGCATCATGTCCCCGCTAATATCCAACGCAGTGACATTCCTCTCGTTCTCTTTGCATACGGGGGTTACAAACTAATCCGTCGGACCGGGATTATACCGCTTAGCCAGGTGCCAGTGCAGCTGGCGATTGATGAAGCAAACGATGACCCGGACAATGTGCCAATCAAGAAAGACAGTGTGTGGGCAAAGATGAACATTCTTTGGGGATGATACGTTTCCTACCACAGGAAGCATCACACTTCCACTGGAGGTTCAGCTAGAGGTGGATGCGAAACTGAGAATTTATATATATTATCAAGATAACGCAATGAATACGCGATCCGAATCATGTGTTCTACACATGTGAGAGTCATGAACACCCTGACTTCGGGCCACTGCTCTGTTACCGGAGTTAACGAAACCAGCACGCATCGCCAAGGACTCGTAAAACCAATGATACAAAGAATACTATGAAGGATTTCGGATATGTGCAGTATTTTCTTTACCAGCGATTAAGTCCGACGTTGGCTGCCTCGAATGGACAAGAATCCGGAAGCCGTTTAGACTGCAAATCCCGTTATCCCCGAGGAATACGAGTGGAGGACTAGCGCCAAATCACGACTCCACTAACCTCTCGTGGATCAAACTGGACATCTATATAAAGCTTGGTCGGATGGTCGGTTTTAGTATTCATTCAAACAATTGCAATTCAGTCTTCATATTACTCTTCCCCCTTCACTATGTCAGCCTCAAACACCGGTGTCTGGCTCCTCGAAGCGGGCGGCCAATTCGTTGTCCAGGAAGCTCCTCTGTATACTCCTGGTCCAAACGAAATCCTTGTTAAGAATAAGGCTGTTGCTGTTAACCCGAGTTTGTTATTCTCTGCTTTTTATTTGATAGAACGCTAACTGGCTATGCGACAGTGGACTGGAAGATCCAGCTCTATGGTCCCCATCTACCCTTCCCAAGCAAATATCCATTCGTAAGTGACCCTGACGCAATACATGAGTCCAACTAATCAATACTTTCGCTCAGATCCTAGGCGCTGATCTCGCCGGTGAAGTCTACGAAGTAGGCAAAGACGTGACAGCATTCAAGAAAGGTGATCGCGTAGCTGGGTAAGATGCAGCAAACCCTACATCCACATATAAGCTATAGATCTAGCGCAAAGCTTACATTCACACCAGAAACGCAAACTGGTTCCTCTCGCACGAAATCCGAGACAGCGCATACCAAAACTACACAATAATCAACACAGCCGTTGCCGTCCACCTCCCGGACAACATTTCCTTCACAGAAGGAAGCGTCCTCCCCTTAGCAGTAAGCACCTCCGCAATGGGCCTCTACCCGCCAGCTCGCCTAGGTCTCCCTCTTCCCAAGTCCCCAAAGCCAGAGCCTATCGGCAAAGTGATTCTCGTCTGGGGTGGTTCGTCTAGTTGTGGATCTGCCGCTATTCAACTTGCCGTTGCATCGGGTGCTACTGTCGTTGCTACGGCTTCGAGTAAGAACCATGAGTTTGTGAGGTCGTTGGGTGCGATCGCTGTTTTGGAGTATAAGAGTGAGACTGTTGTTCAGGATTTGGTTGATGCTGTTAAGATTGCTGGGGGTAAGTTTTTGGGGGCTTTGGATGCTATTGGTGACGATCACACTTGGAAGTTGTGTGTCGATGTTGTGCTGGGTCTTGGGTGTGGAAGGGTCGTTAGTAATAATCCGAGAATTGCGGATGTTCCTGAGGGGGTTGAGGTTCTTGGTGGTAAGTTGTTCTTTTCTTTTGTGTCTTCATTGGAGGTGTGAGATGTTCGGTCATGAGGCTCATGCTGATGATTGTTGGTAGTGACTGATACCGCAAATATCGGTGACAACAAGGAGATTGTGGAGAGTGTTTGGGGGAAGTTCCTTCCTGAGGCTTTGAAGGATGGGACTATTAAGTGTGTTCCTGAGGCTGTGGTGTTGAAGGGGTTGGATAAGGTTGCTGAGGGCGTTGCTCTATGCCAGAAGGGAGTTTCGGCTGCGAAGGTTGTCGTGGAGGTTTGATTTACCCCAGATCCACTCTTGAGTCTGGCATTGAGAATGTTGCTATAGTCTGACCATAGGACAAGACAGTTGGATTCACTTTCGATTATTGACATTTACTTTTTCTTATTTTATCGCGAAGCGCAGTGATCAACATGTGTCCAGCCACTTGCTTCATAATCACGATCCTTCTCTTTCTTAAGCAGAATTAATTTCCTGAGATATAGCTGCAATCATGTAATTGAGTAGTGGCATCTAAATCCATAAAGCTCGAGTTGTGGGAACTGTAGGAGTTACCCAATATTATCAGATCTTCAGGTAGTTAGGGGAACTATACATCCTAAACCGGTTTTATGATTGACAAAAACAACTCAGAGTCCCTAACAAGGCCCAGAGTGACATGATGTGTATTATTTTCCAATAGAGCTCTATCGTGACCGCAAACAGAGCCAATGTTGCTGAGGCAGATCAAGAATTTTGATATTATTCTCGTTGATCTCAACGGATTAGTAGAGGGGTTTTAAGGTTTCATGTAAACAAACGAAAATATATATCATGGCAACGGAACTCAACAACAAGCCAAGCTTAACAGTTTTTAGCAATAGATAATAATCCAAGCGAGTGTATCATATACTTACAGGCTATCTAACATTTAAATAATATTCGAAGACATAACTAACAATCAAGGGTAAACGCATGGGATGACCGACACGTGACCTCGGGACTGTTTATCGATTTCCGCATTGAGCAAACTGTTATGGTCTTCTCTTCCTCCACTCCCAACCCTCAATTGAGGCGCCGTGGTTTTTTCGGAGCTCTGTACAGTTTTGCTTCTTTAGCGATTTGCATTTAAGTACGCCTTTCTCCTATCCCGCACTTGTTCCCGTCTCAACCGACTGGCTTCGGGTTGCCGACTGTAAAGCGGATTCTGACTTGACAGTTGCAGGGATACCAATCTTGCACCAACTTGATACCCTTAAGAACCACCACTTAATACCCTTTTTACGACTTGACGCTCGATACCCTTTGTCTGCGCACCCTCGGACCTCCGCGATACAATAATTCGACAACTGCTATAGAAAGAACGACCCGATGAGAATGGAGGCCCTTTCCCCACGCACTACGAACCAGATGATAAAGCCCAAACTTGTCATGGATCGTAAGGCTTTCGACAAGAATACTGCACCGCCAAGCGCGCAAACAAAATCCTCGTCAGCCAAGAATCACGCCGAACCGCCGCCATCAATAGTTTTGGAGCCGGAAGATGGCGGGGAGAGATACTCGATAGGCGCATTTCTAGGGAAAGGTGGATTTGCCGTTTGCTATGAGGGTACATTGGCGCGCAACGGTCGAGTGTATGCCATGAAAGTGGTAAAATCCCAGATGCCCCAGAAAAAGATGGAGGAGAAGGTATGCCAAACCTGTGGACTCGGTGGTTGACAGGGTTCTGACTTCTATTTCGCAGTTTCGGACCGAGCTTCAAATCCACTCCAAAATGCGACATCCTTTTATCGTTCAATTTTACCGTGCATTCGCCTTTGAATCCAGCACATACGTCGTCCTGGAGCTATGTCCCAACGGGTCGGTGATGGATATGGTACGGAAACGTCGGTGTCTAAGCTTGCCCGAGGTGCGACGATTCATGATCCAGCTTTGCGCGGCAGTCAAATATCTTCACAAGCGATTTGTCGCACACCGCGACCTCAAAATGGGGAACCTGTTCCTAGATCACAATATGAACATCAAAGTTGGAGATTTTGGACTTGCTGCGATGATTCTCTCAGACAAGGATGCAAAGCGACGAAACACGCTATGTGGAACTCCCAACTACATTGCTCCTGAAGTCCTTGATAAGAGCAAAGGTGGCCATACACAAAAAGTGGACATTTGGTCATTGGGTGTTATTTGCTTCGCCATGCTCACTGGATACCCGCCTTTCCAATCAAAAACACAAGAAGAAATTTACAAGAAGGTCCGAAACTTGAGCTATGTCTGGCCCAAGGAATCGGACACCAACAACTTCATTCCGGAAGAAGCGAAGGACCTCGTTACTAGCTGCTTGAACCTAGTTGATGAGGAACGGCCAGATCCGGATGACATTGTTGAACACCCATTTTTCAACATGTACGATGGCTGCATTCCGCGCCAATTGGATGCAGGTTGTCGTTACAATAAGCCGCTATGGCTCAAGGATGCTTCACCACGGGGTGATTGTATGGTGGGTGGCTACAGCCTGGATTCTGACGAAAAGCTTCGTGCCTATGTGTACCAAGTGGACGACCCCAGTCAGCGGTACCATTCCTGCAAGGCTGCTTTCTACTCTCTCTGTGGAGTTGGAAAGAAGCCCGACGGAACGGCTCGAAAATCTGTGGGAAGGAACTGCTCTAAGTCAGCCTACGCTGAGTGCGACGCAGAGGACCAGAGAGGTTTGCGCCCAGTTGTTCCGCTGACACCTGACTTTGTTTACCGATGGCCACACGATCTCGATGGGGATTGGTGTCTGTTGGAAACTTCCCGCAAGGTTCGCAGCGAAGAGTCCATGCTTGACAGCAGCACTCTGTCGCGGCGCAGTGTTGGTGTTCGCCCCAACCCCGTGGCAGCTTCACGAACCAACGCTGCCCTCCTTGCTGCCCAACAAAGGCGCATGGAGGGACAAAGTCATGCCGCAACGCTTCGCCAACAAGCTCGTGTGCCTCCTCTATCTCCCAGAAGGGCACCCGGAGTTAGCGATCCTCCTGCCTCATCCGGACCTTACCATGGCGCCCCAGAAGCAAAACCGACGCAGTCTTTGGCTACTGAGGTACCCGCTGGTGGCCTAGCGGAACGTCCCATCCGCACACGAAGGCTGGCATCAGCATCTCAAGCAACGACTCTGCACAGCAAGGAAAGGGATGCCGTTCCTCAATTAACCAAGTCAACAAGCATGCCATCAGGCCTGACTGTAGGCAAAACGCGTTCTCAGTCTCGCAGATTGGCAGCCGCTGACCAGGAGTTGCCACAGGCTTCCATCCCAACGAGAGAACGGCAGCCATCTACAATTTCCGAGGAACGCACAGCGATCACCCGCCAGACATCCCTGCGATCCTCGTCGAGGATGGACCCGAAGGCTATCGCGGAGAGAAATGAACGACGGAAGGCCAGCCCCATCGAGGAAAGCGCGCGATCGTCGTCTAGCCAGTCCAAGTCTTCGTCTTCGTCTACTGGACTTACCCGATCTGATTCCAATGGAATCAGTCGGTCTAATAGTAAGACAGCCGGGAGGGCCCGCTCCAGCCTAGGATTGAGTCCTCTTTTCCACACTGAAGATCTCTGCGAGCTTCTCCCTAGGACTTCGCTGACCGAAGTGAACACCGACTTGCGTCTGTTGCTGTCGAATTTGGTCAACCACGCGCCCAGTCGTCGACGTGGCGGAGCGAGGAAACAGCCCCATGCCTATGTCATTAAATGGGTTGACTACACAAATCGCTATGGCATCGGATATGTCTTGGATGACGGTAGTGTTGGATGTGTTTTCAAGGGAGAAAACGGGCAGCCAGCAACAAGTGTCGTGGTTCGAGATGGAGAGAGACACATTCGTCGCAAGGCACGAAGTGTCGAGGACGGCGACATGAAACCACTGTTTTACTCCGAATCGGATCAGCTTGTTCCTCGCAACGGACGTGCGGTTGAGTTCTACGAAAACAGGGACGATGACTTGTTAGGGTGCCGCGGTATCCGACGAGCAATGATCTCTCCATCACTTTTCGATAAGAGCTCAAAAGCGATGAGAACTCGCACCCAGTCAGGCCCTGAACCCGAACGAGCCGATGCAGAGAAGATCAAGCGCATGAAGCTCGTGGACCAATTCGGCAAATACATGATTGGAGCACTCGGTCGCCATGGTGACGAAGGTATCATGGACGATGACATCCCTCAACAGAATAGCGGCCAGTTCATCAAGTTCTACCAGCGGCTCGGCAATGTTGGAATATGGGGCTTCGGAGACGGCGCCTTCCAGTTCAACTTCCCCGACCACACCAAGCTTGTCATCTCACCAGGCCGCACTCGCAGCTCGTCTCCCTGGGTCGACTTCTACCATCTCTCGCCATCCGCCGCCCGATACTTCGCCGCGAAGGGCAAGATGCACTCGAACGGGTTTGACACGCGAGCCGTCGCCTCAGATGAAGCTGCTACGTTCCTCAGCATCGCCAACGGCGACTCGGTGAACTCAATCGAAGATCGAATTCGCGATATCTTGGACGCAAACGCCTTCATCCAGAAAATCGCTTTCATCAAAGATACCCTCAAAGTCTGGATCAAACATGGTCGTCTTGGCGGTCGTCCAGCCTCCGCTGACGCCGTCTCTCCCGATCAATCTATGCCAAGAGAAATGTTCTGGCAAGGAACTCAAGAACGATCACAACCAAATACCCCCGGTACGAAATTCGTCTGGGTAACAGTCGGTGCACCAGATGGCGATGGCCAATACCGGTCCGTGATGCTGAAAGATAGTGATCGAGAAAGAGTCGCCAAGCGTGCTAGCACGGATTATGAGAAGGAGATGGATTTATTGAAAGACAGGCTTCGGGCTCTTGGTCGTTGATTGACGCTGGAAGTCTTTTCTTTTCTGCTATTTACTACACTCGCCTTACGATGTTACGACTTTTTGTTTTTTTGGTCAGATGAAATGCTTTCATGTTTATTTTTTGGTTGAGACTAAGGCTGAGGCTTTGATGCTTGGAAGTTTTCGGTGTCTCTTGTTAATAGTGTTTATCGAATTCACTTGCGCTTTTGCACTGTTACATGCATGTTGTTCCATCGAGCTCGATCTATTTAGTTTCCTAGCTGTGCTCGGGTTTCCGTCGTCCAGGTACGAGATGAAGCCGTTGATTAAGAGATTGTTCGACTAAAACTTTCAAAACAAGGGTATCCCACGAACGGTCCGGCGCTCGTTACCTAAGTCATCAAGAGTTAAAAGACAAGTTGTTCCCGTTGTCTACTGCTCCGCGTTGAACGAGAAATTTGGCCACTTCGCGATGGCCCTTTTGAGATACCACCCGCAACGGAGGGATGATCCCGGCATTTACATCAGCGCCATGCTTCACGAGAAGCTTAACCATCTGCAATACCTCACCAGTGTCAAAGAGGAGTACCAAAAGTAGTGGCGGGGTATGCGGTTTCCGAGCTTCTTCATTGTTGGCAGGCTCGTCCCCGTTTTGAGTCCGTGAATGTTGGCGCCATGCCCAAGGAGAAGCTCAACAAGGGCAACCGTTTCTTTGTGTATACCAAAAATTGTATTTTTCACTGCGACATGTAGTGCAGTGTCCGAAAGACCGGGACAATCGATGGATGCACCTGCTCTCAGCAACATCTGCACTCGCTCTGTGGCATTCAGCGTGAGACACGCGTTCTGCAGCAGGTTAAACTGGCATTCCTTGGTCTTACCATCATGTAATCAGTGAAATTAATCCTGAAGATGGTGTTAATATCGAAATGCCATGAATCTATCATATATTGCAACGTCTCGCCTCCTGCGGTGCTGGTCCACTGCATGGCAGACCAGTCCGAAAAAGAGAACTGTAATTCTTGCCGGCTCACAAGATACTCAAACAGTGGAAATTGGCCACATCTCAATGCTTTTTCCTGTTGTTTTGGCGCGTCTTTGTGCGTTGATATCAAGTCATTTCGGAACTCTTCAAGCAACTTCAGCATCTCAAAGCTGCCGTATATAGAAAGGCGATCAGGACATATCCCACGAAGGAGAAGCCTTTTGGCAAACAAGACTTCGACTTGCAATACTGCGTGGAGCAGAATCTTGCAGTCGGCATCGCTAGCATTGACCTCCACAAGGTAGCATAGCATCCAGTCATACCCAGTGTGTATATATCGGAGTATGTTGCAGCCGATATAATCCTCTTCGTCACGTCTATAAATTTGGTAATACCACCAGGGCAGGTCTGGGGATGACAAACAGTTCTTGGCGGGTGCAGAATTGTGCGCAGGTCTCAAGACTGAGTACTATCATACCTTAAGCTTTGATTTTACTTAGGCCCCCACTGTATCTCAGTTGAAGATAGCTTAGCGATAAGTCCCTTGAGCATATCTAAAGGTACTTGAACAATACTGGGCTATATATAGCTCTAAAAGTAGCTTACAATCAGCCTGTCCGGTTCATCGGTCGACTGTCTGCCGAAATCCCCCCGCGTCCGACCACCCGAACTGGGGGTAAATATGACAACCTATAAAAGACAGTCCAATTCCCATAGTAGCTTTCAGCTAGACAAATACTACAATAGTTGCTTTGACTAGCGTAAAGCAACCACCCACATTTGGCTATCAAACATCTACTTCGACTATAACCTCCTATCCATTCCATAACTCACAATCAAGATGCAGAACCCCTCATGCTTCCTCTACGGCCCCGGCGATGCCAGATTCGAAGATAGACCTATGCCAACCATCGATGACCCCCTCGATGTAATCATCCGCATCGAATACGTGGGCGTTTGCGGCAGCGATGTACGTACTATTGAAACCATACCCATACCCCACAACCTACACCATCTTTATCTGATCTAACAACCAAAAGGTCCATTTCTGGCTTCACGGCGGCGTCAAAAACCATGTCTCACACACAAGCCCCCTAGTAATGGGTCACGAAGCCTCAGGAACAGTACACGCCATCGGACCAAGCGTGAAAAACCTCCAACCAGGCGACGCAGTAGCCATCGAGCCGGGCTTCGGCTGTCGCATTTGTTCAAAGTGCAAAGCGGGCAAATACAATCTCTGTCCTGAGATGAAGTTCGCTGCGAATCCGCCTTACACGCATGGCACGTTATCGAAGTTCTTTAAGGTTCCTGCTGATTGCTGCTATAAGATCTCTGGCTCGTTTGACTCTGAGTTTGGGAATGCGGGTGGGATCGGGCTTGATGAGGCGGTGCTTATTGAGCCGATGGCTGTTGCTGTGCATTCTGTGAGGCAGGTTGGTGTTAAGCCTGGGGATCGGGCTATTGTTTTTGGGGCTGGGACCGTGGGACTTCTTTGTGCTGCTGTTGCGCGGGAGTTCGGGGCGAATCTGATTGTTTCTGTGGATTTGAGTGACGATAAATTGGAGTTTGCGAAGAAGTTTGTGGGGGAAGATCGGGTTCGTTTTCGAAGTGCGATTCCTGCCCGGGGTTTGACTTCTGAGGAGATTGCTGTTGGGTTGCGAGGCTGGCTTGAAGGTGTTGATTCCGAGGCTGATCTTCCTGGCTTTGATGTCGCTATTGAGGCTACTGGGGCTGAGTCGTGTATTCAGACAGCGATTCATTCGCTGAAAGTTGGGGGTTCATTTGTGCAGACTGGATTGGGGAATCGAAACGTCAACTTTCCTATTTCGACGGTGTCTGAGAATGAGATTACTGTCAAGGGATGCTATCGGTATGGCGCGGGGGATTTCAAGATGGCTCTGGAGCTGGCGAAGTCGAGAAAGGTTGAGTTGAAACCTCTCATCACAAAGGTTGTGCCATTTGAGAATGTTGTGGAGGCGTGGGAGACTACCAAGCGAGGCGAGGGAATCAAAACCCTGATTCGAGGGGTTGGACGTACTGTATAAAATGGCTCGGTATTGACTTGAATGGAGAATGTGATTATTATTATTATTGCTCAAGTTAAATCTAGAGTATCTTCATCAATCTAGTTCAGTAACATCCATATCACCACACAGAAGGTCGGCTTTCTGGATCTATCATCCTGCCTGCACGCATCTCCAAGTCCTTCTCGCTTGTAATGGTCTCATCATCCCCCCGAAGACCCTGGTTCGTCTCCAAATCACGATCTAGGTCGTAATGCTCAGTCAATAAACTGATCACCAAAGCCACGCCGGAGACCGCACAGCACACAATCCATACTGTGCGCAGACTGTCTGTATACGCCTCCTTGAGGTTAGCCTTGTCCGCACTGTCTGCCATAGCCTTGATAATTTGAACCAAGCCCGCGGCATCCTTGCTGTATGCATCGGCCATAGGAGCCAGACCAGGATATTTCATGAGGTTACTAAACATGCGGTTCTGGAAGACCACTCCACCAACCGCGACACCAATAGATTGGCCGAGGGCACGGAAGAAACTGAACATGGCAACCGCGATAGCGAGGTTCTCTGGCTCCGAAGAAGCCTGGATAGCGTAGCCCAGGGAGGGGAACAGAATTCCCAGTCCCAAACCTGAGACAATGTTCAGGAAAATCCAGCCAGCGACGCTGGTGTGGACTTTGATCAGACACAGTAGACCAAGACCGATGGTTGAAAGAACCCATCCCAGCCACACAGCCCACCGGTAACGACCAGTCACTGTGATGAGAATTCCAGCAACCATACCACTAGGGGCAACAGTGAAAGTCTCAGGGAAGAGTGCCACGCCTGAAAGGATGGGGCTATATTCCTTCACGGCTTCATAATATAGAGGAAGATAATAGAGCGCACACCACAGAATGAAGCCCTGGAGAACACTTCCAATGAATGAGGCAGTTGCCGTGCGGTTCTTGAAAATTACTGGTGGAATGATCGGGTCGGAGGCGAAGCGATATTCGTAAAATGCGAAAATAAGGAGACCAGCGCCTCCCACGCAAAGAGGGACCAATGTCCGCCATGAACTCCAGGAATAGGAGACTCCACCCCAGGTGAGCGGAATGAGGAAGGATGATATACTACCGACGAAGAGAACAGTTCCGAAATAATCGATTCGTCGGAGCTTTTCAATCAAGGAACTAGGTGCGAGCTTCAGGTTGAGGAAGAGAATGACGAGTATCAAGCCGATGCCGATGAAGGGGAAGTTAATATAGAAGATCCATCGCTATATTCCGTGGTTAGAGCTATCACTGGTGTTCTCAAGCGATGTAAACTCACCCATGATACATTTTGGGCGAATCCGCCTCCAAGAATTGGCCCGGTCACTGAGCCAACACTCCACATTGCACTCAATATGCCGAAGTACTGCCCTCGCCATCGTAGAGGAACGAGGTCAGTAATTATGACCTCGCTCAGTGAAATGATTCCACCTCCACCGACACCTTGTATAGATCGACCGACTAGCATGTAGGTAAAGTTATTTGCAATTGCCGAGATAATAGCACCGATACAAAAGAACACGAGGGAGATCAGTATCATAGGACGGCGGCCGAAAATATTCGAGAAAGAAGCGAAGCTCGGTTGGAACACTTGGTGAATGTAAGTGGTGAGCCAAAATAGAATGAACGTCGATGGATCATACCAGTTGAGCATAGTAGGAACGAGGTACCACTCCAAAATGCCTCTATCGCTGTCCCGTTCAACTCCTGTGCGATATGCTAAACTTTATCAGTTTATTTCTGCTGCGAACTTCAATCTGGTACTCACCGGTAGGGCAACAGACAACGAAGTTCCATCGAGAGCAGCCATCAATGTAAGAACCGCCAAAGTGAAGAAAACCAGGATTCCCCTCCGTCCCAAGGCAAATTTTTCATTGACACCCTTATTCTTAGGCTTCACATAGGAAGGAGGTCTCACACTCTCATCATGTGAGGCACTTCCACGTCTGTAGAATGGGAAATCGGTGTCCGCCATGATGAGTAGGTAGCGACTATCAATGACACGATAAAGAGACCCTCGTAGTCTCAAGGGTAAATATCTTTTATATTTTAGCACCTGTTTTCGGATAAAAAATAATTTTACATTGGAATCTGCAAGCTGGACAGATATATAATAAATCAGCTATCTAGCTAACGCCCTCCCACGCGGGATTGACAAGATGCCAGGGAGTTTGGAATGGGACGAAAGTTCCTCCGTTGCGACCCAAGATCCCGGAATCAGCTCCAAAATAATGATACATTTCAGGCTGATTCAATCTTCAGGGTCTCCATGACGAGACGAGGGTGGAAGTGCGAACTAGGCTGCTGCTGTTTTGGAATGTTCGGCATAATGTTGCCCCGCCCACTTTGGGTGTCAGACGGGATTCGGGCCAACCTCATTTGCTCGCACTTAGTTTTTTTCCTTTTTCGTATGAGTTGAAATCTTTCGGTCGGGGTTTTTATGGCCCAGTCCGAGTTGCATGGTCTGGTTGCGGCTGATTTTATATCGTTGCCTTGGAAGTTGCGTTGTTTTGGCTTTCCGACTTCGTGATCGTGCTATAGATACTCGATCGGACCACACACATGACTAAGAATTTGAGAGCTTATACGAAGAGACCCATACATGGGTATTGAGTGACTGATGTTCTATCTCGGGTATGTACTTGCTCAGCACTGGCGGGTCTCCTGGTTGCGAGGAATGAAACAAACAGTGTCTTGATTCTGCGCATCTGGTCTGGTATTTAGTAAAATCTAAAACACGACCGTCACCACTTCGAGGGCTGGAAGTCGCATCCAACTCCTCCTTTTCCGTGAGGCAGGAGTATTAAGACCCAGAAAAAGCCTCTAGAACTTCGCTCACGGCACCTTGTTTCGCCATGGAACAACAATGCACGTTCCAAGATTGACAAGCAACATACCGTGTCACAGAAGACTCTACACTCACGTCAGATTCTAAGAAGAAATTTGCAGACGCTGCCACTCGCTCCTAAGCATCTCAGGCAGTTCGTCCACCAGACTGAGTCGGTACGGATTCCAGCCTAGGATCTTGCGCGCGCGCTGCGAACGACCACGAGAATTCATGCCCAGCTTAGAGACTCGAAGCCTGCATATTTCTTGGCGCTTTCCAGGTCGATTGGCTCGGCTTTTGCCTGTGTCGGTGAAGGTATTCCCGACGCAAGCAATGCAGGAGTGCTCGCCGGCAACGTCGGGGGCTTAATTTTACTAGGGGGCTGCATAGTAAATAGAAGTACCTCGGATCCAAGACCGTCGATTCTGGGGGCATTAGCATTGCCAAGAAATTGATGTATTTTTACGATTAATGCATTGGAAATACAATTACTGCATGAGACCTAATCGGGTTTAGTGAGCGTAGGTAGGGTCCGAACACTTGTCGAAAGACCTTGGGAAAGCTGCATCGGACTGCAATAGAGCTATACAATACAATACAATACAACAATACAACACTTACTATGGGGTCCTTTTAGTTGTGCCCATTCTTTATTAGTGCGAGTTGTAGACTCCTACTTTAAGGCATAAACATATTTCATATGCGAGCTGGCCACCTAAAGACACCACCTTAAATGCGAGATTTGACGACCCTATATGTCGGCAACCAACCCTATGGATATTAGAACTAGTATCTTAATATGGCAAGAATAGGAAGCTAGCAGAGTTTGATAAAACAAAGTTACAATTAATGATACAGTAAATTGGGATGTATTTTTGCCTTTCCACCTTAATATACATATCTCGGCCACCGGTGTCTTCAGATCATCAGAGACTTCTAAAAGATGAATAACTACCTGCCTATAATATGAGTGCGTCAATCACTATAACCATATTAGGGATCGAGAAAGCGGACGAACCTAAGTCTAGTAGAGGTCGAAATATATTTTGTAAACTGTTGTTTAGCCCTTTCGTTGCGATGTTAGAGCCAATTGCTTTTCGAATACCAGGATTTTTTTAGGGAATACTAGGCTTGGCCGCTCACAATGGGCCGACCTAGACTGACTCTCGGGAATTGATTTTCACAGTTGTGCCAAGACCTTTGTTTCTTACTTTTGCTTTTCAAAGTGGTCATGTTGCTTGATGATAATTTGCTGAGTCACGGTCCACCACGGTTCAACTGACGGGAAATCTCTGGTGCCACCCAGACCTGACCGCAAACTTTATCCGCATGCGGACATGACCCAAATTACGATTAATGTCTCTCTCTATACCGGGTTCCATGGATAAACAGGTATACGGTTTTGACTAGGAAGCAAAGGTATATATTTAGTGATGGGATTCTAAAGCCCATTCACATGGCTCAAAGCTGAAAATCAGTCTCTGTATTGTACATGAAACTATAATCAACGGCAATGTGGTATTTCTATCCATTCCCCTACCTACTTATGGAAATAATACTAACCCGTTCTAGTGGGATTTTCGGTTACGTCAATTATTCTACTGAGAAAGACCGCAGGTATATTCTCAATGTCCTTCTCAATGGTGAGAGGCTATCGTGATATTTCTCGAGTATGATTGTCACCTCACTGAACATTTATCGTGAAAGGTCTCAGTAGGCTTGAGTATCGGGGTTATGACTCGTCAGGGTTACTTGTGGATGGTGACAATGGGCAAGATGTTTTGGTGTTCAAAGAGGTTGGAAAGGTCACAAAGCTGAGGGGACTTATTGAGAGCTCCCGGCCAAATATGGAGAAGACTTTCCAGACCCATGTTGGAATCGCTCACACAAGATGGGCAACTCACGGCCCACCTTCACGCGTGAACTGTCATCCTCACCGGTAAGCATATGACCCGTACATATCGCAGTGTTAACTATTACTTTGGACGGCTCCCTCGTTTTCCCATTTATTGCTAATAATTATCGGAATTGCAGGTCAGATAATACATGGGAGTTCGCGGTCGTTCATAATGGCATCATCACCAACTATAAAGAGCTCAGAGCTTCGCTTCTCGGGGAAGGATACACATTTGAGACCGAGACGGATACCGAATGTATTTCCAAACTGGCCAAGTATATCCGTAATCAACAGCCAGAAATCGGATTTGTTGAGTTAGTCAAGACTGTTGTGGGGAGGCTTCACGGGTCTTTCGGTATCCTTGTCAAGTCAGTTTCCTATCCACAGGAGATTATTGCCGCCCGAAAAGGCTCGCCCCTCCTTATCGGTGTTCGCCTCACCAATGATATCGAGGCCGACGTTATTCATATTAAAAGTGTTATTAAAAGAGACTCTCTGAACACGCCATTAACGAATGGTTGCAAAAGTGCATCTGCATCGCATGGAAAATACTCTTTGCCGCCAAATCCTACCGAATTCTTCCTTTCCTCCGACGCGTCAGCTATTGTTGAACATACCAAACAAGTAATCTACCTGGAAGACGACGACATTGCCCACATATGTGCGGGGCAATTGAATATTGTGAGGAGCACAGATGACAAGTTTGGCTGCATATGGAACGTTCAGACCATTGACTTGCAGCTACAAGACATTATGAAAGGCAGCTATAATCACTTCATGCAGAAAGAGATTTTTGAGCAGCCTGAAGCGGTTGCTAACACTATGCGTGGCAGGTTGGATGTTCCGCACAAGAGGATTACGCTAGGGTGTGTTAATGACTATCTTCCTGCCATTCGCAGAGGTAGACGCATTCTATTCATTGCGTGTGGAACAAGCTATCATGCATGCATGGCCGTGAGAGGAACATTTGAGAGTTTGGTGGAGATTCCTACGGTTGTCGAAGTAGCATCAGACTTCCTGGACCGCAGAGCCCCTATATTTCATGACGATACTTGTGTTTTTGTTTCACAGTCTGGAGAAACAGCAGACTGCCTTCTAGCTCTGAAGTACTGCCTAGAACGAGGGGCGTTAACTCTTGGCATTGTCAACTGCGTCGGGTCCTCCGTCTCGAGGCTTACCCAGTGTGTTATGCACATTAATGCCGGTCCAGAAATTGGCGTTGCATCCACAAAAGCATACACATCGCAGTTTGTTGCAATGACTATGCTTGGGTTGGCTTTAAGCGAGGACGATATCTCCAAGGAGATGTGGCGAGAGGAAATCATGCAAGCACTCGCACAGTTGCCAGCCCAAATCGATGAAGCTCTCAAACTCGAAAAGCAGATCAAAGGCATCTGCGACACTCTTCAAGCTCAGAACAATATCCTGCTGTGGGGACGGGGAAGTCAGTTTGCTACAGCGCTAGAAGGTGCGCACAGCTTAGTCTCAGCTATGGACCGGTGGCTGCATACTGAATATTCTGTTGGCAGGCGCTCTTAAAATGAAAGAGATATCATATATCCACTGCGAGGCGGTCATGCCTCGAGACACACACTACCATTGTCTTACAACGGCCGAGAAAAGAATACCAATCATCATGGTCCTTACCCAAGATACATCTTCTCAGGCTGCGGAAGTTTACAAACAAGGTAGTCATACCCCCTGTAGGTTCCAATACCAAACGATGCTGACGTTGCCCCTTGGATATCTAGTTCGAGCGCATGGTGATCGACCCCTGGTGATTTGTAATGCCAATAAAAAATGCTTGCGCGGCTCGAAAGCGGAGAGAATAGAAGTCCCCACGACAGTCGATGCTCTGCAAGGCATTTTGAACGTTATCCCACTGCAACTAATGGCCTACTGGCTGGCTGTTAGGAAAGGGCTCAATGTCGACTGTCCGCGTAATTTAGCCAAGTCTGTAACTGTGGAGTAGGCATGTTGTTTTTAAATATGCAGTGTTAGTAGCTGCAACACCGGAACTGCGACGAGGGATGAGCAACTTTCATGTCCACCAATTTTGTATGCGGTGCTTGTTATGGGTTATGGGCTTCCAGTGAGGCTAGTTATTGATCGAAATGGCTACATGAGATCCTCTGAGGAGGAATTTTGAATGTTCCATGTCCCTTGTGGTCAAGTTGGATATTTGGATCATGTTCAACACTTGACTTTTTCATGAATTTTATGGCTGACTCTGTATAAAAACTAAAGAACATTATGCGAAAGAAGATTATGCAACCAGCTGAGCTTCCCGGGTGCCATCTTGTAACCCCATCTCGGCCGTATTATCTGTATCAGCATATGAATGCCTTCCGATGGTCTCTTCCGCGCATATCCTCCTGGTCTTTCCCCACTCAAACGAGTCCATGTGGTAAGATGCATAGAAAAGTATAAGGATATTGATGAATGGCCCACAGAAAATGTAAAGGACACAACCGGCTAAGTATTGAAGCCGAGCAAGTATGCCTAGAGGGATCCAAATGACAATGCATATATAATATATTAATGGAATAAGCATCAGAGTGGCGAAGGAAAATATAATCCACCATGAGACGACTGCCAAACCACAGCGTAAGTCTCATCATTCACAGCACCTGAGGATTTGGGAGGGGCTATTACTCACAGAAACATGCATAAATCAAGCAAGCAAGGCAAGCAAGGATAAATATGTTGAGGAACCATGTCCATACGTTGCAGAAGGCCAGGACACGTTCAAACCACTGGATGCCCCGTGATGTCACGAGCATGAGATCGTTCGAAGTCGCCCCCAGCGTCCATCGCTTGCGCTGGGAAAGAAATATAGGTACGGAATCGGGAACGGCAGTGTATGCATGGGCTCTCAGAGCCTGTCGAGTTTGGGCATTCGAACGAGCAGACAGCATCAAGCATACATGGTTGCGGTCCTCACTAGCAGTGGCCCGTATCTGCCTTAGCAATCCATCGGTCGGCTTGGGGTAATACCCGAATAAATTGATCAAAACCTGGTCACCACACGTCGTCTCACAAACCTTCAGCAGCTGGCAACATCCAGGCAGACATGACACCTTCTTAGTGGCAATGGATTGGTGCATTCGGCGCAGACCTTGCGATATGGTATATTCAGTAGACTGATACAGTCGCAAAAAGTTCCAATTGTAGCCTTGGAAGTCAACAGAGACATAGCCGGATACGCCAACCGTATATTGATAGCTTTGGATAAGGGAACTCGTTAGCAAATGTGTGCATAGCAAAATCTGCGATCGGGACCCTAACCGGCTCTCTTTTAATAGCTCAGCCACGCACAATTCGTCGAAATATGTATCTGCGTCCATACCAACCAGACAGCATGCCTTTTTGATTCCGCAGTCGTTGATTAGGAAGGAGGATAGCTCCGAAAATAGGCTTTGTGATAGGCGTGTCTGTGGATTTTCAGCTCGAATATTAAAGTTATAGAGAAAAGTCCGTGCGAGGATCAGCGCGTCTCGTTTTCCTTGATTAAAATCCTTGAGGATTGCAATGTACGGAAGATCTTTGTAGGTTCCTTTTTGGATGGTGATATCCATTTCTTGTTGGTCCCACGCGAGATATGCGGCCGTTATTCTCCGGCGAAAGGTGCGGATCACAAGAATATCCTGTGATAGGGTATCTGCCGTGGTTTTCTGCATCCCTTCTCCCCGGACCTTTCCATCGCAGATGATGATCAGAGACCGTTTGTGTCCCTCGATCTCACGTTGCCGTGCAAGAGAATCCAAAGACTTGGTCAATTCTTCGCGAGTCTCATTATAGCATGGAAGCAAGTAAACAATTGTCTCAGGGCGGGCTGGTAATTCGCGTTCTTCTGGAAGGAGGAACTTGTGTTTCACAGTGAAAACCAAGATTGAGAATACCATGATACAGTTAAGGACGAGTGCCAAAGCCACAAAGGGAATAAAAACGTAGAAGTAAGCAGCCCATCGCCAAACAGCAAAGATTAAGAAGGTGCTGAGAAAGTGTCAGTGCCGGTATTAATGGAACACTTGATGAATTAACTCACTTTATTGACAATTGGCTGACTTGGACAGCATTTTTTTGCATCCTCCTTTTTTGCTTTCCAGCCTTGACCAAATCATGTTCAGGTTCCGCCAGTCGAGGAGTTACAACTTGACTTGACGTCCAGTCCGTTCGCTCCCCTATCATCATCTCCGGGCTTTGTCGACCGTTGGGGCGTGAAAAATTTGGTGATGGAGTGCGTACTGTGTGGTTTACTGCTCTTGGTTCATAGAATGGTCTAGTGACGTCTTTGTGGATGTCCTCGCTGGGCCGATCTATACCTTTCGGCCTAGTCGCCTCGCCTGGAAGGCCCGGATGAGACTCCAAATGCACCCGCTTATCGACGTTGGCTACACAGCGTCCAGCTGTACCTTCAGGTAGACTGTGAGGTTCTGCTCGGCCAATTCGTCCTCCTGGGAAGGCCTGTTCTGGGACTCTTGGTATCGTGAATTTTGCCAAATGTAACTTCGGAGGTATCGAAGGTGTCTGGAAGTTCTGAAAGTCTCTACTAGCAGCAGCGATGGGCGCATCTGCACGAATGACAGATTCGGATAGATCTAAAAGCTTATTGCGCACATCTGGCGATCCCGCCTTCTCAACGACGCCCGTAGCCTTATTCCCTCTAGGAACAGCTTCAGAACGAGCAGACATGACGCCTGGAATCGTAGATGGTTGAGCTGGGTGAAGAATAGTGACTTAATGAAAGCTGCAAACACAATTCGCTCGCTCGGAGTTATGGTTATTTTCCGAATATATTGGTAAATTTTGGCCATAGTCGGGAAGAAACCCCGCAGATTGTAATTTTGGTGAATCTTGGATCTCCAAGGTTGTAAGTTTGGTTCATAATTTTCAATTTAACTTTTAACTTTGATTAACTTTCGATCTACTTTTCGATTAAACTTTGATCTAACTTTGATTCCATGTTTTTTATTTTTATTTTTTTATTTTTATTTTTTTCCCGGCTCTCTATTTGCTGGATCAATCAATCAATCAATCAATCAAAAAACTACTAGCCTGTTGGAGTCTAACTAGTATCGTAATGGCCATGCAGGCGCTTCGGTTCAACAAGAACTCGTAATCCGTCCGCCTGATGCTCCCGCAGTACAGAAACAGAGCTGATTCCCAAAGAGTGGAAGACCAGCTCGGATACGGTAAATCCAACCAATAACCCATAGAAAACGCAGTACAAATGAGATTCAATAAATGCAAGGAATGCGTGGATTGCACCATCCACCTCCCCTGTCCTCTCCTCATGTTATCACTTCCTACCCCGTAAAACCTCCTTAGTAGTCATGTGAGATCAGACTCCATTTCTAAGACAAGCTTCATCCTCAATTTGATGCTTTTCGGTGTCGATCAACTGACCAATTGTAGCAGATGTCATATTGGAAGAGTTGGCTGAGGCTCTCTCTTTCCTCAGGCGTTGTGTAGTTCCGTGGTGTGTACCCAGCCTCATCGGGACGCTATTTGCTGGATATCACTATCGTTGGAGGGTACTTGTCATCTGAATTTGCTCAGGCCCTTTCATCCGATTCCGGCCGAATCTTGAGCTTGGTAGAATGAACGCATGTTTGCCAGCCATTTTCGAGCCCCGCGGGCTGAGTGGAAATGAGAACCTAGCAGCGATCACGCCACGAAAGACTTGTCTAGGCCATCGAGAAGATTGATGTGTATGCTGGTACTGCCGTGAACTGGGCCAACGCCGGGAGACTTGGCATGCGTGAAAAACATATCATTGATAACAGGCTACAATACTTTCATCAGCAGCTCATTACCAACTATGAATGAAAGAAGTATTGCATGGAACCCAGCCCAGCTCCCGCATCCGTTTGCTGAATGTGAGATCTCTATATTGGTCTTCGTCAAGTAGTAACTGAATATGTCGCATTCGTCCCTTCACCACCGACCTCAATTTCTCTCCTACCTGAAGGATCGACTTCGGCGGGACGGCAGTTCGAGCAGGTTCGAATATATCAACGCCGCCTACTACCCCAGCTGGCGGGTCTATCGCGGGCAGCTACCATCTTCTCTAAACCTGAGAATCATATCACATGTTTTCTATGCGTTTTTAAGGTACGTTATGCAACACTCGCCGTTGGCCAATTTTGTTAATTGCTTTTGTTACATAGAGCTCACGAGGATGGAACAATCTATGTAAGACCGAAATCCGCTGGCTTCTAAGTCTGAAAAGGCTAAATTTAAACTCTAGTTCCTGGATGAACATGCGGATACTCAGATCAGGGTGAACGGGGAAAGCGGTTGCCTCAACGCCTTTAAGAAGCTGAAGAAGGAGAACCCTCACCTGAAAATTATCCTATCTGTCGGCGGCAGCAGTGGCAGCTCGACCTTCCCTGCGTTCGCAGCACAAGAAGCGTCCCGACGCACATTCGCATCAACTTCGAGACAAGTAGTTGAAAGATATGGTTTCGACGGCATTGATGGTATGTCACAACGTCTCAGCCCGAATGCCAATTCCAAATATGTCTATCAACCGCAAGGGAATATAAGCTGAATAGAATGCATTCATTAGTTGATTGGGAGCATCCGTCCAACCCCAAGCAGGGAGAGGACTACGTGAAGCTGTTGTCCACCCTACGGGAATACCTTCCCTCACCCCGGTTCCTATTGACCTCAGCATTACCAGTGGGAGAATGGTGTCTGAGTAACATCGATCTTCGTGCAACCTCACAGCATTGCGACTTCATAAACCTGATGACCTATGATTTCGCAGGCAGCTGGACGGAGCTCTCTGGCCATCAGGCTCAGCTAACGAGCCCGCCAAATCCGCCTAACGCCTTTGCTAGACGGTCTGTCGAGAACGGAGTCGACTATCTACAAGCCCACGGTGTCTCATCAGGGAAGACCCTGATCGGTATCCCTGTATATGGGCGCTCTTTCCTGGGAGTAACTGGAACTGGTCAACCATTCACAGGACATGGAGGCGAGGATGGGATCTTCGAATATAAGGACCTTCCAAGACCAGGAACTCAGGAAAATATTGATATGGAACGATGCGCAGCATTTTGTGTCGGAGGCGACGGTGGTTTCGTCACTTATGATAACCCCGAAACGGTCCAAATGAAGGCAAAGTATGTGAAGGACCATAAAATAGCAGGTCTGTTCTATTGGACAGGGACATTTGATGCGGACCCTCCGCGGAGCTTGGTGGCAACCGGATATAAGTATTTGAACTCGTGACTTCGTACCGAGCGCTATCACGAACAAAAGTGAAAAATTGCACTGCGGACCAAATTGAACCTAACAACAAATTGGCAAGCGAATTACTTGAATTTACTTTACGTTATCTCAGTCTCTAACTAAAAATTAGGATTAGAGCTTAGTATAGCATGTACATTTTCATTTGCCCTTAAAATTTTGATATTGTATGTAACTTATTAGTATTAGTTGTATAAGTAGGTATTTAGTAATAAGATGTGACCTTGCGGTTTCAAGTTTTGAAATTGCTTTGCATTTTAGTATGACCTAAGCCCAAAATGTTCCACTGCTTTCAACAAATTAACTATATCAGGTGCATAGCGAGGTAATCTACAGAGCAATGGGTTAATTTGCTGGCTGGGATCCAGAAACATTAGTAAAATAATCATTTGTAGTTGAGGTTTATGTAGGCCCTAACCTCTAATATGAAACTAGGTTACTATACTCACTCCTAGGCAATATGGTCTGCCTTTGCTTCTCCTGTCTGACTTGCCACTAACTTAGGCCATGACCAACTCAAATTAAGTATGATGCCCTATATAATTGACCTTAAACTCTACCCTGGTAAGGTACTTATGGTTCAATTACCGGAGCTGTTCTAATGAAAAGCTGCAACACGCTAATAACGGAACTGGTAAGCGAGCCGCTACTTGATGATCTGACCTGCTTTTGAGCCCCGAAATTTGCAATTCTAAATAATAAAGCACTTGTTGCTAATTTAATTAGGATACAAGGGGTTACAATGTCCCATATTATAACAATTACTGCAATGCAGTTAGGGCCTGTGTACGTAGTTAAAATGGGGGTATAACTTGATCTTTGGTATAGAATCCTGCATTACTAGGCCTCTTAAATATAGGGGCCCTTTGTGCTCCGTTCCACATCTAGAACACCTTTCTGTTTAAAGGTTCTCCTTTGTATATGCCGGTAATCATGGTTTTCTTTGGCAAGAAGAGCAGTGGTATTCAAACTATTTCAACCCCTTTAACAAATTCATGTAAAGTTATTTCCGGGTGTATACTTCACATCTCCACGTTTTCTCCCCATGTCGTACTTCATCAATGTCAATCTGTGAATGCAGCCTTTTAATCAATCATAATATAAAACAAGAAGCTGGGGCCCATAATCACGTATGATATCGCGAGGGAAATAATTATTACGCACAACACATGATCAGGCGGACCCCCTCTAAGTCACCAAGGAGGGCACAATCTAAGTTGTCCTGTTTCATTGCGACGATAATCATGTCGAACTGCTCCAATCGCTGCTTATGCCACTCCTTGGACTCATCCAACCGAGTCACATTGGGGACAGGGATCGATTGGACAAGGGGGTCTGCAAATGTGACATTTGCTTTCCAATGCGTCATAATGTGCTGGATCAGGGCTACTCCGGGCGAAAAGGTAATCGAAGACTGGCCAGGCTTGAAAGCGACTCCGACAACGAGTATACTGGGGTTCAGGCGTGAGAAGCCGTTCCGTTCCGGGCGCGACTCCCAATAAGAGTCCATGATTTGGTCCGCGATTACACGTGGTCGATTCCATGTGTTCTCGGTGGCAGCTTTTAACAAAGGAAATTTTCCATTAAGGAAAAGGTAATAAGGATTGATAGGAATACAACTTCCTCCGGCACCAATACCTGGAACAATAGGACAATAGCCGAACGGTTTTGTTGCCGCAGCAGAGGACACCTCAAATGGGTCAATGTTATGGACAGCACAAGCGTCAGCCATTTCGTTAGCGTAGGCAATGCAGACCATCCGTTGGCAGTTCTCGTACAGCTTAGTCATCTCTGCGACTTCAGGAGTTGATACATTGACCAAATTTGCGAAGATGCTGCTATAGAGTGACTCGATGCTGGCCAAAGATCCAGGGGAAATATCGTCAAGGCCGGATATGACCTTTGGGATCCCCTGGGATGGTGGATCGGTTCGTCCCGGGTCCACTCGCTGATACCGTTGGCTTAGTATTCTTGCCCAGGGAAGAATGCTTGTTCGGGGGATTGTTACTCACCTCGGGGGACATGCCTCCCTTAAGTGCCTTCGTAACTAGGAGGGGTCCTAGGAGCTTTCTCGTCATCCCAACGGCAACCGAACTTTCTATCACAACAGTGGCTTCTCTCTGCGCATATCGTCCAACCGTATCAAGGGCTGCGTGGAGCGGGGAAATATCAACCTCCTTACCCCCATACGAGAGGCCAGTAGGCACGGCAACCAGAAAGTGGGTGGCGTTCACCAGCTGGGCAGCGTCCGTTGAGCAGATAATATTGGGCTCTCTCCCTACCAGGGAGGCAATGTCCTTGATGCGATCTTCGCGAATGTCGAAGGCAATGGTTTTATACTTCTGGCCAAATATTGTAACAAGCTGAAATCCAATGTACCCGGTCCCGATGACGGCTACCACGGGGCTCTTGGACTGACCTCCATGGGCTGGGAGAATCATCTCACCCATTGACGGAAGAGGAGAAGCATTAAATTCAACGTCGCAAAGGCAACCTGTTGAGACCATATCACAGTCAACTGCTGCATTTTCGATAAAGTGCCGACGAGTACTATTATGGTGCGAAGTATAGGGAAAACTTCGTGGAGAACAGCGTCTTCGAGACAGTGCCTGCACATAGTTTTGGGGGTTCTTAAGTGCAGAAAGGCCCTGAGATTCTGAAGCCTCTGAATGCAGCATTCCGGGAAGCTCTGCTATTGTGAAGTATTCCTCGCGATTTGCTTCGGGGGAAATTTTAAATGTAAATTATTTTTGTGTACAGTCATATCAGCCCCGTCATGATGTTTAATTAATACCCAGATTTAGGGATGCTCGATCTTATCAAGAGCGTAGTTATGATACCGTAAAATCCAATATTATCAGTAAAATGAAAGCACAAACGCAACGTCCCAAGGCTCGGGGGTCCTAGAACACTGGGTGACGACTGCATATTGTAGTATCAATCGCGCTCCGCTAGGGCATAGACCAAACATCATCACTATGAAAGTGAGGCAGGAAAAAAAATTATACTCCGGGTGTCACTTCCGGGACAATAACACTATGTAAGACTTTCGTATCAAGCCATGTCTCCGTTGGGTACGGGAGCCGACTGTGACCTACCCTGGCCATCGAAGTGGGGATCCGATAAGGTTTCAGGGTCCCATGGCCTATACATCCCGTGGAAGTCCCGCCATCGGATTGCCAACGGGAGTAGGCATGACTGTCCATGGGAATGTAAATAGTACAAACAGAGAAATTCAAGACAAACATAATTTGGGCGGCTTTGGGCTGTTTTTGGGTATTTGTGTTTCAATGAAAGGCAAAAACTTCAAATTCGTTTCACTTCACATTTTAATGATTCATAACTTGATTCTTTATATTTTCATAAATTCAGAATACTCAGACTAATAATAACGTACATGATAAGGAGTGAGACACCACAAAACCCATAGTAAATACGATACTTTACTTGAGGGTAGTTGATTGTGCCGCAGACCTTAGGAGTGGCACAACAGCGACGGCGGTGAGTGAGGAGGATTGTGGTTGGCCAGTTAGTAGTTTTGTTGTTGTCATTAGCTCGCCTCTCCCTCCTTCTCTTCTCTAATTGAATGTCTTCGGACGAATGGACCCTTATTTCTTGCTAGACTTGCCGCTCACATCTTACATAAACTTTTAAGTAAAGCAAATTATGATATAACCCTGGTACAAATAGGCTTGTAATTTTGGTCCATAAGATAAATATAGGGCTCTGTTACAACCACACCCACTTATCGCACCACACCCCTTTGGGTCTGACCACTCCCTCTTCCCTTTTGGAAATATATAATTATGATTATATGACTGTATTACTTGCCACGCTAAACACCTTCGTACCTGTGACTGTAAAAACAACCACCGCTTTATTTTGATCGTACAATTTTAGTGAAATAGTTCACCGTAGTGCCTAAACCGGCTGTAAATTAACAGTAATTTATTGTGTTTACCAAGCATCTTTGCTTTGGAGTTCTTTTTAGTCCCATGGGAAATGTGAAGGTCTAGTTCTTGGCGGGGGCTACAGCCATACGAAGTCATACGAATAAAGTAAACTCTAATCTGTATAGACTAAGCTTGATCTTAATCAATACTGGTCGGAAGACTGAAGTGTCATGAGAAATGGTGTCCTAGGGATATTGCCATCGTCATTTCAACCTTAATTGCGAGGCATACTGCGATCTAGACTCAGAAAATAAGAGGTCATATGAACGTTTCAATCATGTGCAGCAGATTCCTTGTAGTTCTAGGTGACTGATCGACCCTACGTGAGCAGATTACCAACAATGTGAGTACAAATACAAGGTTTTGTGAGTCTAGACCTACCCTTTGACCAAGTTGCCAGAAAGGATGTCATGCAATACGACTCTGATATTTTCGTCTGGCCACATATCAGACCTTGCAGTGTATATAGCAAACCCCGGATGGGTGACTGCTAGCCACATTATATCTTACAGATGCTTAACCGTGAAGGTATTTGTGAAAACAGCCTTTCCAATACATTTTCAGAACCGACACCTCCCAATATGTTTTTCGACATTACCATTTCCCATTCACTAGTTGCCATCCTTATGCATCTAATCACAAATGGTGCGTACGCTTTTGAAAATAATATTGCTAGTTCCGCAAGACTCGAAATGCGGAAAGGCCCGGTGCGACTCTGTGGTGTTCAGAACTCTCGGATATCGTGCCCAGACGGCTTCTGTTGCTCTGAGGATGTACGTTCGTTTCCTTTAGATATAATCGCGTTTCCTTTTTATCACCCCAAGTCTACAATATGACTATACGCAATTGCCTAACATTTATACTTCTAGGGCCATTGTGGAAAGGGTCGCCACTATTGTGACTCTCCTCAATGTCAATTCCAATATGGATCTGCCTGTGATGCGAACAAAATCCCAAACGGCACTACTACCTTCACAACGCCTCGTCCAAAATTCGGAAATGTTGCTTATGGAGGCGCTGGAATCCATAACTGCACCGTTCCAGGAACAGTTGCACTAACCTTTGATGACGGACCCTCCAATTACACTTCTCTTCTCCTAGATATCCTGAAAAAGAGTAACGTGACGGCCACCTTTTTCTTGACGAACGTTGCCCGAGGAAAGTACGAGTTTGACAACCAAAGTGCAGAATTCGCTAAAGTTGTACGACGGATGCATGCCGATGGTCACCAGCTAGGGAGCCACACGTGGAGCCATGAAGACCTGTCGAGTCTCTCTCACGAAGAGCGTGTGCAGGAAATGGTCAAGAACGAGATGGCTTTCCGAAATCTCTTTGGATTCTTTCCGACGTACATGCGTCCTCCATATGGAGATTGCACTTCGAAGAGTAACTGCACGGAGGACATTGCTAAGTTAGGGTATCACATTGTAAATTCCCCCATTCTTGTTATGATCGCCACTGGTATGATTGTTCCTAAATCTAATCCTCGATTTCCAGATATATTGGAATCTTTATACCCAGGATCTGAAGAACAAATCTCCAGAGCGTATTCAGAACTCAAAGAACATTGTCGAAAATGCATTTCAGGACTGCAAACCATCAACTTGCAGTCACATCGTTTACGGCCATGATACTGAATACCAGACCGCTAATCTCACAGAATATATTATACACCAAATTCAGGCCAAAGGATACAAAGCCGTCACTATTGGAGAATGCCTTTCTGATCCTGCAGTTAATTGGTATCGAAATGCGACGACAGGAAAACAAGTGGCTTCAAAGAAGCCATAATAACATACAAACCCGGGGTTCATGAGGCACCTTGATCGCAGGCTCCCTTGAGTTGTAGCCGTGATGAACGGCAATTCCTTCTTTTGATTCACATGTTTTAGGATGTAATATCTTGAAGTCAATGCATTCCCTGGTTTCTTGTTAGCTTCCGTAGCTTTGGTCCTACCCCACGGAGGTACCTGAAGCCTGGCAGACTCTAGGTTAAGGGTTCCCTCAACTATAGGAGGAAAGGTTGGGTCGTACTCCTAGCTCCAGGTTCTTCTCGTCGCTAGACTCCTAAGGCCTAATTAACCCGGTGAAGCTCAGATTTTAGGAAGAAATAATTATATGATCTGAAATATCCCCTTTTACTTCGGAGTATATACAGCTCAATAGTTATCGAGAAATTCGTGCTCATAAATTAGAGATACTTTAATATGGTACAGGGCAGAGTCGTCAAGGTCTCCCAGAACGATGCGGACGTTTGATTACTGGGCTTTGACCTGTTCAGCCTTCTCGTTTGTGCGGACTATAGCTGCATAGGAGAAGTCTGGGTGCTTGCTAACGAGCGTGGCTAGTGAGTCGCCGCCAATATAGCTGGTGGCGCCGGTGTTATGGGCTGTCAGAGGTAGGCTTCTTGAGCTTGGTGGTTTGATCTCACATGAAAAGTTTGGTCATTGTGCTATTTATGCTCTTTTCGGCTGTGTTGTTGTGCTAGAGACGTGGGTTGAGGCGTGACTCACAGCTTCTCCGTGATATCGAACTGGAGTAATGAAGTCTGGGGTCGCAAGCAATCAATTGAAGTTGCTCAATGTGAGAAGCATGTCTCTTGTGGACTGACAAAGAGCACACACTTGGTTTGATAGACCTTGCTGCTCTATGTTAAAATATTCTAAGGATGTATTTCTCGACACCCAGCAGAGCGGATCAATCTACTTCATAGGCAAAGTTCAATGAGGCATCGTTCGCACAGGTTGACTACAATCGATGCCCCTGAGACATGGTTGCGAACAAGGTCCCGTTCGCATGCACTCTCTTCTTTGAAGGTTAGTGGAGCTGCTGCTCCGGCTTACTGTGGAATGCATTGGGTTGAACTTCGTGCTTCATCGCAGTTAATGTTGTCAGGTATCTCGCGACAATGGGTGTACCAAAAGTCAACGCCACTACAGCCACGAGGTCTGTACTTCACAGTCGATACTTGTATATCGCACTCTGTAGTATTCAGGCCCACTTGTAGCGCAACGCTCATCAAAGTCAATGGTCTAGGACGTAAGCGTACTGGAGCAGGCATTGCAGTCCTGAGGGGTATTTTCAAGCTCCTCGCTGCTCTTGCATTTGAGTGTGTTATAAGCTTTCTTCCCATTGCGGGTATGGTGACTTTCACCCTCTATACCGTAGAAGTTGTCCTAACTACCGTGCGAGGCTTTTGCCTCGGAATTATGGGACTCTTCTGTGGTGCTATTTGGATTGCAATGGCTGGTACGTGGTTCGCATTACCGGTTGAGACGCAGGCAACTGCAATTCTGCGTAGATGAGGTCTAAATGAATTATTGAGAAGATCGGTGTATGCATTAGTTGTGGATAGCCCCTTGCTAAAGAAAAAGAAATGAGATTTATGCATAAATTTCCGATCTTCATTGCCCCTTTACCGGCCGCAACATACACACTTGCACATAACCAGGGAATGGCGAAAATGACTCCAAGCCCTGGAATCCATACTTCTCATACACGGGCTTGCCCTCCGGCGATGAAGACAAATAGACCTCTACTCCCTCTTCATCAGCATGCGCAAGGCCCCATTTCAATAGCTTCGATGCCAGCCCACGGCCCTGATGAGATGGATGAACAGCCAGCATGTCAAGATCTATACGTCACAAATTAGCAGAGCCGTTTAGACACCAATGGTCGCGTGCAAAACAAAGCAGAAGAAACCAATAGTCGAAGCCACCAGATAAACCCAGGAGCAAAAGCACGAGGAAAAAAAAGGAAAGTTAAAAAAGCAAACAGAAACATACAATAGTGCGGCCTATCCCCCATCCACTTCCCATGCAGTTCCTCCATACCAGAAAAGAAACGATCGCATAGTTCCCCATCACAACTAGGGGCCCAAACCACAGGTTCCTCACGTTCATGCCGATCGCGATCTGCAGACGTGGGACACTTCCATTTCGCGAACGCGACAATCGCGCCTTGATCCGAGTCTACGACTTTTAAGATGACTTCGCTGGTCTCGGCTGCGAGTGAGCGCTTGATGGTGTCGTGAAAATTTTGTTCCCACCAGGCGGTTACGTCGGGGGTGTGCGGGAATAGGGGTCGGCACGAATACATATTCGTAACATTTTGAGATATTCGCATTCGCATTCGTAGATCACAGACCTCTACGAATATTCGTATTCGCAAGGCCAATATTCGTACGAATATTCGTACAAATATTGCCCCGTCACCAAAACCAACTCCCACCCAATAGGAAAAAGTATATCACGTGCAGTTTGTTTATCCAAGTGACAAGTCGCGTCCGAATCTGACAAGTTTATTTCAAGGACGTGTTTCGATGACGGAAATAGAGCTCAGAATGTCTGGTGCTGAATTGCAAGCTTCAAACTATGATGGCTCCGGCAGCTCATCTGTCGAATTGCCACCACGCCCCCAACGGTCTCAGAGAATAGACTACCACTTCTTAAATGGTGGAAGTGACGAAGACGATATTGAAGATCATATCAGAAAGAAACCCCGACTGGATTCGCCACCTGGTCGCTTAGAATCGATTGGTCCTGAAGACTCCGCCAGCCAGCTGCATCTCAATCTACCTACTCCTTCGGAATCTGTTCCACCAGGGGGCTCTAGATGCTTTACAGAGGCCATACGGCCATACAAATCGCACAGAAAAGCCCGCATTAAGCCACTGAATCAATGGCTTTGGAATCAATTTCGAGTTAGTCCTCTTCCGGGCAAGCAATGGCGGCCCAGGCGAAGCCGACAGCTGCTTGAGGATCGAGAGATTCAATGCATTCATTGTGGCTGGAAAACCACAGATTCGGCAAGGGCAACATCTACGACCAACATGAAGACGCACCTAGCCAAACACAACATTTTCGAAAAGTCCGGTCCAGAGGACCTGGGCGAGGGTTCCAGCGAGACGAAACAGCTCTCAATTGCTTCAATATTCCAGTCCCGAGCCGAGCATGATACTAGAGCCCTGTTGGAACAGAACATACTTCGATGGGTTGTGACAGATGATGTGGCATTTACGGCAATTGAGTCCCCTGCGTTCCAACAGATATTCAAGGACTTGCCGGACGCTCCTCTTCCTTTCTCTTCTCGAACAGTTGCCCGCCGCATTGACGCAGATTTTGATCGCTGTCGGATCCAGTTGATCGATGAACTAGCACGGACATGCTCCACAATTGCGCTTTCCTTGGATGTCTGGACAAGCAAGAACCATAAAGCCATTCTGGGAGTTATCGGTCACTGGGTGTCCACCGACTTCAAATATCAAGAACGAGTCCTGGAGTTCAGCGAACTTGCTGGATCCCACAGTGGAGAAAATATGGCGGAGACTCTGCAGAAGATGCTTGTCGAGCTTCGGATTGAGGAGAAGCTGCTCACAATCACAGCTGATAATGCGTCGAATAATGAAACGCTGGTGTCTGAGCTGTATTTTCACCTGTTGGAAAAGTACAACTCGGAGGATTCCAAATTGCCCGATAAAGGACGTCTCCGATTTCAAGGTATTGACAGCTACATCCGGTGTCTTGCACATGTCCTCAATCTCATTGTCCGCGACATCCTCTCGAGGATGAAATCTGGAGATCACAAGTCTGCCATTGAAGCCTGTGATCTCTTACAGGGAAATAAGAAAATCGGACGGCAGTCTGCGTTGGCCCGGATTCGGATCATGACTCTCTGGATATTGAGGACACCTCAACGACGACAGCAGTGGAAAGTGACTTGCCAAGCAAATGGCTTGAACGACAAGTTCATCGAGTATGACGTGGAAACCCGCTGGAACTCCACATACCGTATGGTCCAGGGAGCCTTGCAAGCCAAAGCACAGATCCGGATGTGGATAGAGCATCAGAACCAGTTTCCGCCATTTTCAGCTGACGACTGGTTGCAGCTGCAACAGCTCGAAATGATCCTCTCCAAGTTCGATGAGTTCACTCAACTGGTTTCCCGGCGGAAATCCCAGATCAGCTTAGCCATTCCCATCTATTACGAACTGAATGACATGCTCGAAGATGCAGCTTCTGCACAAGGCGACTTTTCGGGGCTTAGCTCTGACATTACCTCCGCCATCTCCGCGGGGATGAAGAAATACAAGAAATATTATGAACTGATGGACGCCCAAGATGCTTATTATATAGCTCTTGTCCTTGACCCACGCTTCAAAACCCTCTTATTGGATAAGGAGCTTGGGCAGGTGACGGCGCCAAAGGTTATTCGATCCATCAAGGATACCTTGCATGAGCAATACCCATCGAAATCATCACTGGAGCAATCAACGTCACAGATTAATCAGGACAACAAGCGGCAAAGTCTGGAGGCTCGTGTTCTGCAGAAGCTGCAACCACAAGTGATCCAGCGTTCAGATATTGACCGCTACTTTGAGGAAGGTGTGGTGACTGTTGATGAATCTGTAACAAAGGATGAAGATTGGTTATTTGGCTGGTGGAGGACGCACAAGGATGAGTATCCGCGGATGGCAGCTGCAGCCAGGGATTACCTTGCCATTCCGGCGGCTGAAGTCGCAGTAGAGAGGTTGTTTAGCCGTGGTAGGGATCTGTTAGGGGTACGTCGACATTCTCTAAAAGGTGAGACAATGCGGAAAGTGATGCTGTTGAGAGATATATATAGTTCAGAGAACACCCAGTGAAAAATCCTAGAGCGTCTTGCTGGTATTCCCAACCAGCCGCTGCTTTGCTTCGAAGGATATAGTAGTATAAAGCCTCTGTGGATCATTGTTCGCAAGGCACGGAACATCAAGTGAAGTCTTGTCACTTGGGCTGTGACTGCTCACTAGTTATTCTTTTGCCACGTGACCGAACTTGCGAATATTCGCGGCGAATAGAAAATTTATTCGCATTCGCATTCGTCGTGCAAAATGTCTGCGAATACGAATGCGAATTGCGAATATTCGTAACGAATACGAATATATTCGTTATTCGTGCCGACCCCTATGCGGGAACATGGTCCTATTGAAGTCGCCCACGAAGGCTGCGTAGAAGATCTCGGTGAGCTCGGCCCCGTCGGCTGGAGTTGCGGGGATCACTTCTAGAGGCATTTTGGTGTTTGTAGGTTGGGGTAATTGTTGCTGAATATGTGTCTGGTTTGAAGATTTGTGGTGGCGGAATTGCGGGTCTACAGAGCCATCTCATGTTTTAGGCACATTCAAGAGACTATCCATACTCTACACATGTTTCAAAGGCCAGTACATCTTTTCTGTCTGCTATTAAACGAACTTATTCCGCTTTCGAGAAACCTAGCTAATCGCAAAAATTGTACTAGAGACATTTAGCACCAATTTTAGGATGAATAGATTATTGTTCACATATTTTGATAAGAAACATCGATTTGATGTGTGCGTAAACTGGCACGTAATTAAATGTTTGACATTGTAGACATTAATAGGGACTAAACGGCCAACATTATATCCATAGACCGTGACGTTTTGAACGCTCCCAGTTACGCTCGCGGGGGGTATATATTTCAAACAAGTATTGACACTGGGTCCCCAAGCGATGACTAAAATTGTAGAAGAAAACTTTGTTCACAATGCAAGAAGGGCACATGCCAAACGGTGAGGATTCAAGGTTCTGGTGCCCTCAAGCCAATGACGGGATGCTCAGATAGATGGTCACTGCTTCTCCTTCTCCAGCGCCGCCTCTGGAGTGGCGATTGGACTGACTGGCCCAGACTCGGTATGTTGCCTCTGGCGAGATGGGTCGTAAGTCAGCGTCGTGTCAGCGCGTCCTGGCGTCGCAGATCCCCTGTAGGACTGATCATGTGAAGGTGGCAAGACGGAGCGGCGGATGCGTGGATCGTCAGGTTGCTGTGTCTTGCTGTCGGTGCTCTTTGTCGTTTCCATTTCTGATTTGACGCTTTGGTACATGCTTTCGACGATGAAGACTTCTTCTTGTACGTCTAGATCGCAGCTGACCAAGCAGAACTCGCGTTCACGTTGCTCGATGTACTCGCGGATATTCTTCCATTGATTCTGGTAGTGCTTCAGACGATCTGGCAGACCGGAGCCGCGGAGGTAGGTTAAGACACCGGCCATGATTGTGTTGATGGCGCCGAACGCGGTGACGGCAGAGTGTGGGCCGCTAGCTGCGCCGAGCGCAGTCACTGCGGCGGCAACGACGACTTGAATTCCGAGGCAGGTGTTGATGAGGAAGTTAAAGATTTTGTAGGCGCGCTGTGCCTTAGTTTCATTGGTGATGACGCGGGTATAGATACCGATGTTCGGCGCACTGCGGAGGAGATGTCCCTGTTGTGTGAGCGCGGGGACGCTGTCGATGCCGGTTAAGGCGCGGAAGACGAGGAGCTTGTCGTTGGTTGGAATGAGAGATTCCAACTGTGTTGTTGCCACTCGCTTTGGTGGGCCTCCTGGAATATCTTGTCCATATCCACCATTCTGGGAACCCAAAGCTGCTGCTGCGTGTGCAGCCATGGGTGGGTAGCCCGCCTCCTCGCGATCTAAGGCTGCCTCAACGATCCGGTGTAAGAGTCCGCGGTTGGGCTTCTTCTGCGACATGTTTGTGGGTATAGAGAGACTTGGGAAGGGCGGGGTAATGAGAAGAGCGCTTTGCGCACAACAGATGGGGAAATGCTCATATTTGTAAACACACGAGGGACCCCCAATACCGTCAGGCTGCTTTTGCGCAATATCCACCTTGCAGATGCAGCCAAGATTAGTGCAGCAGTCCTCCGAGACCTAGAGCAAAGCTAACCCTGCATTCAGTCGATGTCGAGTGAGGATGTGCATGATAATATTCCACATAGGGGAATGCCCGGAAGAGAAACATGCAGGGTTGGCGAATAGCCGGTGCAATGAGACCAATCTGAATCATGACAGGTTGGACGCATGGCGACCGGCGCATGCAGCGTAAAACTTAGCGGCATCGGCCAGCTGGAAGTGCCTCCCAGACTCGAACTAGACCTGTCTTGGCCCGAATGTGGCTTAAAATTGGTGGAGATCTGCACGCCGCGCTCACAAGAGACAGTCAAGAACGGTGGGGCTAGGCTTGCGGTATTGAGGAATCATACACCACGATCATGATCGGGGTGTGAACAGAACGCCGATCGCTGGAAAAGAGTCTGCAGTTTGCTCCACGGTATGTGAAAAATCCTCCGAGAAGCGCTAATGACGGAGACCCTACTCCATGGCCATGTCCACTTTCCGGGTGTTCAACGGAAGAGATGCCCATTTGTCACTGGCTGCATGACAGGTGCAAAACTCAGGATCCAGTAACGGAAACGAGATTGTCACTTTGCAGATCGGACATCGACTTAGCAAGTCAGGTGAAACCTATTGCATGGGATGAGAACTCCGCCGCACCCTGATTGCAGACTGTATGGGTTGCTGATCTACTGCACTGCGCTGCTTGTCCCGGTGTCAGAATCAGAAATTAGTTGTTTTGGTTCATGGTGTTGAAGCCCCTGGCGTAACGAAAGTCCACAAGCACGGGCCTACCCTTCAACCCCTCGGGGAGGAGTTCCACCAGATAGATCAACCCCTGAATTGTGTTCGAGTTGAGGCCCCAGCTTCGTGCCGAGCGGTCTAGGGTAAGAGCGATGTGATTGGCTTGACTTGCTCGCCAGACATTTCCGCTATCTCGTGGCGGGCTGGAAGCTCGGCGTATCACAATTAAAGCTTGATGAGAGCGGATCGAAAAAGGTTCGCAACGGGAAGATTGGGATAGGCAAGGGACGGGAATTCAAATGAGGAATTGTAGAGATTTTTCTAAAGAATTCAAGAGCAGAGTTCCACCCTAGACTGGATCCAAGCTGTCTCCAGTTCTCAAGCACATTGTTGTAGTGTACGGAACGTCCTGCGAAGGGACAACCAACCCCCCATATTAAGGGCTCCGCCTTTCTTGTGGCAATACATTCCTCACTCACCTTAATTCCATTTATAGCGATTGACTTGGATTTTATCATTCGATGCATCTTATAGTCAACTATGTTCCAAACGGAGATCGTAGAGCGAGCTTTAAAAACGCGTTTGGGAATGTTGAGTCTTCAAAGGAACCTTTATGATAGCTTGACCCAGCGCTTCGTTAAATGCGTCATTCCACCGCTTGTATTCTGTGATCATAATATAGTATACAAAATCGGCATTGTTAGCGTTCATGGGGGATTCATCAAACGGTATTTGGTCGGGATTGTTGATGCTCTGCCACGCAAACAGCACAGTTGTTCCCTTGGCGCTTATATCATACAATACTTGTTTTCCAGAAATCTAAACGGCCGTCAGGGTCTGGTATTTTGACCTGCTATATATAGTCAGTTGAGACCGTCTTCTACCATACTGAAGAGATCCAGCTTCTACAATGTGTTTCAGTTGCGGTATGTTTCCTCCAAGCTAACCAAACTTACATGGTGAAAGGTACTAAAGATAAATTTGATCTGACAGCTGAGGGATAACGATATTGATGATTCTATAATACCTTGTTTACGAAAGCTAGCAGAGTTTAGATTAGTCAATCGCTACGGGATAATTTAGCAGAGGAGGCTTAGCCATATTATAACATCCAATGCCAACAATCGTCCTTACAACGGACAAGCATTCGGTTATGCTTTTTCTTAAAACTTTGTCAGGATTTATTGACGTTGAGCATTGAGGATTTTAGACCGAGGTGGCAATGGAGGTGATTCTATAAGTGACAGCTGAGCCATTTGGGCTTGTGTGCATCACTGAAAATGATAAATTGCCAAATGTCTCTTCGTTGGTAGTTGTCATCGTGGCTGTGGCTCTATTGAAGCGGATTGGGCCAAGATTGAAAATTCGAAGACAGACTATTGGAGCAAAGAAATCCGGAAGCCCGTGACTAAATGTACCTGGGCAAGACGGCGGACATGACTAAATAGAATCACCACCTGGGCAACATTGGAATTCGCGAAGAATGCGATTCCGAAAACCGAGCTTGCCTCGGCTTCCCGATGGCCTAACGCGGAGAGTCAACTTCTTAGATTACACTATCCAAGTTTTTCGGAACAATTAACTGTACTTAGAAGTATCTTTTTGTCGTTTCAATACTAACTTCGTTTATTTAAATCGCATGTAACTTGTGCTGTGACTCTCTGCCATTGCCCCAAGACCTGTTCCTTCAATTCCATCCCTTACCCTTTAAAGACATGACTTCTATCAAAATGATTGAATGGTTTTGGACTTGGACTCTTACATTTGATTTTTGGAAATTCCTGCTCACAATCTTCCTTGTGGTCAATTTCAAGAATTTGCCACTGGTCTTTCATGTAAGCATTTCTTCGAATGCGGACAAGACGCAGATAACGGCAATTGTCTTCCTCTATCTTCCAATATATGCTAATATAACATGCTTCAAGTATCGAATTTTCCGCCCAATCATACAAAGCGCCTTCAGAAAGAAAAGCAGCCACCAGGTGGCGTCAGTCCACCACGGAAAAAATTCTTTGCCATTGGTTTTCCTTCCATGTATAACGACAACATACACGCCAATGCTCGAAGCGGACTACAACCTGCACAAATCAAATAGCACTTATTTTACAGATCTGGATGCAAGCCGCTCTCATCTGCTGTCAAACCTTTGCTACGGCGGAGTTTCTGTTGTGGAAAAAGAGCTCACCGCTGAGGGTAAAACAGGAATTATGGCTGCCATAATCGGTTCTGTCACCACAAGCTTCAAGAAGGAAATCCGGATCTTCCAGCAGTACGAAGTATGGTCACGGATTCTCACATGGGACAAGAAGTGGCTCTACATTGTGACCCATTTTGTTCAGAAAGGAAGTGTTAAAAACAAATATCTGGTCACTGATATCTTGTCGGAGGGACACATTTGTGGAAAGTGCGATGGTACTGGTGGTGAGGGTAACGGTGCCAGCGCAGCGCGCCCCGTGGTATATGCCACGTCGGTCTCCAAATACGTATTCAAAAAGGGCAGGTTTACCGTGGCACCGGAGCGCCTTCTGAGAGCTTCTGGTCTATTGGGAGGAAATGGTAAGATGGGAGATGTTTGCTCCAAGAACCAGAGTCCTCAAATAAACATCAAAGATCCCCTTACCAAAAGCAATGAAGGTATGGACAGTCCAGCAATCGGCCAAGTTGTTGAAAGCGAAAGGCTCAAAGGATTGAAATATGCCAAGGCTTGGGATGAGTTAGAGTCTCTACACGCGGAGCCTCTTGGGGTTAACGAAACAAGTGGCTGTGTTCCAACCATTGGCCACTTTAATGATATCTCTGGCTACGGTTTCTCTTACTGCTAGGGTTTGACGTGCGATTTTAAGAGACTCAACGTATGTTTTCTGCTTGATTGTATTTAATTTTGATATCGTAAACATATAGATTTGAATGACGGATCGCCGCATGCGAGATCTGTTTTAATTTTGAATATAATAACTTCAACTAATTGCTACAGTTAATCCAACACTATAAATCTCTCCGAAGGCAGGATTGGCATGCTCCGAGATCTTTTCGAGACGGAATATGAAGTCACATCCAGTCTCCCGAATACTGCACAATGTCTTTCAGTATAATAAGGTATTCACATACTATTATGACGACGAAAATCCTTACCAGCTAAGTCTATCTCCAGCTATACATGCATGAAGTGGGGCGAAGATTGGTGCCTCAGGTTACGTTCCTGACGAGACTCGCAGGAGTCTGATGATGACTGCGAAGACGAAACCTCATCTCTAGACATTCTGATACTAATATTGGGGTTTGTACCAATTATGTACCTGGAATCTGATTGAGGGGTTTGCTCATCCCACTTTCCGCCACCTTCCGCTGAGACCATATTTCAAGAGAGTGTCGCCATACGACGCAATTTTGGCAAACTGATCTAAAATGTTTTTGAACATCCCAGGTAGAACTGTATATCTTCTTCAGTCTGCAACTCTTCGCGGTTCTGAGACTTCCCCTCTATTACAAATGCCGAGGTGGGGAAACTGATAAGGAAAAAAAGGGACCGCGCCCTGCCGTTGACAGCTTTGACATACATGTACTCAGACCTTGATATTTTGCATATTCTTCCACAATCAAGGAGACATCATGGGAGACGCACCTTTGCCATCTGAGCATGTGCTCATTATTTTCTATCAGCATATGCCGGAATCGCTGCAAGAGGAATTCCGCCACAAGTTCACCGGTGCCGAGGTCACCATTTACCAGTCACAGCCAGGTGTTCCTGTGCCGCTAGGTAAGTGATTATTAGCCTGAGGGCTATTAGTTGAGGTTTTCCTCGTCAAAAGTCCATAGTAACATTTTGCATGCAGAGTTGTACCACAGCGCCACCATCCTGGTCACTTTCACGGATCTGCCAGATCTCAAGGATGCGACAAAGTTAGTATTATATTTGCAACAGGCAGTGTCACAAATTCAATATACTAACCCGCTATATATAGCCTGAAACTGATCCACACATTCTCTGCTGGCCTGGACCATCTCATGCAGCACCCCATTCTACGGGAGAGTAACATCCCCATTACCACTAGCTCTGGTATCCACGGGCCTCCAATCGCGGAATGGACCGTAATGAACTGGCTGGTGTCTTCCCGGAAGTATGTCCAGACATATGAGGCGCAGAAAGGGCATCGATGGGATAGTAAAACCCAGTATATGCGCGGCATGCACGACCAGGTCGGTAAGAAGGTTGGCATTCTTGGATATGGCTCTATCGGTAGACAGAGTAGGTCTCAATCTTGAAGACGGAATACATAGAGAACCGCTCACTAACACCCCCAGTCGCCCGTGTCTCTACCGCTCTGGGTATGACTGTGCACGCGCACACTGCCTCCCCGAGACCAACAGAAGAATCCCGTCGCGACACTCACTACATCGTCCCTGGAACAGGCGACCCAGCTGGCTCGATTCCGGTCTCATGGCACCACGGCACAGACCGAGAATCTATCCGGGCTTTCTTAGCCCTCGGACTGGACCATCTAGTCGTTTCGCTCCCGCTGACTCCGGAAACGACTCATCTCCTTGGATCTGAAGAGTTTACTATTCTTTCTGACAACTGCCACCACCATTCTACCAAGCCATATGTTACCAATATCTCACGTGGTAAGGTCATTGATCAGAAGGCGCTGATCGATGCCTTGAAGTCTGGTGTGCTTGGCGGTGCAGCTCTCGATGTTACTGATCCTGAACCTCTGCCTGAGGATGATCCCCTCTGGGATGCGCCAAATGTGCAGATCAGTCCTCATATCAGCAGTCTGGGAAGCGAATACTTACCCCGTTCTCTTGATATTGTGGTGTTGAACCTGGGACGGTTGAAGAGGGGTGAGGCTTTAGTCAATGCATACAACCGGGGCAGGGGATATTAGACCATAAACCTGTTGTTCCGTGTCTAGACATCGAGCCCGTTCGATAACAGAAAGAACGAATATGACAATGAAAATTCTTCGTATTTCATATTCAAGTGGGCGATTCGGTGACATAACACTAGGCGAAAAGTAGCAAAACAAGCAAGCAAACTTCGTGGTGTTACGGCTGGGCAGTCTAGGTAGCTCCTTGCCTATCACACACTAGCATAATGCAATAGACCCAAAGCATAGACCTTCCTTAAGCTTTTGGATTACTATCAGATAGATAGCAGGTATGTGTCCTCGATTAAATGGCTCGAAGTATCTTGGCCCGCTGATCTCTCCTACAGGCCAGTGCGCTTTGGCAATAACAGTTCTTGGAGCTTGTTGTTCATGGCTTGACGAGATAATGCCAGTACGTTGCTGCTCTTCACAGAATATACAGATGGTGCTATCAGTGGTACATCATGAGTTAAGTTATATAATGACAGCATCAATATGGATCGACATCATCCCAACTCAGGCCGTGTGTCCTGTACTGCAGTTCGATTGACCTGTCATATCTAACTATATAACCACAAATATCATTACTTTTGGTGGGATCGATAGCGCCACTCATCTATCACACTACGCTGTTAGCTCTCATCCCTTCCTCGACCACCACAGCAATAAAACCACAGCCTGCAACAGTTAACGCCCATGGATTAATCAGGTCTCTCAGAGAAGGCCAGAAACTGTTCTTCTCCTTTTGCCATTGTTGCAGCTGCTCATACTTGTGAACATCCTGGGTCTTGTAGCGCTCTTCCTGGCTGGCTTCGGTCTGCTTGTCGCCACCAACAAAGCGTAGGAACAAGTAGTTCGAGAGTGGACCAAGCAAAACCACAGGGTTGAAATGGCCGGCAATATTCAACAAAGCATAGGAGAAGTGAACCAATGTGTCTCCCAAATAGCTGAAAATGTGTCAGCACATGCTAGCCAATGTAAGTGGTCGCTTGATTGAATGAAACTCACTTTGGGTGCCGCACAAGACTCCAAACCCCATGCCGACACAAATCAGTTCGTTCCTTGCGATGCAGTCCAAGTTGCGTATCGGCCATAACTTCCATCGCAAACCCAGCACCGAAAAGTCCAACGCCCAGAGCACGAACAACGTTAATCGTATTCTCCCCCAACGAGATATTACTACCACTCATGTGGAAAGGAGCGGTAAAAGGAAGCGAAATCACACTCAAAACAACAGTCTCAGGCAAAAAGACCTTCAAAAAAGCGGTTCTCCAGAAGCCAGGCTCCTTCTTGATAGCATCATATCGAGCATCATCTTTCCCGCGGGAGAGAGACCGCAATGCGATGCGACCGAACAGCCTAGTGCCCCAGATAGTTACACAGCTCAAAAGTACCTTCTCGGTCCACGACAGACCATCCCAGCATGCGTTAAACGAGATTCCTTGTTCGTACATTGGCTGGCCGATGGCGCTCCACCAGGCATTGATGACTTGGGCCGAGGGCCACAGCCAGTCTTTGAGTTCGACTCTGTCAGTTGCCTTGGCTGCGATGTATGTTCCTAGGGAAAGGCTTGAATAGAGGCCGAATGATGGGAGAATAGTTGATTTTAATATTCCAACGTCTCCCGGTGACATCCTGAAATTTGGACGTGCGTTTTGGAGGGATGGCGAGGAGAGTGGGTTTGGCCGCTGAGTGTTCATCATTGATGGTTGAATCAAAAATGCCGTTCCGATGATAATCCCGGGATCTTCGGCAAGCAAAATATAGCAAGCAGACTTGGTTCGTGCTTTGTTGTTTAACTTGTTTCAGTTCGCACTGTTGATGTCAAGATTATGTAACGTTGCGTAACTGTCCGGGTAGCCGTGGATGTTTTTGAATGTCCACGGCTGTATTAGAAGCGATTTCGATGTTTCCACTCATTTTATTGGAAGAGCTTGGATAAATAATCTAGTTATTTACTAGAATACAATAATGTGTGGGTATAATATGCGAACAGTGGTTGACAGCAGACGAAGCGTAGGACATGTGTTGGTAATCGCGACCGAGGTTTGAACCTCAACTCCCATCGATATCTCTCAAATGTGTGGAAATAATTGTGTAAAGATCAGTTCTCCATGTAGATGACAGCGATTGGTCATCCTTCTTGAACTTTCGCTGCATAAGAAACGACAACCGCTCATCCCAGAGTGGCGTGAATATCTTCACGTTAGAACCGGAGAACGCCATGGCTTCGTTGTCATTCTGGGTGCATAGATCATCCCGCATGTTTTCACCAGAGATACGTGATATTAGTGATAAGTCAACGGAGCAGGTAGTCTCGAGATCATGCAAGTCATAGCCATCTGGTATGCGTTCAAAGGGGAGTCGACTGGCAGGCACCTTCTGGGATTTCCTGCCAGGCGCCACAGACTCGTCCGACTGATTGCTGACTTGATTGCGCATAAGATATGCTCGCGGATCATGAGGGGAAAGGGTTGCAATGGAAAAGGGGTCTGTAGTTGAAGATTGCGAGGAGGTCAAAGCAGCCTTTGCAGCGAGGTATCGACTATGATGTGGAGAATGCGAGATCGGGAGAGCAGGTTGTGAACTGGACAAGAATTCATTTTCCCTGAAACGCATACGACTGCTTTGAATGGCTTGCCTTTTCCTCCTTTCAAAGTCAAGTGCTTTCTCCAGATCTGACGTTTCCTCAACATCAACACCCTCATGCAGCCGGGAGGCCCATCTGTCAAGAACTGGAAATCCTCGACCACTGTCTATTGACTCATCGGTATTATCGTTCAAACCACGCGGCAAGGAAGAAGCACGTCGAAAGGATTGATGTGTTTGGCCATTCTCGGATAAATCGCCAAGCTGTCGACCATTCTGCCCGTCAACAGGTGGATTGTTCAGTGAGCGCCCCGCGTGCAATCCGAATCTTTCCTGCGCAAGCGACGAAAGGGGTGACCCGGATTCTTGGATAGGTTCTTCCTCCATTGGACTCTGTTGGAGTGAAACTTGCGTTGTCCTCTGGAACCACGTATCCAGCGCGCCATTGCCGTAGCGTTCTCTATCCCGTTCCCTTTCTGCCCTGCGAGCACTTGATAGGTGAGGCACTTCAGGGGAGGTATCAATCGGTTCTTGAGAATTTTGATGACGGCGTCTCACTGGGGACCCAGATGCAATCCTTGAAACAGGAGGACTCGGAATGTCCGGGGTGTCGGGGGATCGTTGGAGGCTTCTCGGTTCGGAATTTCTTCGTCTGAAGTCTTCTGAGCTTTGTACAACCAAGTCCACGGGACTCCTTTGGCTAAATTGATTCTGCTCGCGACGTGGAGTTCGGAAGGACGCGTTTATTCTCGAGACAGACCATGGATTGACAAAGCTGGAGCGTTTTGCCTTATTGGCATTAGATTGCTCAGGGCTTCCGTTAGAGGTGACTTGGTTATCGGTAGGCAACGTTATGGTCTCCGGTCGAGGTGTTCTCTGCGAAAGAGGAGTGCAGAATATAGCATCGCCAAAGGAATCTTCAGTCTGATGAGACTGAGTGACTAGTTCTGCGGGGGTCTTCCTAGCCATCAAGAGGTCAAATCCACTATTACTGGCCCCGACATTGGACGAAGCCACGTTTTCTTTGTTGACAATTTTCCTTTCGTTTCCTGCAAGCTCCCCGTAATGATCTCGGAAAAGGCTTTCTGCCAAAGACAACACAAGGTCCCGATTCTCAAACAACAGGTCATCTTTCGCTGGTTCGATGTTCACATCGTAGGTCCCTCTAGGGCAACTTATTTGCAAACACAGGAACGGATCCGTCACAGTCTTAGAATATTCGGTTTGGGATGCGGCGAGACGAACGTACAGCTTGAACAGCTTCACAATCTCTTGTCCAATCCCTCTGCTGCTGGAAAGAGGACGACCATCAACGCTAATAAACTGTCCTGCGTTGTTAATTTTCGATGTATCTGCTTTGGTCAGCGGACACAAACGAGACGTTCAAACAGGCTAACCTACCAAACGGTGCCTTCGGGAGAAAAGCAGTCGCTTCATAATCTCCTTGATCGGATGACCCTTCATACTGGGCGAGGGATTGGGAAGAAAGCACTTTAACAATACAACAAGACGACACTTCCATGCCAGCAATTTTGAGAGCTGCATCCGGGAGGGAAGGATAGGCGCCTGGTGCGTATGCCCAGTTATTGTTTTCATTTTTCGCCTTGAGAACTTTCAGCGAAAATCTCTTTGATGGCTGTGCCATGGCGTACGCCTGAAGAAGCTTTTTGATCCTTGTCAAGGCTCTTGTGGCTGCTTTCAAAGCTGTCTGCCTCCGAACCGGGATGTGTTTGAGGAAGTTCTCAATGCGAACTGTCGTCCCCAAGGGATGGGATGTTCGTTGTGTCCTGGGGTGAATGTCAGCAAAGCCACAACCTTCTCAGACCTCTAGTTAATATCCTACCCAATCAACTCCCCGTTCCTTCCATACTTGTGACACGAGCCAACAACTTCAGACTGAACTCGAGTGGTGAGAGCAACCACCCCTGACATCTCCGCGACACTTGCCAAGGCTTCGCCCCGAAAGCCTAGACAAGATCCGCCGATATTCTGGAGATCGTCTAAAGTCTGGATCTTGCTCGTGAAGGAACGTTTGCAGACATACTGTTGGTCCTCTGGTGGGATGCCACATCCGTTGTCTTTGACTTGAATGACATCCACGGTATTTTGAGATATCTCGATCTGCACTGAAGTGGCGGACGCATCTAGTGCATTGTCAATGAGCTCTTTAACCACCGAGCATGGATCGGAGATGACTGATGTGGAGCCAATCGCCTGGATTGTGTTCTGAGGAAGCGCCTCAATCGGCATCCTGGGATCGTGGTATTATACGTTCATCACTGGAAACCCTACAGATCCATGTGAACAACTCGAGCGCCTTTGATTAATAAAGATCTGGCTATGCAACAGATGCAGGATGAAGTTGGGCTCGAGTTGTAATTCCACGCACGAGGTCGACAATCAACATGATGAGTCAGCCACTGTGGCGCGATAAACAACACGTCTGATTTGAACGCTCTTCAGTCTTGTCCACAGCATCTCAAGGCGCTAAAATGTTCAGCGAGGACTTTTCAATATCACAGCTGGCAGTTCCGGCTGTCAGTATTCTGATCGGTTTCCTTGCGTACACATCACAGTACTTCTTCCTGCATTTCGAGGCCTTGCCACTCACCAAGGATGAGACATGGAGAATCAACATATTCGCCTTGTGCATTTGGATATGCTATTATCGAGCATGCTTTGTAGACCCTGGTCGGCTACCGAAATCTGAAAAGCGACCAGAGCCCAAACACCAAGAAGGTGACGGTCTGACCGGTCGCCAGCGGTGGTGTCGTAGATGTGAAGCTTACAAACCGCCACGGGCTCACCACTGCAAGACATGCAAAAGGTTTGTTGAGAATCCGTATTTGAGAAGATTTTGTGCTAATCCGTCATCAGATGCATCCCCAAGATGGATCACCATTGCCCTTGGACCTCAAACTGCGTCTCACATTTCACGTATCCGCACTTCATTCGCTTTCTCTTTTACGCAGTTGTCGGAATGTCGTACCTTGAGAGCTGTCTTTGGCAGCGTGGCTCTTTTGTATGGAAGAACAGCAACTTGCCCAGCGTATGTAGCGTGATAACTGCGCGGATACTTTCATTACTGACAATTGAATAGTACCTTGGCCCCAGACTGGGACAGCTCATCCACCTATTCATACTTTTTGTGGTCAACAGTCTGACCGTATTTGCTCTATTCGTTCTCTTGCTCAGAAGCCTTTGGTCGCTAGGAACGAACACGACCACCATTGAATCCTGGGAGATTGAAAGGCACGCCACCCTTGTCCGGCGATCCCGTGTTCTAGGCGGGTACCTTGAAGGCCCAGGGGGAATACGAATTCAGATCAAAAAACAGGAGTATCCTTACGACATTGGGATTTGGGCTAACATTAAGCAAGGCATGGGCGGGAGTGCCAATGTCAGTTCCCATCCATATCTCACAACCTATATCTTGTTAACATTCTCTTAGTTTATTAGCTGGTTTTGGCCACTTGCTGCAACGCCAGATCGTCGCACAGGTTGGGAATATGAAACCAATGACTTTGAGGGTATGTTGAAGATTTGGAAATTAAAACCCAACCTGCTGATCATTTTATTAGACCCAGGTGTCTCGTGGCCACCGCCAGATCCTGATAGGATTCCCATGCCTATCAATACAAATCTAGGCCCCAACGCACCTCAACCATACGCAAATGTTCAAGAGCAGATCGATGCATTCAATCGTCGCAAAACTGAAGACATGAAGCGTTTTACGGCGAATTCTGGTTTACAGCGCCGCAAGCCCTTCCATGATCGTTATCAAAGAGATGAATTTGCTCCAAGCGAAAGCGATGAGTCTGAACCCCGATCAGGCAATGACTCAGACGAAGGCGAAGAGTCCTGGCGCAATGCCGAAGGAGAACGATTACGCGACTTCGGTGTCGACGAGGAAGCAGAATTCTACGATGAGGATGATATTCCTCTCGGGGTTCTCCTTCAACGCAGACAAGAGCAATCATCCAATTGAATAGCTGACTACAAAATTCAATAAAAACAACCTGGTCTATTAAATCTTCTTCGCGATACCCCTGAGCCGCACATATCCCAGCCACTGGCTACCATCTTCACCGCGAGTAACAACGTCCTCAAGGACGTCACAAACCTGACGCACCACAGCATCCCACTTCTCCTGAGGCAGAGCCTCCAGGAATTGAGCACCCATCAGTCGAACCCATCCCTCCAATCCACCCTTGGCATCGGTAGTGAGCTTAGTCGGGCGGTATTCCAGTTCAACCGTTTCGACCTGGAACCCAACTTCCTCCAGCGCACTCCGCATCCAAGTATCAGACGGGAAGAACCAAGGACTCGTCTCCTTCGCCTTCTCAATGGGAATGCCCTGCTGCACGAGAGCATAGATCAGAGCCGTCTTGACCTCGGCAACATTACCATGACCACCCATCTCAAATACATAAGTACCGCCAGGCTTCAGACTGCCATAGATGGCGCGAAGGGTTGACATCCGTGTTGTCTCGTCACGCAGGATCCAGTGGAGAGCTGCGTTGGAGATCCTGTTATATTGTTAGAGATTTATCACATAGTCCATATATCATAGATAAATACATACACTTTATCCCACGATCCATTCACAATTGAAGTTTCCTTCTCCAGATACCGGCAGTCCACAACGCGGAAACTAGCCTTAGGGCTTCCGTAGTCCTTGTTGGCAGACCCGATCATAGACTGAGATGAGTCAATACCTAGGACAGACTCGATGGCTGGAATGAAATTGTCTGTGAATTTTCCATCACCGCAGCCGATATCGAGGATTTTGTCTGTTGGTTTGGGGTCCAGGTATTGAAGCAGCTTGCCGGCGAGCTTCGGCACAAAGGATGCAGAGGTAGCATAAGCCTGAAATTGTCAGCAATGATGACATGGTCTTTTAATATACCTTTACACACCTCAGCTGACCAGTGGTCTTTAGCTCCCTGTGTATTGGCTGCCATGATGTTTTAGAGCTCGATGTATAAACTAGCGGAGAACTTTCAGTCTTGGCGTTGGAATGTTGTTGATCTTAACGACGCGAAGAGATGATGAGAATGAAAGAATGGACCCAGTGTGTCTCTGGCGCAGAAGACTTGATTGACTATATTATTCTCTCGTGTCTGGGTAGTTGAGCTCTCTTATATGTATTTGTGCTCATAGAGCGGAGACGATTGTTCAAAGTAGAGCGAGGCCGATATCGGACCGGACTTATCGGCGTGATGTATAGTGTCCCTGTTAATATGTTCTCTGCGATCTCGCAGGAAGTCGAGTCATTTGAAGTTCTGGAATGTAGATCCAGAGAATGAGTAGGTTTTGACTAAGAAGTAGAAGCTTATTAGAGGTGAGGAGGGGTTTCAACGGCGGCCACTAAGTTACTGCTCAGGCAGGCATAGACCCCAATGCGTTACCTGCATATAACTCAGAAAACTTAACAACCAGAAGCGTAGCCGCATACTTCATTTACCTCACAGATTCCATCTTAGTTTCAATCTTCCTCTGAATTATAGAAATGAATACATTAATCTATCTTAATACTGTACACCAGAACTAAGAAATTGACGTCACCCGGTGGAGTGGGCGGAACAAACAAATTGATTTCCGCTATTTTCACTGGCCAAAACCACTCCCACTTCAGTTATATACAGGTGCTGCTCTCAACTGATTCCCCCAAGGTTCCTGCATCTCTCATCCTTCTACTTCATTGGTCCATCTTAGTTCCTATACCCCGGAATATATCGCAACTCTTCGACCAATCAAGAGTCATCATGTCTTATCAAGGCCACTGTAACTGCGAGAGCATTCGCGTTGCTCTCCCCCAACAGCCAGCGAACACTGGTATTTGTTATTGGTATGATAGGATCTTGGCTATTTATCATCCTGCCTTTTTAAAAAAAAGAAACTTACATCGGGGCATCATCTAGCGATTCCTGTAAACGCGCTGGTGGCGCAGGTATGCATCTCAAGGCGTCGAATAAGTTAAAGAGATGCATTTCCACTAACTCCCATACGTAGGATTTTCCATCAATTATTTTGTTAGCGACAATGACTTGACCGTCGAGGATCCGAACACGACCCTGCGAATCTATGAGGACAAGAAGTCTGCCAGTGGAAACGTTGTCAAGGTAATCTGAATCGCCCGGCCTGGGCTTTAAGGTCCCGATATACCTGTTAGAGAAAAGCTAATACCTCAATCTTTAACAGCGCCATTTCTGTTCCAGCTGTGGCAGGTATGTAATGATTATGCACAGTGGGAATAATGCTAACATCCTAAAACAGCCCCGTGTTTACTAGGACCCCTAAGGCACCCGGAATGGTCTTCCTGAAGGCTGCCTTGTTTGATACTGTTTCCCCGCCTAAAGGCGAAGTGTTCAGCGAGAAGCGACACGACTGGCTCAGGGTTGAACATGAGAAATAAACGTCAATATTGTGGATTTGACGGATTATTATGTAACGCACAGTAAATGAGATATTGCTTACACAAGAAACTCAGAAATATACATTTCTCGCCAAGATAAAACGTTTAGACTAAAGCTATATGCAATGGGGCGATATAGTGTCAAAGATGCGTAAATTGTGCAATCCCTACAATGCCCATTATTGGCCCAGTCTTTGCTTCTAGAACAAAGTTCTATTTTCTATGCTCTTAGTGTATATCAATTATGTTATCAACATGATCTATATCTAAGTTCCGTCACAGTGAATAAAAAGGTAAAGCTATACTCAGAGCCAAATTGCGGGGCAAGACATGTCGATCCGCCTGACTCCAACAAGGATAAGAAACCAGCTCTGACCTCTTCCCCTTCAAAGCGCGAGCCATCACATTAACCATGCTATTTTCGGAGGGCTTATAACCCAAAGGAAAATGCTAGAAGCCTCAGCCCAAGCTTCAAGCCCCGAGCGACCGGGAGTTGTCGTAAAAAACCCCCGACCGCGCTCCGGTCATGACAGCGAAACGGATACCCGCGAGGGGCTCGAGCTGCAAGAAATCCAAACGCACGAGGATAACCAGTTGGAAGATTCCACACAATCGAATTCATCGGGCGACGAATATTGCATCGTGACTCGGCGCACAACATCACGCGCTGAGGCAGCTCGTGTCGAGTCTAGGCAGCGCCGCCTCGCGAGGAAGGGGGCTTGGGGAAAGTTTGCGAGGTTTTGGACGCATCATGTTACTTTGACTGTGCCACACAAGAGTAACCGTGATTATTTTGGTGCATTTATTTCTTTCGCTATGGCTGGCTCTTTTTGTGTCTTTGGCTAACTTTCTCGCAGCCCTGGAGCGGACATTTCTTGCATATATCCGGACCTCATTGGCGGTGACCCAACAGGGTGTGCTTATTGCACAGCTATTCCGCCTGCCGGCGGTGATGGCCTTGGAGGATCGTTTGGGTTTCTACCGCGTTGGCGTTCCGCTTTCTATTACTTGTCACTGCGTGGCTATTGTTGTCGCTTTGGTTGGTGCTTATCGTTTTTGGAGACAGCAGAACGCCATCGCTCGGGGCAAGGTACATGCTGGTGGGTGGGAACTGAACTCTGTAGGGATCCTTTTAGGCTGTGTAAGTGTTGCATATATTGACTGGGCTTGGGAGTCATGGCTGATACGATCTAGATTATATTGACGATATTGATTGTATCTGTCGCCATTGTTGTCGAGGATGAATCCGATCCATCGGTGCTAGGTCGGTGGATATTAGGACGATGAGTCGTGCCAGGTTTTGAGTAATACTCATGAGATATGACTGCATCCTAGTTCCACAGATAAACAACCGTAGGAGTTGCTGAGGTTGCCGATTTACGAATGTATAGTATGGTTCGGAGAAGATTCCGAGCGCTCAACTTGTCTATGTACACAGCCCCTTCAATATAATTCTCCATTCTGGCGTTCTTTCGATGTCGCAAGGCCAATCAAATGTCCACGTTGTGCTGCGCCCGACACGATGGCCCGCTGGGGCTAAGCTTTTTCTTGGCTTCGGGGTCTTCGTATATAACGACAGCGAAGATCATTGCACATGGCCCATCACCCAGAGCACGCCAACTCGAGAGATCTACTATACAGGCAGACTCACACCACCACCGAGGCTGGGACTAACGTCATCAATATCCTCACACTGTCTAACTCCACATCCACACCATGTCCACCCTCAACGAAGTATTATCAACAAGACAGCGCCTATCAGTCTACCACATCTACCACAAAGGTGACGAGCATGTCTCCATAACGCCATTTCTAAATTTGCGAAAAGAACTCGGCTATAACAAAAAGCAACACAATGACTTAGCGAAGGAATACGGCAGCGAACCAGACCGATCCGATTCAGACAGCTATTTCGTGCACAAACCATCACTCGCCTTTCACAACACCCCGCGAACCCTCCGTCGCGGAAACCTCAAGCGTGGAACGCCAATCTGTATCATGAATTGTGGGCCTTTTTGGAGGAGCTGGAATTTACAGTTTGGGCCCGATCTGAAGCTTATTATTGATCCGAGGGGTGTGGTCAAGTGGGAACATCGCAGTAACCCAAACAATACTGCGCTCAATGATGATCGTGCGCTGAAGGGGTATAAAGTTCGCACGTGGCGGCTTTGGGGGGAGAGTGGGAAGGGGTATCATCGTCAGGTTAACTTCCGTCGCAAGGCTACTAAACAGGGGACTTTGGAGGAGAAGGTGCAATATGGTGAACTGGCGCCTGTGAAGAGCGACAAGAAGACCTCTGAGAGCGAAGAGGCTACGTTTAATGAGAAGCGTCTTGATTATTCGCAAGCACCAGAGTCGAAATCTACATCTGAAGACTCTGTTCCACAGCCAGCTGTGGCTGAAGAAGCAGTGCGGCTTGTCTGGGACTTTCCAATATCACTCAACTCCCGACAATACAGTTTCAAATACGCCGATATCAAATTCACCTGGGAAGGGACACGAGATCTCCATTCAAACAGTAAATGGGCGAAGAGACTTATGCCATTTAACCATCTGAGGTTACTTGCCAGGCTACCAGGTCGTGAGAATGAGCCTGTAGTTATTGCACAGTATACATCCAGCTTTGCATGCCGGAAATTCGGCGAACTTTGGGTCTTTGATTCGGCAGTATCCAGTGTTCTTAAGGAGGCGGGCAACTCTTCCCTGTGGAGCAAGAAGAATGATGAGGATGAGGTCTTTCAGTTGGATCCTGATAATGAAATCCGAGAAACGAGGCTTTATTTTCTGGTTATGGCCACGGCTATGTGTATGGTAATCAGTGAATGGCAGAAGCGGATGGTTATATTTATGATCCTCGCCATTGCTGCCGAAGGGGGTGGTGTTTGATTTCCAAGGTTGCTCCTGAAGATTTGACCTAGGAATCCAATTGTGAATTTGGATAGTTAGCTGTCAGTGTCGCGCTTTCTTTCTAGGCTTCAGCATTCTGGATATAATCTGTACGTTAATTGCACTGAACTATATATTACAACTACAATATGAGGACTGTGGTATTGACGCCGAAAATGACCGCTTTTGAGGCCAGAAACGGCTGCCTTTCCACCCGTAACTTTGGACGTCCAGCCGCCCCTTGACCGCCCACTGCCCTGTAACTCCACTATTCTGCACCCGCCTAGCACTTTTAGTCATCCCCCGGTCCTAATGTTGACGCTCGACTTACATAGCTGTTCCCCTCGTTTCTACTGGCGACTAAAACGACACCGAAAATAGCTCCCCTTTAGCTAAATCTAAGTCCCCTCCCTTTTCGCCTAGTCTATTGAAGCGCCTATAACATACTTTGCCTTCCCTCCCTTCCGGTGTCCTTACACCTCCTATTCTCTTATCCACGTTACCTATACCTTAAGCCGATCTTAATGTTATCGTTTCCTATAACACAAATTTTCTACCCTAGTTTTTGTATTTAATCTCCTCTATAGTACCTAAGCCTGTATATCCGGCTTAAACCGATAAGCACCAATACTAGATCGGTCCTATTCTTTACGAGAAAACTCGAGCTAGACTAGAATATTTTCGTGGTCTTAGATAGCTCCCTCTAAACTTTAAGCTAAAGACCTTAGAAGGTATCGCCATCGTCGAACGTCCTTGTGTTGTGATGTATATAGCGCAAATATCCAGCCCTGGAGGGATTTTCGATCAAATCGCCTCTGAACAGGTGCAAATGGATTATTTCTTCCTATGTACAAGTCCTGCTTACTATGTACGTAGGCACCTCAAATGCTGTATGGAGGTCCTCGTATTCCACCCTCATGATAAGCAGGACCAAGCTCTCCGATCCCATTGATGAAATTCTCTTTCCAAGCACCCTCCACCCAGGCTCCATCAAAGTTGTCCTCTACTCCATCATCCTCCACCCGCCACTGCCTCACCACATTCCCACAATCATCCCAGAATACATGCAATAGACCCCCACCATCGAGCGCCACCTCATCTTCCACAAAAGCATGAGTAACAACACAAGCAGCATGATATAGGCCATACTTTAGAAGGGGGTTCGCCGCACGGGTCGCCCTCATCTGTGCTAGCATCCCTTTAATCTCATCAGAGTAGTCCTCTTCACCAGATCCCGTATCATCTTCTATATAACCTAGTGCCTCTCTTAAAGTCTCCTCTCGCAATTTAATATGTCCCATGGAACCCTCATTCGTGACACGCTCGGGGAACAGTTCTAACGCAGCTGCCACGTCTAGGCCACCCCCAAAAATCTCTTCATCGTCGAGGACTACCCCCTCGGGACCGACGTAGGCTACGTCTTCGTTGTAGGACCATAAAGCCTTATGCGCCTCTTCTTTCTCTTTTTTGTAGCAGAGACGGATCCAGAGGCCTTCCTCTAGACAGGTAGTATAGCCAGCGTAAGGCCGTAGGGCCTCCGGGCGTACTGGGAGGAGGATCTCGGCTATTTGGGCCTCAGTGGGTGTGGGTGGTGTTTCTGTGCGGGCGTTGTAGGGCTAATGAATCAATTATGTGTTAGCTTGGGGTTGTGAAGAAACGCAGTATTTCAATTGAAATGGATTGATCAGTGTAGGGCAGTATTTACCTCTCTGCCCTCCAATCCTAATGCGAGGAACTGGCGTACCAGCCGTCGACGGCGGTCTGAGGGGGACTCGGTGGGCTGTGCGGGGTTCGGGGTTTCCCATTCTGAGAGAAGATAGATATCTAATGAGAGGGCTCCCCAGGGGACCGGCTCAGGGGAATCGTTTTCAATTATTCGGAGAGGCATTGTTGTTCTACCTCAGGTGTGGGGAAAAGTAAAGAGAAACAGAAAGGGGAATGGAGATTACTACATCGCGGGTCAGCGCACCTGGGCACACAATGTGCTATCTGACCACGTCGTTGGAATATGAATGGTATTATGGTACCATTTCTCTAGGCTTTGTTGATTTTCTATCCCTTTCCTTCTATTCCCGTCTTGATTACTTTCACCTACGCAGTGTCGTTTGTCTAGAAGAACACATATATTTACTTCAGTCTAGCCAAAACATGTGGATGTAAGTAGAATGAAACATTTCGATAATAGATCACCGCGACAAGTAGCGAGTTTGATTTGATCTTAGGTCTCATGGAGTCCCCTAATCGATGTAATCGATGTATCCTAGAAAGAAGAAATTAGATTCAAAAAAGGGTAACCCAAAAGACGAGAGTACTTCCCGGTGTGAGGATCTCACGTATACGTAGATGAATGATCAATATTATGAACAGCTAGAGTAGCTCTTGATACAAGACATAGCGCGAGGAAGCAAAAGAAAGAGACTTTCTCGCGTTCAGCGGAACCAGATACGCCATGTGGGTCGCGCATATCATTTATCCTCAACTTCGAGTGCGTGCTTGCTTGTATATCCCTGACATTAGGCGACAGTATTCCCAGGGGATGGTTTTCCGATCGATAATGTTTTCACAGAAGCTACTTTCGTAACAGTTACGTCAGACCTGGGGCCAAAAAATCTTTGCATAATATCGACACAACATCTCCTAGTTCGTAACTTGTCAAAAAGGCAAAACTAACTTGAAAAGGCAATTCACAGGTCCGCCGTTCGCAAGTTAACTATGAGATATGGCTATGAGAACGAGTACGATGGCTGCTGTGTCGTTTCGTAGTTCGCAGATCTCCTTCTAGGATAAGCCACTGCCTCGCAACTTCTGCCCTCTCGTCCGCAGAAGATTGGCGCATCTCTTCGTGACCCTGTGCTATGCGAGAAAATACAATAGCATCCTGTTGGGCCTTTCCAAGTGAAACTTGAAGTTTTCTGCGAAGTCCAACCAAAGGGTAACCAGCCAGTCCCCATATACCTTGTTAAACATTAGCATCAGTTGGTTTACCGTGTCAGTCACATTTGGGCCACATCCTACATACCTGCCGGTGGCTTCAAGAAGACACCGCCAACGCCTTTACCGATTCCCTTGGCCATCCCTGCGGCGCCTCCGTGTTTATATCCATACCGGGGTTGGGTGACCAAGCCTGTGGCTCCATAGTAAAAGCCATCCCGGAATTCCTGTTAGATCAATGGTTAGCCTGAAGGTTATCAAGCAAACAATTTGGTCCCCGCATACCTTGCCAGCGGCCCGGAGTCCACTCCGAAAACCAATCACCTTCGGTGTGGATTTAACCATCGGGTCATGATACAACTTGGGGGCATTGTGAAATCCTTTCGATAGACTTAGTGTGAGGTCTGTTGGAAGCCAGATGACAGTCTTCAAAAGCTTCTTCGACATCCGAGCACCATGATATTGCATTTCAAAAACAGCACTCTTCTTTTGCTGCGCGGATTTCGATCCGCATGTCATCGTGTGAGATTTCTCCAGCTGCAGGCTTCGTTGGCGATTCCTGCTGGCCTTGGGCGTATCGCTGTCTATTTCATCGATTCTGCTGCTGTCGCTCAGACTCAATCCGTCATCCGTTTCATCCAAATCGTGGGTTGGCGTTGGTGTCGATGACGACTGCTCATTTGACAGCTCGGACTGCTCATTTGAGCCCAGGTGCTGGGATGACTCATCGCTTTCAGAACTATCCCCTCGGCGTATTCTTCCTCTTTCTGTATAACCGCATGCTTGCCTAAGGTCAGGGCGATCAGGGGGATGTCCGATGGCACGACCGGCAGACACAATATCCGTGACCATGTTCCTGGGTAGATCTGCGAGTCCAGTCACAAAGTTTGCAACCGCTCCAAATAGCACTTGAGTTGATGCACTGATTGGACCGGCTGGGTCGCGATAAGTGTCATATTCCTGCGGACGGTTCCTGTAATGGTAGTCAGCGGATTCGAACTTGATGATATCTTCTGGTTATATGGAGCTCACAAGACGACATTGTCAGGTTTCAACCGTCCCATCTCGACCAGAACAGATGCTGCAAAAGCACTGAGCCCTATATCAGTGTGTTTGATGTGCCAGGCAGCAGGCCGAGAGGGACATATCGCGCATCGCAATGATGCCAAATCAAGGTGACGATGGAAACTGCGCACTCCGTCCCGAACACCAGATTCATTCTTCATGTTTTCACTAATTTCCCGTGCCTTTTCCTTAGTTGCTGGCTCCAATGCCGATTGAATGGCATCCGTTAACTTCTTGGCTGTCAATTGCTTATAGGGAATGGGCACTGGACCAGCCCTTGCCTTTGCGACAATTTTCCCCCAAAATTGTTGATCTCCAAAGAATGGAATGATGATAGTCGGACATCCCAAAGAAAGCCCAGCAGCTGTTGTACCGGCACCACCGTGATGAATGACACATGATACTTGCTGGAACAGCCAGTCGTGTGGAACGCTCCCTATAATGAGGATGTTGTCGGGGGCATCGACTTGGTCGACTCCCAAGTTGCCCCAGCCTTTTGAAACAATCGCACGTTGACCAGCATTCTTGATAGCTTCAAATACGATCTTTGTCAATTTGACCTGATCATCTACCACAATGGATCCGAACCCAACATAGATCGGTGTTGGTCCAGCCTGAAGAAAGTCGGCAATCTCTTTTGGGGGTTCGTAATCTGACTTCGTTGGAAGGAAACTGAATCCGCAAATATCAGCGCTCTCGGGCCAATCTTTTGGTTTCGAGAGTAACGCCGGTGACCTAGATACAATAATTCGTTAGTGGACCTATCCATTGCAACATGTCTTTATGGCTCTTACCAAAGGTACGAATAGGGAATGCGTAAGCGATGGATTAAACTGGGTGCTGTGATCGAATCCAGGTCGTCCAATGCGAGACAATTCTTCCGCCAGCTGTTCACCAGGTCCCCCAATCCTTCCCAAATCATCATGTCGACAACTGCATAAGATACAAAGTTCGCAACCGTGGGCTTGCAGCCAGCCTGGTTGAGCACTGCAAGCGGATGCGGAAAAGACTGCGTGGGCGTCCATGGCATTCTAAAGAAATCAAGTTAGACACTTTTGCCAATAGTTATATTAGCATATAAACTCACGTAAACATCATATGGAGGGGAATCCCCAATCTTTGTGCGCAATGAACATGGGCCAAACTGGGTGGATTGGCGATAATAGCATCAGCGACAAATGGACGTCGTCGATGATCCACCGTGTCGTTCCAAAGATCCTCCTTGATTTGATGCAAATCTGTCCCATCGCCTGTTTCAATGCAGGATCTCCAGCATCCGTATATGATCGATTTCATATCTGCACGACGCTTCTTGATAGCTCCACTACGGATCGTGCGAAGCCCCGGCAGGAGTCCAGGGTTCTTAACCATAAATGCCATCAATTCCTCGGGATCCCCTCCAATATTGAAGAATTCCAAGCCACTATCAAGCACAAAATCACGGAACGCAAGATGCGTTGCTAGTCGTACACGGTGTCCATGTGCCTTCAATTCTTTGCCCAGTGCAACGAATGGTTGGATATCGCCTCTGGAACCGATCACTTGGATCACGATGTTCAAATTTAGCGGAAAGAACTTTCCTTCATCTTTCGGTATGGCTTCCGGTGTCTGCTCCTGTTCGAGATCCTCTAGGTCGGACGCTAGAGGTGTTTTCTGAATGCGATTCAACAACCCCGCGATACTCGGCTTGTGTTCGTTAATCTTTATGTCCAGACGTCCGTCACCTGTGAGATAAAATACATTAATTAGTAAGAGGTCTGACATAACCATGTCTCTGCGAGTATATACCTAGCACCCGAACACCAGTGTTCAGTCCGTCTCCATTGAACTCCATATGTTCCCAATCCCGCGAGTGCGGCTCGCTAACCTCTTCAGGCCAGTCTTCCGATCGAATCACTTCATGGCGACTAGATCTGCCTCTTGCGGCAGTCGGTGTTACCGACGCCATGCTTCTCGGGAGATCAGCTCCTAGTGATCGACCAACGTGATGAGTGAGAATGTGGGGAAGCTAGAGATGATCGGTGAGGTGGAAAAGTGAGAAATGTCTTATGTACCCGAGGTGCTATGTAGTCTGAACTCTTCACTGAATACTGTATGCAAACTCAGGAGAAAGGGTCTCGCAAGAATATGATCAAATATCGATGATGTCACACAGGGTCGATCCCGAACATCCGGCTTCCCGGGTCTTTCCACTGCGGATCCCGATCGCCAAGAAGGCTGAAGGATGTTCTTATTTTGCTTAGTAACTACAAAGAGGTTTTAAAAAGAAGAAGCAGATGATAACCTGTGTCTAAAATCTACTTTTCAAAACGACACGGTGACTTGTATATGGGTCAAGCTGTGAAATAAAACCGAGGGATGTTGAGAGACGATATCCGATCCATAAGCTGATTTCGGGATGTTCAAATAATCCATTCTGGCATCTTGTATCGCCCTAGATCTGAATTTGCCCCTGGAACCCAAAGCGAGAAATCTATCCAACTTTTTGCAGCATCTATAGAGGTGGTTCAGCCACTCTATAGGTCAAAGCCAAGCCACAAACGATGTATACTTGATGCTGTTGGTATTTGTATTAACTTGTTATGCTATTATATACTTGCTTATGCAATGCTCGCTATATGCTTTAAATTGATGAGGTCTCGCCGACTCTTCCGTTTCCCTCGGCTGCCATTGCTTCTCTCTCGTCAATGGTCATCTCACTCTTCGCCTCACGGATTCTCACAAAGAAGACCACGATGAGCAGCCCCAGAATTGCCAACCCAGTCTGATACCAGAAAACCGCTTTATAACTCTTCTGAGTCCCCAGTTCTTCCGTCTGGGTCTGTGTGATATCTGCGAAGCCCAGCATCACAGCAATTCCCATGTGTAACGTACAGTTGATCAACGCACCAGCCAGGCCCTGTCTCGCCTTGGGCAAGTTTGTCGTGATGAAGACATTGGCCAAGTTGAAGCTGATATCAATCCCGATCGTACCACATAGCATTGAAGGGAACACAAAGGCCCAGTAGTTTCCGCCGGGCGGGATGACGGCGAAGAACAATCCAGATCCCACATAGCCGAGGCATGAGATCATCATGAGAATGGTTCCTGGTACTTTGTGGAATATCATTCCTCCGCCGACGGACAATATTAGCCCCCCAACGCCCATAGGGGCGCACCATGCCACGATTTGCATTGGGGAGGCACCCATTATGTCGGACATGCTAAACGTGACTGTTAGTTAAAGACACAAAGAAACCCCAGCACTATCCGGAGATAACTTACTAAAGCACTGCATAGAGCATAAAGATTCCCAGCGTCCCATATAGGAATAGCAAGGCTATAACCAGCGGAGTCATGTACTTGACATGGAAAATATCACCCGGCAACAATGGGTTTTCAACCACCCACCCTTCAACATAAACCATCGCAACAAGGAAAATAAGCCCAAGTGCAAGAAACAGTGGAATGTATGGTGTTTTCCATCCTTGAGGTGCATACGAACTGTCTGCAATGGGAAAGACGATCAGGACAGCCGCAGGAACCGACAGGCATGCACCAGCCCAATCCATCTTGATGCCGATTTTTCTCTTCTCGTGGTAGTCCCGCGGGATGGAGAAGGACGCTAGGGCCGTGGTGATGGCGGATAGAATCGCACCGAAGAAGAAATACCATCTCCAGGTGAGATATTCACCACAGAGGCCGGAGAAGAAAATTCCAACAAAGAATCCCAGTGCTGCGCAAGCGCCATAGATACTGAAGACTATGTTCTTTCTGGGTCCGGGTCGATATGTACTACCGAGCACCATGATTCCTGATGGAAGGAAAGCGGCTAGGCCAAAGCCTTGCAATGCTCGGCAAATGACCAGCATTAGCCATGTTTGAGACACACCGCAGAGGATCGATGATATCGTAAGCCATAGTGCCCCGGCGGTGTAGATGAGATATCCGCCGAACATGTCGGTCATTCGGCCGAAGATGAGAAGCGTCGAGGTGACTACCAGTGATAACGCGGTAGAAGGCCATATTGCGGAGGCTGCTGGAAGGTCAAGCTCTGCAACAAGGGTTGGAAGGAGCACATTTGATCCTGAGATGTAGTATTCCTGATCAAGTTACACAGGTCAGATGGTTGTCATAAGTTGCGTGCAGGATCTTGAATACTTACAGCAAGAATCTGTGACATGAAAATAGACAAACAAAAGCACAGCTCTGACCAGAAGCCTCTGAAGCATTTTGGGCGCTCTCTTCCTAACCTTTCCAGATCGGCGATTTCCTGATTTATTCTGGCCTGCTCAAGGTCGGGTGGCAAGGCATTACCATTCGGGTCAGGACCCTCTGGCGCTCCCATGATATTAGGCTAGCCACGATGGAGTTTACTTAGCGATCAAGTATGCAGTTGCAAAGTAGACAGGCATGTTGATGAAAGGATAATTGCACTCATATTTATTCTTTCACCGGTGGCTAATTTCTAAGCAATGACGACCTAACATGCGGATAGAGGACCCAGTAAAGTAGTATTTGCTGATAAATAGTATCCGTTTCCAGAAGGGTCAGGGAATATTCTGCACGGGGAAGCTAAGATGATTTGTGGGTGAGAATCGGACTCTTAACGTACTAGAGATAGTGCCAAGTCTTCTCCGCTGGACTTCTTGTTTAGGAAGTTGCGAGGAGTGGAGCGGGCGGGACCGGAAAAAAAAAACGTTCTGACACCGGAAATTTACGCACGTGTGAATTGCAGGATTTTGAAGGCGGTACAGAAATAAAATTGAGCAAAAAATGAATAATCAGGTGAACTGATCATCCAAGTGGTAGTTGGTTCCAGAGGGGGTCGAACCCTCGACTTTGGCGTTATTAGCACCACACTCTAACCAACTGAGTTATGGAACCATTTGTTGTGACCGGGCTAGATTTTTTGGTTCTTGAGCCCATATTGCACACTCCCTGGACATTGAGGTATAGCTTATCGTTACTTATTGCCGATACGCTTCTCATAGTTGTGTTAAGCACTTTAAATATATCTTTACAAACGCATTTTTCGAAAACAGGATTCAAAAGGCTCTACAATGTAAACAAGGACTGAGGTATACTACAGGCGTTCTTCCGAAGAACTTCTGGTTGACAGATATATATATACATTTCAATAATTCTATAAAGTAGTGATGAGATACAACCAAACCGATCCCGTTCGGGCCAAATTTCATCTCATAATAAAGAAAGGCCTTTTTTTAACTTCATGGTGATCAGTCTCCTCAAAATCCGCGACCTAAGCGAATATTTCGGCATTTTGACGAGGGTTTGCCGCCACGTGTGACCAAATAGTGGCTTCAATCCTAGAACGCTGATCTCTTTCGTCACTGCCAGTGTTGTCCTGAAACACTTCATCCATCTCTTCGAGGGTACGTCCGTTAGTCTCTGGGACGAAGAACCAAGTCCAAACAAAGGACAAAACACAAAAGACACAGAAAAAAACATATGTTCCATATCCCGTATTTTGCACGAGGGGCGGGGTGATGAGACCGATAATGAAGTTGTTCAACCAGTTGGACATCGTAGAGTATGCCATACCTTTTGCACGCAACGAAGAGGGGAAGATCTCAGCTGGCATCGCCCAAGGGATAGGGCCCCACGAGGCTCCATAAGACAACATGAAGAAGCAGAGGAATGCTACGCAAACCCAGGCTTCCCCTGTGTGTGAAGTCCAGTCTGATTGGAATTTGTTCATTAACACAGCAATAATGAGATGGGCGAGAACCATGCAAATTGAGCCACTGAAGAGCAATGGCCGACGACCGAATCTGTCCATTCCCCAGAGTGAAATGATACAAGCAACCATCTGACAAATGTTGATAACTCCAGACATATTTAATTGCATGAAGTAGTTGAGACCCATCCCTTCGAACAAACTGGGCGAATAGTAAATAAGAGCATTTACACCACCGAATTCTGCAGAGTTCCGAATTAGTGTACTGCTAGAAAAGGAAGACTGCTACCGTAGGTAATATGCCTGTGACATGGAGGAAATTGAAAATAACTCACGTTGAAAGAACATAATTCCGATTCCCACGTGCGTCCGTTTCCAGCAGCCCTTGCGGAAGCAGTCGAGATAACTCCACACATGAAGTATGACGCGGCTAAACATCGTCCCATCCTGACATTTCGGATGGCGCGCAGCACTCAACTCCTTACAGTAGGCAACCTCTGACCGAATGTCAACCCATTCTCGCAATACACGCTCATCGGCTTCGTCAACGCCTCGTAGCTTACAGAGAGTCTGCAAGGCTTCTTCGTCTCGCCCTCTCCCGGCAAGCCAGCGAGGTGAATATGGGAGAAAGGGAATACCAGCACCAAGGAATAGGGCAGGTATCATCTATTGATATGATCAGAAGGGGATCGATGGTTCTCGCTTGTGGATAATTACCTGAATTAGGAAAGGAAGGCGCCATGCCCATTCGCCGGGGATGTAGCGAGTGCCATATGTGATGTAGAAAGCGATAACAATGGCCGTGACAATACTCAGCTCTTGCAACACCAGCAATGTACCACGAATCTCAGGAGGTGCAATCTCTGAAATGTACAGTGGTGCCACCATTGCAAGCATGCCAACCCCAATCCCTCCCACGAAACGAGCGCCAACAAGCATGGCGAAGCTTGTTGCTCCAGTTTGTAATGCCGCCCCAAAGACGAAGATAAAAACTGCAGCCATAATTGACCACTTGCGAGAGATCTTGTCTGCGAGCCACCCTTGGTTCATAGCACCCAAGAAAGCTCCCAATTCGATCATCGCTGTGAGAATGCCCTTCATAAAGCCACCACCTGGGGCATCGGCAGCAACCTCTGGAAACTTCTCAAGGAACTGTTCCATTGTAAGAGTCACGCTTACAACTCCCTGGTCATAACCAAACATTGCACCACCCAGAGTAGCGAAGGCCGCGCAAGTGCAGACATATTTGTTGTCTATAATGCCTTTTAGACCTGTGGCGAGCGACAATCGTTAGCTCAGAAACTTTGAGCATAAGCAGAGGCTCAGTTATAGAGTTCATACCAGCCTCGCCATATGGTTCTCTCGCTTGTCCGGGGATGAAACTAGCAGGGTCTATTTTCACTTCGGATTCAAGATGCTCAGCATCTGGGGATTCTTTTTTGTCCACCATGGTTATATGTCTCGACAATCAATGTCCTCTTAAAGTTTGTAGATTGAGTTGGTGTGTTCCAAGATAATTCAAATCCTTATAACAAGGGGAGCCCTGTGCACCCAATAGAGATGGAGATAGAAGTGAAAAAGACTAGTAACGGAATTGTAGGAAACATTAAAGAGATATTTGGGCAGTTTTACACCCAATTGATCGCCCAATCTAACCAGACTAACTTCAACTACAACACTACAATGTAGACGGCTGTTGATATGACGTTCGGGCTTGACGCCATTGTCCCCACAAGTACAGAATGCGGGGGAATGGCCTTGGGGCGCCCCAGGTAGCGGATATTCCCCGATCGGACACCATTTTCCGGCCCGGATACCATCTTCCAGCACTGATCTATTCCCATCTTCGTCCTAGTCAAGCCGGGAGATAGCGACTCATATCCCACCGAAAGCAAATGACAACCCGGATTCCTGCCCATCCCGAGATCTACATACAGATCCTACTGTCAAGGACTATCGGGCACTCTTCGTGCATAATGAAACATCTCGGCATAAACATGCTTTCCTGCTGTTTAATTGACCCTTGTGGTTATCTGGCCGTGAGATTTTTCTCCAATCGCAACGTCGAACTCTGCCTTGGGCGAGAGACTTCACGGCGCCCGGCAACCCGATGACTTCAAAGTTTATATCAGGCTAAGCTTTTAGGCCTTTACCGAGTGTTGTATATTATTTAATGTATAATTTAACGAAGGTTTAAGTCAGATCCTGATATATTTCTTCCTCCTTCCCGTGCTATCTAAGGGGCCAGAGCAATCACTCGTATACAGTCCGATGTGGATTGTTGGGTTGCCGACGGTATATCTCCAACTGACCCATAGTTTTCTTATGACTATCCAAAAAGACAACATTACTCGCATAACACCAGCGGTTGTAGAGGACTGCTTTCTTCCCCCACGGGGGACTGAAACGGGTTGATCTCGGGATGGGGATTCCGACCCAGATAGCCTACTGAAGTGGGTCGAGAAAAATGAACAAGAGTAACGAACATCGAGTATGCGAAGTAATACGAATAATGATGAAGGCCCGATAGTATTGCGAGTCTGAGGAGACTTAGTCCCTACCAGGTCCTAGAGACTAGTTGTAGCCAATGATACTCACCAGTTCGTCCTCAAGTATAGAGAGCGGGTGGCGTGGAGCTTGTTTTCCTTGGCATTTCATACTAGCTTTGCTTGGCACAATAGGCCGTATGCTTATAGCAAATGAACTGAGCAGAGAAGCTCGAAGGTTCATTCTTCTGTATGTCGCCTCGGCGGTTATGGCCACTATGAAAATTTGATTAGATGACCTTGGTGAATCGTTCAAGTTAGCCCAACTATTTGTTATGGATATACCAGACTCGGATACCACAAACAGTCTATCCTTACTGCGACATTCCTCGATGATATCCAACGATTAGTTCCTTGGAAGGTCGGGATTAGATAGGGACCCGACTTTCGCAGGCCTTCCGAGAGATGGGGTTAGAACGCTTCCCGATTTGAAAAATGAAACACTTAATGCAGGACATAAGACGCATGGAACCACCGGTGGAGTCGTAATTCAGCTTGACAAACGTTCCGACTGGGACTTTCCTTGTCCCAACATGTTTTGTTGACTCATATAATGTAATACCTGTGTACTGCTTTAATGGGATCCCCGTCTTGGCGGACTCAGTTTCGGCACGGCAACTGCTAGGATTTTTAGTTGATACTGATAGCCTGACGGTCGGCCTTTGCATCTGCACGCGCAAGATTCTGACTCAATCAGGCCGACCTGCTACAGGCTTTACGTCTCCATGTCGAAGGATTGGCTGTCCCTGTACTATCTCTCTTCTTGTAACTTTCATCTCATCTGCTCAACTCACTGTCGCGCTTGACAATGATTTGTTCACTCAGTGTATTAATTCACCAATCCTCAGATGTCCACCGGTCCTGGATACTTGAGCAGTTTATGCTCTTCTTACCACGGCGACAAATTTAACGCCCAGGACGGAGGCCTGTAATGTGCGATAGTCACTCACAATTGAATTTGCCTAAACAGCTTGGGCCGGATCTTCAAACTGGAATAAAGACACACACTGTCGCATTGGATTCCTTGGTGGCGCTGCGAACGACTGATGGATAGCAAGACAAAGACAAAACACCCAATATTCCAACTGTTCAACTGTGCAATTTAGATTATTAAAACCATGCTTGTCGTTGAATTCTGCTGGACGACCCACACAAACTCATACAGCTTCTTCCGGGGCTTCTTTTAGAGGAGGCTCGAGCCTAACACCGACCAGTTGCAAATCGTGTTATACCGTAGTGCGTTGCGCGCAATATTCCGAAACCAAAATTCTGCCAGCATTCCTGAAGCCGCGGAAATCAATTCCAATCTTGCCTCTGTGTTGGATGTTTATCGCGAACCAGGCGATTTTGTGAATCGTACCAGTCGTCCTTTTAGTAACAAATCTGATGTTTTTGACAATTTGTAGATCTGTATTTATCAAGACTCCGCAAGCTGTATCGTTTCATCTGCTAAGCAGTTCCATGGACTTGGTGCAGCTGGCAAGAATGAGAATACGGATGAACAACCCGTCACTATCAACTCCAGTCTCAAAGAGCTGCAACCCGTTGACATGGATGTATAAGAAACGGCGATTGCGGCTGGCATCGATATGGTCATGACTTCTTGGGCTGTCTATCCCGCTCTGGATGCAAAGTATCCCTCTGGATTTAGTATGGCTTGGATCCAGCATGAGTTACTGGGTAGACTCGGTTCAAGGGTGCGACCATTGCTGATGCTCTTGAAGCCGGGGCACTAGAGGCCTAAGTGATGATGCCCCTCGTGGCTTGTTGACTAGCAAGGCAGGAATAGATATCATGCTTGCTTCTGTGAGGAATGTAACTCAGGGAGAGAATGTTGTTGATATTTTAGTGCCTTGTTTGGAGGATGGTTACTGGATAGACACGCTTTAAACCAGGGGACAGAGAGAATCATGAGCGTTCGGAGGAAGATTATCTAGGAGCTTACCATTAAAAAAGGGGATGTAGATATGATACATCTAGCTTCCGTGTTGAAACATATTTACAACCAGTTATAGAATTTGTGCAGAGAGTAGTGTCTAATAATTGCGTTCATAATTTCAAATTGGTTTCATAAGTCTGCAGAGCACGGCACAAAGCAGCCCCCGACTCGTGAGATGGAGGGTGATGCCCGCAACATGCGGTTTATTTCTCAGTATCGGCAAAGCTATACGATGGTGATCGTCGTCGAACGTGTACATCCCAACAGGCGAAAATGAAGACGATAAAATGGGCGATTCTGTCCAAGTAAAGGGTCAGTAAAAGACTCTCGGATATCTGTTGCCACGGCAGAACTCACCCAGCTACTACTTGTATGGCTGGACCCGCAATCGTTAACGCTGCGGAAGATAAAATATTGTCGGTGCTGGAGGCCAAGTAGGCGATGCCTACTAGTGCGAGGACTCCGAAGACAATATTGATACCCGCGGCGATTAGATCGAACGCGACCAAAAGGCCAGGGTGAGGGGGTTTTCTGATTTGAAGGAAGACTAAGTGAATTAATGACCAGAGAGCAGAACCCCCTGTCTAAATGAGAGTTAAGTCAGTTCGGGGCAGAAATTTTGGGGGTCTCTTACCACTCCAATCGCAATATAGTCAGTGTCCCCAAGGCTAAAGACAATAACTGCAACGATAGCGAGAGCAAAACATGTGATTCGCAAACTAAGCAGAGTACCATGGCTTGTAGTGGAAGGCAAGTAGCTGCTCATATTCGGGTGAAGGGGCGTATTTGATATCTCGAAACGTGGATAGTGGATATTGGAATACAGGGGCGGAATTAAGGTCTTATAAATCTATGCGGGGAGTTAATGGAGGGCAGTGTACTTTATTAGGCAGGAATTAATCAGTCTTATTGGGATTTGGCCCCAAGGTCATCACCATTAGTTATCAAAGCATACGAGGTATGGCTCTAGCAAGGGTTCAATACTAAGGGGTACTAGGCTATAATAGACGAAATTTTGCTAATTAAAATCACAATCATAATTTTATTGGAGGAGAGTTATCACCGCAGCAATGTAATCCACAGTTCTGCCTTGAACTTGAAAGGAGCAGGGTTAATTGGGGCTATGCCGAGCCTCATGTGCCGATCCTTATGTGCCGATCCTTCTGAGCCTCCTTCATCAGGATCTGGCAACATTAGTAAGTCCCAAGGACTATTTCTACTGAAATCTGAGCCTAGGAAATCTGTTAAATCGTATAATTTATGGATATACTCTGTACCGATCCACGGAACTTCACCATGCTGCGTGGATCCCGAGTGAACGGGGCCTCGTCTTCCAAAGATCCAATGACCATATTCCAAAGTGTCAGCAATCCAGCCCTAAAAGTTCCGTATACAACACGTTGTATGTCCGTAGGACGCCGGTATGCCCCTCCAAGCCCGTAAGCGAACTGGGTCATTTATGTACATGTCTAGTTTGTTGTTGGTGGGGGGGAGGAGGGAGGGGGACGGAAACGAAATACACTACCGTCTAGAACTCACTGGCGCACGCCTCTGGTACGAAATTAGCCAGTCTACGAAACAGCCGACTTGGAACTCCACTTCTTAGGCTACACATATCAGAATGGATACATATCCCGTGTGCGTGCCGCCAAAAGTGCCAGTATGTGAAAAAATGTACAACTTGGCGTCTACGGGACATACCAGTATACAAAATGCTTGATATATTGGCGCGAGGGTCCCAGCAAGAGGGTGGGTATTGGCCGGGATTAAAGGATCAATGATAGTGCAGGCATGCATGAGCTAGTCCGTCGTCCCACAGAAATTGGCCGGTTTTGGAATAGCCGTGATACAACATTGTGTTTGTGTAAGAAGTGAAAGAGACGACAGTACTAAAGAACAGACTCGGTTGAAAAGAGACCCAGAATTAAGAAGTTAAGTTCTTCGGAGCTAAGAGGAGAGTTTCCAAGACTAGGCCGATCGGGATGTTGTGGATATTGCATCACCCTTGAACCGTGTAGTCTTAGGAAAGGTACACAAACAACGTAGATTATACCAACATATACATTAATCATATTATGCGTTCTTTTCAAGTCGTTGGAATCCAAATCAGATGCATTAAGTATCCATTAAGTATAGGTTCTATCGATTGCATAAGTTAAATAGCCAGGAACAACGTAACGCCACCGGGTCCGAGGGGTTCCGCCGTTTCGAGCTCCACCAAGTTCTTTTCCAAGGTGCGACTCATTTTTCTTCCTTTAAACCTCTCCTTTGACCTCTTCCGACCTCTTTAATTCTATTTGAATTTCATTCTTGACTTCGATACAATTGATTTTGCCCTGCGCCACTGAGCGCGCCCACGATTCATCATGGGGCTTTCCAAAGAGAACCGGATGTTGATCCTGCTGGTCATTGATACGGCGTTCTTCCTGCTGGAGTTAATCACTGGTGGGTTATCCATGGACTTTGATCCAGCGCGACCAGGCCTTTCTGACAGTGTGCTTTCTAGGCTATGCGGTCCACTCTCTCGCCCTTGTTGCCGATTCCTTCCACATGGTACGCGAACCGCGATGCACGTTCCATAAATGGATTCTAACCTTACCCATAGCTGAATGATGTGTTATCACTGTGTGTCGGATTATGGGCCGTTAAAGTTGCAAACCGGGAGACGACCTCCAATACCTATACCTACGGCGTAAGTTGGCAATCTGTCCGAGCCTCGAGCTTATCTGACAAGCGGATCTCTGCGTACAGTGGCAACGAGCCGAGACTCTCGGTGCCTTGGTGAATGGTGTTTTCCTAGTTGCATTGTGCATGTCAATCTTCTTGGAAGCAATCCAGCGATTGGTGGAACCCCAGGAGGTGCAGAACCCGAAATTCGTGTGTATCGTTGGTTGCTTCGGACTTGCTTCCAACATCATCGGATTGGCCCTTTTCCACGACCACTCGCACGGCGGCCACGGCCACGGCCACGGTAACGACGAAGAGGATAACCACCAAGATCACGATCACGATCATATCGAGGATGCAGAGCATGGCTACAGCGATCATGAGGAGGCCGCAGTTGCTCCGCAAAGTAACGCCGCCCCCGAGAGCGCTACTCCAAATGCGCCCAGTCATTCTGTCACTGAGCCCACATCCCCACAATCCCGCCGCCGCGGCACCCCAACCCGAAGCTCGCGGAGATACAGCACCTCGACCGGACGCGTTTTCGTGAGCGCCGAGGATATTCCCGTGCTCCCCGAAAGACTGCGCCAAGGAATCATTGCCGCCAGTCAGTACCAAACCGAGCAAACGTCGGATTCGGATACCGGTCGCGAGGAAGACGAGATACCATCTGAGCGCTCCGGTCTTCTGCGTCACCGTGACCATGCCACTAATTACACCGACGAAGAGGGCGCACCCTTCAAAGTCCCAGACCACCACCGCCAAGATGAGGATGTCCACAAGTCTCACAACCACACTAAGCCAAAGTCCAAGGATGGAAAGAAGGGCCACAGTCACGATCTGAACATGCGTGGTGTGTTCCTCCACGTTATGGGAGACGCACTAGGCAATATCGGTGTGATCGTTTCCGCGCTAATCATCTGGTTGACCGACTACGAATGGCGCTTCTATGTTGACCCGGGCATTTCCCTGGTTATCACGCTAATCATTCTTGCCTCCGCTATCCCGCTGTGCAAGGCCGCTTCCCGTATACTGCTCCAGGCTGTGCCCCCTGGAATGCGCATCGACCACATCAAGGAGGATATCGGAAGACTCCCCGGTGTTATTGGCTCCCACCATTTGCACGTGTGGCAGCTCAGCGACACCAAGATTGTTGCCTCGATCCACCTCCAGGTCGATACCGAGATCAAGGGCGAAGGTTCTGAGAGATACATGCGCCTGGCCAGACAGGTGCGACGCTGTCTCCATGCCTACGGCATCCACTCTTCGACTATCCAGCCCGAGTTCGCACCCGAAAGCGACACCGAGGACAACCTGAGCCACCCCCATGCATCATCCTCCCGAGGCACCATTGAACACCAGCCTAGCCGCGCAGCTAGCGTCCGGGAAGGTGACAACGAAGCCTGCCTTCTGGAGTGCGATGAGAACTGCGCACGTGGAGGACAGTGCTGCCCTAAGCCTACTTAATTTGCTACCCACACAACCCCTTGTTTTACATGGATACCCATGGCCACCAAAACATTTCTACCCGACGGTTTCCCTATTCTGATACCCTATCAACACCACTCCGTTTATTTTGTGTTTTCTTTCATTCTACGCTTTCCTGTCAGAGTAATGATCTGTTAGCTCTCATCCTTTCGTGGTTTAGTCTCGGACTGCCGGTCCTCGCGGAATTAGGTCATTAGAATGATTGTATGTCATAGCAACATGCACTATGATCCTGTTTGTGTACGAGGACCCCTTGTACTGTTTGGTACTTGGAGCGCATTCATGTATTTCTATCTATTACTAATCAAACACTTCATCTTAACTTGAGATAGTATATTTTGTTGGAACCTACATTTTGTGGGTCCTTTTGCCCTGGTAAACCTGCATCGAAATGAATGCTAGTAAAACCAACCGGAAACAGGGATTTCTCATAATGAAAAACAGCGCGCTGCTCAAACAGCATCAAACCTGATTGCTTAAGGGTCCAGAGTGCTGGGCCCTCCTATATATCAAACAAACTTCATGATGGAGTTACCCGCAGTGCCTTTCATCGACCATATATGAAAAGACGACATCCGCACCTGGCCATTCAACAGATTCAACAGGCTTGCCAAATACATATACTGATATCCTTATTTTTATTACTTTGTCACTGAAATATACAACAAATCTCGAGCCCTGAGATAAAGTACTGTATATGGAGGGTTCTGTGTACTATTTGTAGATATAAATAGCATCACGTGATCAGACCCGGGGTGATCTGCACGTCTAGCCCGCAGCTTGAATTGTCACCCCTTGTTCTTCATGCATTGAGATTCTCTGCTTGACTCTTCCGCATTCGCTCTTTGCTTTCTTTTCTTTTCTCTGTCCTCTTCTTGTATGCTCGGAGCATGCCCTGTCATTCCTTTCGCTAGTTCAATATCAGCCCCGTCGTGTTTGGGGCCACCCTGTCACCTAGGCTCGCTGTCAAGCTAACCCAACATGACATACCCTTACCAACGCTCTGCGGGCGCCTCTCCCCTTCCCTCCTTCAACCAGAACTACACACCAAGTTCGCCAAGTATATCCAGTCGCGTGTGGCAGTTTGTTCCTCAAATTGCAAAACAATGGCTTTCGGAGGGATCTCTTAGCCGTGGAATCGGTAGACACCGAGGCAGTGAGGGGATCAAGATCACCGCAGTGCGAGCTCTGAAATCCATCTTGTCGATACCTACTGCCGTCATCTTACTGTGGATTTACTCTATATGGTGGGGCGAACGAAGAGTATTTGAGGATCACATCAACCGATGCCTTTGGAATAGTTGGGAAGAATGGGTAAGTGCTGTCGCAATCGCCTATACTATACGTGGTACTGACTGCTGCATTTTAGCCCCAAGATGCAACACCGCACCACATTGCCTTCATCTCGGACCCCCAGCTCGTCGATCCCCACACCTACCCTGGTCGGCCATGGCCTCTGTCAACATTGACTGTTAAATACACAGACCAATATATGCGCCGATCATTCTCCTTAATCCAAGATCACCTCGAGCCGGACTCGGTGCTGTTCCTTGGTGATCTTTTCGACGGTGGCAGAGAGTGGGCTACCGGTACCACCACCAGCCCTGAAGCCCGGTATAAGAATATCAAAGACAATTTCTGGAAGAAGGAATACCGCCGATTCATGAAGATCTTCCTAGATCCTTGGGAGAAAAGCAGTCCCGCACCGGTGGACGGACGAGGCCGCAAGTTGCTTGCGAGCTTACCTGGAAACCATGATCTCGGATTCGGAAATGGGATCCAAGAGCCTGTTCGTGATCGATTCCAGACCTACTTCGGACACAGCAACCGAGTAGATGTGATTGGAAATCATACATTCGTTTCGGTGGACACTGTCTCGCTGAGCGCAATGGACCAGCCTGATCCTTTGACAGGCAGCTCGCCGACAGCCGCAAGCGATGATACCTGGCCGGCTCGCCCGATTTGGAAAGATGCCGATGATTTCTTGGACAAGATGGCTATGCACAAAGCCAAGGCGGAGACAGAGGAACTTCGAATGCTGCAAAACCAAAGCGAGGGCCATCTGTTTGATTACCGTGTGGTCGACGCTGTTGACCCGGCAATGCACCACAAGCCCGAGCCGACGAGCCCTGGATTCCCCACGATCATCCTTACACATGTGCCTCTCTACCGCAAGCCTGCAACTCCTTGTGGGCCTCTACGCGAGCGCTATCCGCCAGCTTCGGACGAGGAGCTGGAAGAGGATGAGCCTAATGCTTTGAAGATTTCAGGTGGCTACCAGTACCAGAACGTTCTCACACAGACCGTGTCCAACGAATTGGTGTCTAAGTCAGGACCCAATGTAGTCCAGGTCTACTCCGGCGATGACCACGACTACTGTGAAGTCTCACACCGGGAATTCAATGGTTCTCCGAACGAGATCACTGTCAAAAGTATCTCCTGGGCAATGGGAGTCCGACACCCAGGCTTCGTGTTGACCAGTCTGTGGAACCCAATTGACCCCAAGACGGGCAAGCCCATCAAAGACGTATCGCCCACCATCCAAAACCACCTCTGCCTCCTCCCAGACCAACTGGGCATCTTCATTCACTACCTCACCATTCTCGGTTTCAGCGTCACCATCCTCTTCATCCGTGCCCTCTACCGGGCATTCTCCTCGCCGGAGCCATCATCAACCGGTGCACTCCTCCCACTCTCTGAACGCCGCCCACAGCATCACTCCCAAACCTCCGGCGCATCTAGTTCTACTTTGTCAGCGGGTGGCCTAGCCAGCCGCGGCGGAATGACAGCGTCTCGCTATCCTGGGACCAAGTCACCTGATTCCTACCGGGGTATTGACGAGGACATCATGTCCTCGAAAAACAAGACTTCATGGCGGCCCGCGTCAGCCACTGGGCCCCGCTCTAGTGCCTCTCTGGTTGTGCATGACCTGTACCACTCTACCAAGACTGTGGCGCAGGTAGTGTTGTTAGCGTATTTCATCCTGATCTGGCGCTGGTAGCCGGACCGCTCTTCAGCGAAAATAGACAATAATAGACTTGCATCTCCATCACATGGCGCTGCAGAATTTACTAGCTCCGATCTGATCCAGTTTGTAGTAACAGAATAGCGACACTAGGGCTAGAACAAGCACTAGAAAAAAACTAGAAGAAAAAAACTAGAGCTAGGGCAAGAGCTAGGCCCGTGGCCTCGTGACCAGACCCTGACCCGATCCAAAATTTCCCCCGGGCCGGCCCCAGACCTCGGACTTGCCATGTCTTACTCTTCCCCGGTCCATTTCGACTCTCTCGGAATCCTCCCGACGATTCTCCGAAACGGTCAGACCGCGGCATAGCTTCGGGTTGTGCGTCCAATCCCCATCACGGGAAAAATCCCGCACTCGCGTGTTAAACTCCCGCCAAGCCTCAACGCGGGCCGTTCAGGATTTGCAGGCTCTGTTTACTACAGTAGACCATGCAATATTTTCAGCATACAGTATTTCATTCTGGACACCAATGACCAACAAACTGAAACTAGTCTCAGCAGATAATTTCTACCAACCGAAAATCTCGTAACAGAAAAAATTCAATCCATGTGTGAAGTAGAGTGAAGTGGGACCAAAAACACGAATACAGTAGTCCAAACTTTCGCCCACATCAAGACAAGTCAAACTACGGTCCAGGGGAAATATCCAATTTCCATGTCCTCATTCTGGCTCCGGTGAGCAAAACTACATTCCCCCTCGTACTTTACCGGGGTACAACGTCATTCTGTTGGTTGACAACCTTGCCTGCGGGTCATCGATATCTCCCCTTCATTGGCTCTTCCTCTCTTCCCTCCAGACTCGGATCCCTTTTCTGTCTGGGGATACGTGGACCGTCTGGGGAGAAAATCTGGAGTTGGGAAATGAGTTACAGTTCTCCCATGTTCGATGTACAGTATGTCCCGCGTTTGTGTTGATCTTGTGGCGTTGGGTACATGCCTCTCCCATACATGTATTGGGCGTTTGTAATCGTTCTGTTTATCTGCTGCATTTGTTCTAGTACTCGTAGTTTCTAGTCAAATATAGAATCAGCCATTACAATCCAGATCCCTAAAGCAGCTGACAAGAAAAAAACCGGAAGAAAATTTCGGCGAGAAAATGGTCTGGGCCAGGTCCCGTTGCCCGATGCGGGACGCCGATCGGCACTCATGTGGCTCAATCCGAGATTCCGGTTCCGGCTGTCAACCACATTTTCCCCAGTATTTTCGCCGGGTCATATGTGTTTGCTTGGCTATTTCCGTATAGCCTTACAGCATACTGAACAAGAGTCTAACATTCTACAATATGTGGCTGATCCCAAGGCGGGATGCCTACAATAATACACCGGCGTCGGGTTCCAAAGGGGTTCTCGGCTCCGTCCGAGTTTATCTGCCCGCATGACCAATGGCTGGCCATGTGGCTGAGTCGCCCCACTCCAATCCTAGTCTCTATTGGCCCACCCGGGGTTTGGCAAACCCTAACCCCAGGCTCAAAACATCTAAAAAGAAAAGAAAACGAGGAAATTAAAAATAAACAGGAAATGAGACAGACCTGGAGTCCCCGCATATGCTTTCGGTTTGTCATTCGGCTTTCCCCGGGGTTCGGCCTGTGGCCATGTGTTGAGAGGATAAATAGATCGTGATCGTCCCTGCTTTTGGGCTTTACTGTCTTCTCATTCCACTTCACTTCCATCTATACATCTTCACTTGTCTCTGCTGTGCGGATTCTCATTCTATTTTCTCCACTCATATACTCTTGACTACTCGTCCTCACTCTACTTTCCTCTCTTCGACTTCTGATTTGATTATCTCAACTCGGTTTTCATCAATCGTCTCTATTTACAATGGGCTTCGCGCTGAAGAGGCCTGCTGAGGCCACGGGCTCTGCAGCCCCGGCAATCATTATTGGATTGTTCGTTGCTTTTGGTGGTGTTCTCTTTGGGTATGTCTCCTATCCTATACTCCTATTCTCAACCAGATGCTAACAATGCTTTAGATATGACACAGGTACCATCAGTGGTATCCTCGCCATGAAGTTCTGGCGTGAGATGTTCTCTACCGGTTACATCAACGAGAAGGATGGTCTTCCGGATGTCACCTCCTCCCAGTCCTCCATGATCGTCTCTCTCCTCTCTGCTGGTACATTCTTCGGTGCTCTCGGTGCCGCCCCTATTGCCGACAAGTTCGGTCGTCGCATGGGTATGGTCATCGAGAGCGTCGTCTTCGTCTTCGGTGTCATCCTTCAGACCGCCGCTACCTCCATCCCCCTCTTCGTCGCTGGTCGTTTCTTCGCCGGTCTGGGTGTCGGTCTCCTCTCTGCTACCATCCCCCTCTACCAGTCTGAGACCGCTCCTAAGTGGATCCGTGGTACAATCGTCGGTGCCTACCAGCTAGCCATCACATTCGGTCTCCTTCTCGCCGCCATCGTCAACAACGCCACCAAGGACCGCATGGACACAGGCTGCTACCGCATCCCCGTCGCCGTCCAGTTCGCCTGGGCCATCATCCTCGTCGTTGGAATGCTCATTCTCCCCGAAACCCCCGCTTCCTCATCAAACAAGACCGCCACGAAGAAGCCATCCGTGCACTCGCCCGCCTCCGCCGCATGGACATCAACGACCCAGCCCTAGTCGCTGAGCTCGCGGAGATCCAAGCAAACCACGAATTCGAACTCAGCCTCGGAAAGGCCTCCTACTTCGAGATCGTCAAGGGCTCCCTCGGCAAGCGTCTCGCTACCGGCTGCGCCGTCCAGGCCCTGCAGCAGCTCGCAGGTGTCAACTTCATCTTCTACTACGGCACGACCTTCTTCCAGAACTCCGGCATCCAGAACTCCTTCGTCATCACCCTCATCACGAACATCATCAATGTCGTCTCCACCTTCCCCGGTCTGTACATGGTCGAGAAGTGGGGCCGTCGTCCTTTGCTCATGTTCGGTGCTGTCGGCATGTGTGTCTCGCAGCTCATCGTCGCTATCGTCGGTACCGCTACCAACTCCGATGTCTCGAACAAGGTCCTCATCGCCTTCGTCTGCGTTTACATCTTCTTCTTCGCTAGCTCTTGGGGTCCCGTCGCTTGGGTCGTTACCGGTGAGCTGTACCCGCTCAAGGCCCGTGCCAAGTGTCTCTCTATCACTACTGCCACCAACTGGCTGCTCAACTGGGCTATTGCCTACGCCACCCCTTACATGGTGAACAGTGGTCCTGGCAACGCGAACCTCCAGTCTAAGGTTTTCTTCATCTGGGGTGGTTTCTGCTTTATCTGTGCTATCTTCGTTTACACTTGCATTTACGAGACTAAGGGTCTTTCCCTTGAGCAGGTTGATGAACTTTACGCCAAGGTTCCTGTTGCTTGGAAGTCGGTTGGCTTTGTTCCTTCCGTGAACTACACTGATGTTCGTGATGTTGCTGCTAACATGAAGAGTGGTGATCTTGCTCAGCTTGAGATTGATGCTGGTGAGAAGCGTGCTGGTGAGCATGCTACTCACCATGAGAGTGTCGGTGCTAAGGCTGATGTTTGATTGCATTTATTAATGGTTCATGGGATTTTGTATGATTTTCATTTTGTTTTCTTTGTGGATATTTGATCAACGGGTTGGATTGCATTTTTATTATGATATTCATGTTTGTGTTATAGCGGAATGCATTTACTATATTATATATCATCTTTCCCATTTAATTATCATCGTAGATTGGAACATGGCTTAAGGGGTACAAACATTGCTTTATACCCATGGCTCGTATAGACATGGAACGTTGATACTCAGTCCCTCGACTTGGCTTGAGCGGTCCAGTCGTTTTAGATCTTCAGAATACCTCAAGCTTTCAAGGGACGGGGAATGTTTGTCGACAATTATCATGGCATTAGCTGGATATGACCCACTGTGGGGAACTATTAAAATTTATATTGACGTATGAATCTCTATATCACACACGAAACTCCCATACAAACCTACCCCAGAGCTCTCTATAGTACTACCGTCACGGGAGTCACTAGGATTACCTAAATAAAATAGCACCGAAACGACCCCTTGAGCGTGAATTTTTGATTAATTACATATAGAATATGAGGACCTGTGAAAATGACGCCGAAAATGACCACTTTCGACGCTAGAAACGGCTTCCTACCGGTAACTTTGGCTGTCTAGCCGCCCCTTGACCGCCCACTGCCCCTTAACAGCACTATTCTGCACCTACCCAGCACTGTTAGTCATCCTCCGGTCCTGATGTTGACGCTCGACTAGCATAGTTGTTCCCCTCGTTTCTACTGGCGACCAAAACGACGCCGAAAATGGCTCCCCCTCTAGCTAAATCTAAGTCTCCTTCCTTTTCGCCTAGTCCGGTTAAGCGCCTATAAGATACTTCGTCTTCCCTCCCTTCTAGTGTCGTTATACCTCCTATTCTCTTATCCTCGTTGCCTACGCCTTAAGCCGACCTTAACGTTGTCGTTTCCTATACCACGAATTTTCTACCCTAGTCTTTGTATCTAACCTCCTCTAGAGCACCTACACCTATATATCCGGCTTAAACTAATAAGCACTAATACTAGACCGATTCTATTCTTTACGAGGAAACTCGAGCTAGACTAGAACATTTTCGTAGTCTTAGATAGCTCCCTCTAAACTTTAAGCTAAAGACCTTAGAAGGTATCGCTATCGTCGAACGTTATTAGCGAAAGTAAGTGCTCACTTAGCCGGGAAAATTCTTATAACTAAAAATAACACGGGAATAGATATTATATTTAATCGAACGAGGATTATATAGACTTTCTTCTTTTAGAGGATTAGACGATCTATATAAACTTTTTTTTAATTAGATATTCAATATATCACAAAAGAAACTACTTTAGTTATATAATAAATACTAGCGACGCCTTTATTAATACTTCGAGCTATTCGCCCGTCGCCGCGTCGGTAAGAATGCCTATTAATAGATACGACGAGTAAGTTATATCCTATCTATTCCTAAATAGAGTATGCTTACCTTAAAAAAGTTTCTCGAAGGTGTATTCCTAGCCGAGCGCAAAATTCCCCGACAAACAAAGGACAAAAATACTCTAGACATAGATGCTTTTAGTGTGATTTACCGGTATCACCAGGTCTATTCGAGATTCTTTCGTCACGGGAGCATAATTGTTTAGTTTACTATAGTCTAGCTCTAGTCCGCTATTATAGGCACGCGACCTAGCGTCTTTGTGTCAGGACCCCGACCTGCCAGGTGCCTGATGGATGCCTAAGGGTATACAGCGAGCCTTGGCCCTCGCACTGCGAGGGTAACTGATCGCATGCATGGGCCAGGATGGCCGTGCATGTCGCTAAACGCATTAGCTAATCGCACCATGTATTTATTGTGCTCGCTGGTCCTCGCATGGAGGGGCAGCAATTAGTCTCTTAATACACCTGCACATACATTCGCCGATAGACTCTACTTCCCGAACTCATACTGCTACTATAGGACCTCGCAGGGTTCTAACACTTTGTTTGTTAGTATAAGCGTATCATTAAGCTTATCTTATCTTGATCTAAGCTTATTATCAAAAGGCTTAATACCTATTACCCCTAGAAGGTCTATTAATATAGCCTTCGATAATATATTCTAGAAGGTCTATTAATGGTTTAAACCTAATAACCTTCCTATGATCCGAAGACTATAAGTCTTCTGATCAATGATTATTACATTAATGATCTTCTGACCTATAATTTGTAATACCTTATAGAACTACGCAATTCTACGCCGTTCTATTAGGTAAGAAGGTCAGCTATATATAGGACCTCGAGGAAGGGTCCCCTAGGATCTACCTTTCCTAACGATATATAGGCTCCCTCGAACGGTCTTAGATTATAAGAAAATCTGTGGTTTCTTCTATGATAGAGATAATCAGAGGACCCCCGTCTTCGGGAGAAATTCAGAGTTCGCGGAAACCGTAGTTTTTCCTACGATAAATAGAATCAGACGATCTTTTGGTTCATGAGACACTAAGGGGCGCGTCAACCGCCCAATCAATTTGTTCATTACTGTATTGTGCGGCCTATGTATGGCCGGGTCTTATAGAATCACCCGAACCACGACGGATACCATGACTTTTCGTAACCTCTGTACGATACTTCGTAGTGGTGTATACACGTGACTTTGCTGACTTATAGATTGATTGGCTATTAATAGCGAGTTTGTGGTATCTAGCCTCGCTTCTCTAGATAATTGGGAGATAACAAGCTAGGCCACGGATCCTTTCTCCTATAGAATATAATACTATAGCCAACGATGTAGAGAAGTGAATCTGACAAATGAATACAACCACTTCGAGGGGTACGGTATAAGTTCCCGCGTAAAGCTAATGGATCAGAGAAACCAATGTATGATTGGGGATTAGGTACTCTGGTATTCCTTCTCCACATTGGAGTAGCATGGCTACATTCACTTCATCATAAGCTCGTGCTTGGTGCAGCGACATCTCTGCTCGCATCCTAAGGAACAAAATCAACTCACAGAAACTTCTGGAGCATTAACTGTCGTAGTCGCAGTTGTATAGTACAAGTCGTATTTACCAGAGGGGCGCCGTTTCCGGCAACCCCCCACGTTGGGTTTAGCGCCCGTCCCGTGCCGCCCTATTCTAGTTTAGCGTCACCCCATCGGGTATGGTGTCTCGCGCTATCCCCCAACGGGAACTGCCCCCAGTCGCCGCCCTCGGGAGCCCTCGTCAACTATATAGTCTAGACGGTGCGTCGCTCGACCACCTCTCTCTCCTTTCCCACGGCCGTACGTTCTCCTCAGCTCGCGAGCGCGGACATCACTGCTCCGGCCCCCCTGCATTTCGGAAATGACCGTTCCCACAAGGAGTGCTTCGCCCCCTTCGCTCCCCACTCGTGCCACTGCGAAGTCGCTGGCATCCACCGACTGATTCGACATCCGCCGCGTGAGACGCTGATCTTTCATGGATGGAGGCATGCAACATGGCTCGCGAGGTGTTTTCGCCTGCCTAAATTGGCCACCCCCAAATGGTCTCCTGGCCATTGGGAGCTGCCTATTTCAGCCCGGTTCAAACCTCTTGAAGCAATCTTTCCCATTTGGGGAAACGCATACAGCCCATATCTCATTTCCGGGGCGGGACTATGACCTCTCGATAGGCATGTGGTGTTGTTATCTGCTCGGCGCAGCGTAACCACCAATGACAAAAATGCCTCTTGCGTCCCCGGGTACCCATCATCCGGTGTGGGCCTGAAGGCGCTCCATTGATTCCCAACGGATGATGACTTGTGAGAAGGCTCGAGCGGGCTACGTGATGATCTGTCGAAATGGCCGCGGAATTAACCCAATGGTGGGACAATTATGGGGTCACACTCGTAACTGTAACCGGACGATGCATCGCTTGCAGGGGACTGCGCTGGTTTTGGAACCGAGATATTGCGGATTACGGCTCTGCGAGGCTGACGTGGAACTGCTCGCCATAGTTCACGGAAAAGTTAGAGGGATCAATCTAGGGAATTGGTCACGAAGGCGTCCGCATGTCCGAACAGTCCGATGGAGCCGCGGAGAATTGGTGTGCTTGTGCATGAGATGGCAGCCATGGTAATTGGCCATGGTCTTTGAGCGAGCCAGATTCCGACAATGGAACTATCCCTTTACTTGTGGGTCCAATTTCTTATGGATCCCAATGTAGCTTAGGAGATTGGTAGCTGAACGAGGATGCTGGCATGTACAACCTCCGAGTGGTGATACGGCGATGCGGCGATGCGGCGGAGCTACTTGGCGTTGCCTAAAGAAGTGATTTCAGATACTATATAAGCCGTCCGCACTCCTTTCCCATTTCCCTGATCACTTCTCATTTACCGTCTGTTGATTTGGCCGCCATGCATATCAGTCTTGACAACATTAGCTTCTACTCTCCTCGCTCTCCTACAAAGCCCGCCTCGCGTGCGCTCCCTGCTTCCTGTTGGAGGGCCTATAATGCCTCCGTGGCTCCTCAACCCCTTCCCCGTGCCCTCCCGCCGAGACCGTATTTTCAAGAAGCGACCTTCAGCTCAACATCCGGTGCCAGCACTGATGTCTCTCTGGAATCGCGAGATACCATGGCGGAAAATTTGGATTCACGTGCAGGCAGTGAATTTGATATCGAAATAGAGAGAGCTGTGACACAGAGCATCCAGGAAACGCACGAGACAGACTTGGACCTCCACCTCGACTCAGGGCTCCGAAACGAATGTCGCACTGACGTGTCTGAAAGCGATCACACATACTTAATAACTGGTATGTCGGAATCAATTGCTGAACCGCGATAAAGCTAATATCATCCACCAGATCATCCGGACCGATGCCCTTTGGGAGAGTCTCTTGGTGACTTAGATACGGCTTTGATCCCGGCAGAACCTCAGTTGCATCATGCAGGTAAGCGCGACTATTATCTTTCTGTTCTCCTTATCTTGCTAACTTATACAAGAACCGCCCATTGCCTCAACCGTTGCCCCAGCCGACCTGCTACGATGGCGCCGAGATAGTATCTCGTCGCTAGGCATTTATGATGAGGCTGACAAGAGCCCTGGCCCGCCCGAAGTCAACTTGACTTGCCCGCGTGTCTTGCCATCACCTCCAACAGATGTACCAGCACGGCCTAGCATTGAAACCATTATCCAAGATGAATCCGTCGTAGATGACACCACATCCGGGTTAGAAAACTATGGAGATCAGACGGGTATTACAAGAAATGGGGTGACAACACAAATTGTCCAGGTCAATGAACCCTCAATCAGCGAGGCTGTCTCGGATAAGGAAGTAAGAGGCAGACTCACCGAGAGTCAAACGCGTGACTTTCCCCGTCTTAGACCTCAAACTCGCTCGATCAACCGATCGCAAGCCACGCTGGCAAACTCTCCATCCCTTTGTCCGCGACGAAAGGCAAAATCCGTGCAGCGAGAGCGATTTCCTGCCGTTTCCGTTGTCATCCCTGTCCGTCGAAACGATAAAGTGGTTGCAAGTGCCAAGAAGAACTCTCTAACCAGAATACGACGGTGTAGTCGCTCGAGCGATAGCGACAACGACAGTGACAACCTCGAGAAAGATCGGGTAACACGGATGTCGATGAACAAATATTCACCGTCGTCCGGTGGACCTAATTCCAAGGCAAGGGGGCGCCCACTGAAAACGTCGAAGAGGGCAAAGGGAAGCGTCTTAGCTCCGAGCAATGATATCGTCGGAAAATACCCTAATCAATCCCGAACCCCCTCAGGTGGTAGTTTGGCTGTCTCACTGGATAAAACACAAGAGATTTTCGGTCGCGGAGTTCTCCGTATCCAAACTCACGGTCCTGGACAAGCCTACTTCATGACGTTCCTTCCAGAGGTTTCTCATCACCCCTCTATGCCGTCACCGTCTGAAATGCCTCCTGAACAGTCTTCACAACAGTCTTCACGCTCTGAAGATTTTTCTCAGAACACATCCCCGCGACAGATGGGACGCCGAAAACGCCATAAGCGAAATATATCTACAGCCTGTGAAGATGGAGACGGGCGGGCGACCAAGCTGCCACGACACTCGCCATCTCGTGATGGCCGCAACGAAGCCCAGCGAAAGTGCAGGAGGCGCTTGCGGTGGTCTTCAAAAGAGGTGGATTTTTTGAAGGAGTTAAGAAGAGACGAGCAACGACCATGGTCGGAGGTGACGAGCTTATTTTTGGACCGATATCCAGGAAGAAGTCCTGCTGCGATCCAAGTATACTGGAGTACGTCTGGGCATCGAGAAGGCAAGACTAAGAGCGCGCCAACTATCGTCTAAAGCAAAGCATATACTTCAACCGTCTCCAGTACATACAGCTAGAAATTACATTCTGGGGAATAGCTCCAATGTGGGACATATCCATACCAGCTATAGACTGTGGAAGAGCCTTCGCTAATGGTCTGATAGAGAATTCCACGTATTGCCCTAGGACCCTCTTCTATAAGCATATATAACCATATATTTTGAAACTTGGAAGCGATGATAGTCCAAGTGTACCTATATCGATCGCTACGCATAATTTAACGAGAAGCTGGCTGCCAAACGTCTTGCCTATCGGATAGTACGTTATATTACATGAGGAGACTTGGCTACTAAAAGGCGATCGGAAATTCACGCGCCTGAGAATATAACAGAGCCAGAAGGGGACTAAATGGAAGCCCAGTGCCTTAACTGGTATTGGGGCACCGTCATATTGGGGCACCGTCTCCAAGGGCATTTTTCTTTCCACCGTGAGATTAAGGAGTGGAGAAATCGGTGTATCCCATTCTCATAATCCTGCCTTTAACAAGTCGAATGTTTGGAGGGATGTGAGGGAGCGTAATAATTTGGCTATCCATGTTGCCGTCTGATTCCATAGAGTCCGTCTGCGATATGTCTGCTGAAAGGCTGTAAAGTGAGAAGACAATATCAAAAGTTTCGCACTTTTTAGGAAAGGCTCACTATGACAGTCTTCAATTGAACTGATTTTTGGCGCTCCTCCCTTCTCCGTTGGCTTTGGACTGTAAACTGGTGAAGGCTGTCTGAGGCTAGATGCACATTTGATATTTTCCGGCTCATATACCGCAGGCTCAGTCAGTGTATAAGGGCTGACAGCATTTGGGATCGTTTGCTCTAGGTTCTCGTCTATTTTCTGTTCGATTTTCGGTCCCCAAAATGCCTGCATGAAGTTTGGTAGAAGCAATCGAAGCGAGATAGAAGAAAAGCACTCCATGGGGCCGATTTGTCAAACAGATCCAAATAATATAGACGAGTATGTGGTAACAGCATCAATATATAGGTTTCAAACCTGGCTGGTGCTATTTTATTCAAACCAAGAGGATACAAGGGGACCTATTTATACTGTCCAAGATGGTTATTGATCGCACCTTGTCATTGAATAAAGTAAGTACCAGAACCTCTCACCGGTGGTGATGATATGCTTGTCGCAGTCTAGGTGCATGGTCTTCGGAATCGTCTCATACAAAAAAGAGTATGGCCGAGAAGGGTGTTAAGCGTATGGGTGTCTGGGTCTCAGATATGGCTGATCGGCGAAGCCGGGAATTAGATGGCTATCAATGTTCCGGGCAAGAAGCTATATGTGGCTGCCAGGTGGTCATTCAAACATACGTCAGCCTGGAGCGTCAACCTTTTGCGTACTAGGGTCGAGTATGGGGATGATCGGTGAAATTGCGGAGTTGAATGGCTATCAATTACCCTTGAGAAGGTGCTACGTTAGTGGTTTTCATGCTATCACCAAGATACCCGAGAAGCCCGTGCAAAGGCCTATCTAGCAGCCTTCAAGGCGCAAAGCGAGGCTCACTGGAATCAAAATAGTGATTCTCGTTTCATCGAAGGATTCTCTGGAGGCTGTACACTTGTGGGGAAGACATCGAAATGTATAAATCAGATTATCGATTGTCGACAAAGCTAATACTATGTAATACGGAAGAACACCAATATCCTCGCTAACACATGTTACCTAGGGCAGATTGTATAAGGATGATATCCCGTACGCGTTCCGGAAGGGATACATAGTTCAAGATAGGTCGAGCATTGAGCCGCGAAGCAGCCATTTTGATCGAGAATGCCCTGCAATGTTAGCTGATTTCGGATGTATGAGGGGACAGTCTTTGTGCTTACAGAAAAGAAGGGCTTCTTGATATACCCTGGTTTCTGCTTGATAAATCACTACGTTAGTCATTAAGCCTATGAAAAATTGATAGACGACACACTCATATATGACAAGCTTCAGCCCTCCAATGCGCGGATCATTCTGGATATTACGGATAACCAGCGGATCCTGCAATATAGCAGGAATGAAAAAACCTAGGGGAGTGAGTGACTCTTCTCGAAACTCCACCCCAGTCGTAGTCTCTTCGTCTCTTACGCTTTCGTCAGATAAATAGGTTATGGCGCTAGTGGGGTGAGACTCACAGTGGTATGCCTTCTAGAGAATATTCCTGCCAACAAATAAAGAAAGCACGGCTTAGGTCGGCCATTGGGACGTTAGAAAGGAGGTTAAATTCTGGATTAACATCGACAATTCCAATGTTGAAGAATGAAGGTGAGGACATTCTGGCAAGTCTGTTGTGTGTTGAGAGATTTGCTATAGTTCAGGGCTCGAGGAAGAGGCCTTATAGAGTAAATGAAAATAGAGTTGTTTGGGGAAAATATAGGTGCAGAGCGAGGATAACTATATATATTCAAGCTGTCGGTGGACGACAGGCCCAGGCAACCCCGCGATATTCATGGTGATTGAAATTGATTATTTTTCCCTCAAAACTTTTATGTACAATACCCGCTGACAGAATAGGTCGTTGATTATTTTCGCGCTTCACCCGTGATAACCAGCCGCTGGATTGCAAACTGGTAGAGGCCTTTTCAGGGTTTAGTATTTTCCGGCTCATTTACAGCAGGTTCAGTCAGCCAATAGGGGCTGGCAACAATCGGGGTCGTTCGCTCTAGGTCGTCATTTCTTTTCTTTTTTTGCTCGATTTTGGTCCCAAAAATGCTTGCACGTAGCTTGATAGAAGCAGCCGAAGCGAGATAGAAGACTAGCATTCCATGTTGTCTCATATAGACGAGTATATAATAGCACCATCAATGGAGAGGTTTCGAATTTAAGCTGGTGCTTCTTCGTTCGACCTAGGAGGCTATAAAAGGACATATCTCAACTGTGCAAGGTGGCCATCAATTGCGCCTGGTCATAACAATAGATCTAGCCATGGTGAGTACCCGACCCTCTCTCTGGTGACGATGATATGCTCACGTCAGAAGCCCGCCCCGATTCCCGTCCAAATCCTGCATGGGCCGGCAAAAATCGCTTTGGAGGCAATGATCTCCTTGGGAATTGCGTCTCCATCACGTGGTGAATATATTACCCGCTCTCAGTTATGGTACTGTCCTGATGCTAGCGCTGATGACTTGGCATTTTGATGCTTCATCTTCTAAAGCATCACAGGACCTGATTGATTTCCTGAGATGTCCTTACAACAGTGAAGTGAAGAGAATACTGGAGGGTCGATATCGAAGCAGAATGCGTGAAACGGGCTCTCCAAACTTCGACTTTTTGCTTGTCCTGAATTGAGTTCCATCTAGTGATCGGTGCAAGTACGAAGCAGCAAGTGCGAAACATGGAATGAATTAAATCTGCTATGCTCAACAGTAACCGAGATTCCTGAAGCGATTACAAATATCTTCAAGACGTCCCTCGTACCAGTCCTTTAGAACGTTGTGGATCTCATATCCGAGAACTTTTGCAAGGTTGCACCTTTTTGCATATTCCTGCAGGTATTTGGAATGCAGGTACTGGTAACAAAGAGCTCTCTTTGAGCCGAGATCCTCTGCAGGTTGTTGCAAAATAATCGGATCGTCGCTGCTTAGAGGGACAAATTGTGTAATCCCATACTTCCCCAAGACCCGTGGAATACCAGCCTTAAGCACCGCAAGATCCACTAGGAATGCTTCCTTCGTGATGCCATGGGCTTGATGCTGACCGCTAAGCTCTCGAAGAGCAATGGCATCAAAAACCACATCGTTGAGACCGTTTCTTTTGATGTCTTCCATAATTTGAAGCCCATTAGGAGAAAACCAAACCCGCACGGTCTTGTTTGGTTAGAGTTTAATGTCAAAGGGGAGTAAATGGTAACGCACGTGCAAATGAGTCGGCTCTGTGTCTCTGGCAGAAACACCAAAGCCTGAATCAGCAGAAATGGTAGGCTGCTCCTTCGGCATATCCGTTTCCAAAAGATCAATCAACGAATCTCGGTTGGGGTCTGGACCTCCGAACAGAACTGTCTCGCGCGGGTTTCTTGGAGAGAAGAGCCGGGTCATACAATCTGAAAGTAAACAACGAAGTTCCGGCATGCTCAAGCAGACCATATTCTCAGACATGGAATCTTACCATAGGTAGAAATAGATATCGGGCTGCGTTTGAAGCGACTGTCTCTTTTAATATGATGTACCACATGTTTGACTAGATTGCAGCGGAGATACTGGTTTGGAAGTATCCATTTTGCGGACCATTACGGTAAGCGTTCAGCGATGTCAATAAAACGTTGTTGAACCTTTCTTCTTCTTTTGGTAAAAAAAGGGGGTCCCAGATCAATTAGAAACAAATCTTCTTTGACCATGCAAACGTAGCTATTACTGCTATTGAAGGTCTGGGGTATCTATCGGGACCTGTTGTTCTTAAGAAAATACGGGTCACTCATATCGATGTACACTGTATTACTTTAAGCTTTGACGACGAGTGGGCTCAAAAAAGCTCCAGCGCGTTCCTGCTGTGGTCTGGTGGAGTGGGCGCAGTCGTGCACGGACAAACTTCTCACCTTGCTGAACCCCCGGGCCATAACATAAGCCGAAAAGGGCTCTCTAGGCTTCTGTTTCCGAGAGATAATGTGGGCTACAGCTGCCCACCGAAAGCCAATAACGTACTGGAGAAATACTCCCATGTAATTAATTTCCCAAACACAACTAGTTCAATACTGGCGGAATGAGGTCTTGTCAATGATCAGGGATCGCATGAGGTTCTATTGGCTTTCCTATCAAGTGTGCACTGCTCGCTTCTCTTGATCATAATATTGGCCGTAAGCAGACAGTGACCAACCAAATCGCTTTAGGAATACTGGGACCCCTTTGTATTTGCTGCAGTGATGGTCTTGCTGCCGAAAAAGTGGGGCTGTCGTCCAGTATTTACTTGAACGAAAAGCCTGTGCAGCAGCACATAATTTCAGTCCAACAATTCCTCGTGTACTGGTATATATCTAATTCACCGCCGAGCCACGTCAAAGATGACGGCGCCTAGAGCTGCAATTAGACATGTTCTTTGACAGTGTAGCGGCTGGCCCACTGTGGGGCGGCCGCTACTAGAGCAGCGGCCGTGCGCCGTCAAGGGTGGTAGGGTTTATGAAATGTTCGTAGATCCAACATGTGGACAACTTGCTCAGTCGTGAATGAGCGCTAAAGCCTCCCAGAAAAGTCTATAAATACGCCTGAATCCTCGATTTTTCTTTTCACCACCATCCTCGAAATCAGCAGTCAAGGAGAACAACATTTCCCTAGCACTCTCAATATCCAACGTCTAGACTTCATCTCAAAGCTGAAATTACGCCCAGTATCAGAGTGAGTTTATCATCACTAGGCGGAATCGCTTAAGCTGATATGAATGAATATCAGAGACATCATGTGTCAGGAACTCATTGAGACAATCGAGCACCTATGCAGGCATAGAATTGATTCTCCCCCAAGGGTCACGGCGCTTAATGGCTGCAACAATTGCGGCATCATCAAGAAGACAGAGCATTTCGGAAAGACAACCAAAAGGGATCCATGCCCCGACTGTATCGCCAATGGCACTTATGTGAAAATAAATGGAATTTGGAAGAAGGCATAGCGGATTCATGAGATCTCAGTCATGATAGGAATTGGTCCGTGTTTCATTGCCTGTGTTATGGAATTATTCTCCAAGAGAATCTCAATTCTTGTTACTTGATCTAAACTGCATCGGCTACATCGTTGCTTTATTTAAAACGAGAATCAATCTCCAGTAATGGGAAGAAACCTCCTGGTAACTTTTGTTGCTCGTAGGCAAGTAATTAGTTATTGACTTACTTATCTATCTATAAATTTATTTAATACTCAGACTTTTCATCTGGATTCTTTGCAGCCCCTCCTCAATGTATTCTAGTCAACAGTACTTCGGAATATACAAGATCCCAAACAGGAAATCCTAGAAGACGACAGTATCCCAGTCGCTGGTATGTTTCACGACAGTGCTTCAGGCTGTGGTATTCCGGTCGACAGCATAGTGCTCGCAGTATAGGACAGGTGGAGAAACAAGGAGGTGAGGGTGACGGGTGGACGAGGCTCAACCACGACAATTATTTCGCTCGGGTCTTCTTCTTAATCAGATCTTGACTTCACTGGTAGAAGGACGCGAAAATAACTGTCATAGAGTACTAGTCCCCAGCACCACGTAGATGTGTCTGCCTGTCGCAGTTTACTCAGTATTTAGTTGAACCAATCAAATTTGATTATATCATCGCGCCCCTTACTTCCATTCCACTTCCCTCTTTCCTTTTCACTCTCTCCTTTTCCCTCTTCAAATACAGAAATTTGCTTCTATCCCTTCTTCTTGAAATTCTGCTGCTCACTCTTCACGTCATATTCTTCAACCATGGATATCCAACGCCAGTTTCCTAGTGTGCACTGGATCTGGGGCGGAGGTATATCTTTCGTTTACGAAGTTCACCCTCGCATCGTCGTCAAAGTCCCGAAGTCTGGAGAATTTGAAAGAGAACAATTCCATAAAGAGGTCGAGATATACCGAATATTCTCTCAAAACCCACCTTGCCCCTCTATTGTGCAATGTTTTCTCTTTTCAGGTAGTGGCATCTTCCTTGAGTACATGAGAGGTGCGGCCCCTATTGGTAGTTAACAGATCGTCTACTAATCTACCTCCTAGACATGTCGCTTTCTTCTAGGATACAGAAAAATCATACTCGGGACCAGCAAACCATGGTGGTTACTGCAGTGGAAAAGTTAGAACCTCTTCCCCTCCGAAAAGAATGGATGAACGATCTCGCTCAAGCCGTCGCTTTCTTGGAATCCCTCAATCTTGCGCATGGTGATTTACGACCTGAAAATGTCCTACTTGACCGCAACCGGCTGAAGCTATCCGATTTTGATAGTACGGCAAAAATTGGAGCCAACTACGAAGCTTGCATGGCTCCGTATGGCAGAATACTCAATAGCAATGAGTTAGACCAAGGAGAATGTGGAACTTTTGGCTTTCTTGGCCCTCGGACAGAACAGTTCGCTCTTGGTTCCATTTATTATTTAATAAACTACGGTTTTGAAGTCTATGGAGATCGATGTCTCGCCAAAGATCCCTACGAGCATGGTCCTAGAGTCGTGGAGTTACTACAGAGTATGGAGTTTCCCAATCTGGATGGCAATCCTCTGATTGACGACATCATCGACAAATGTTGGCATAACAAATACGTCACGGTCTCAGAACTAGCCGCGCACACGAACATGCTTTTGAACGAAAGAATTGATGCGACGGAGAGTAACCGAGGTAGAAGGAAGGAAAGCAATGAAGTGGCGACCCTCGTGGAAACACAGTTCATGGGACGATGGTGTGATATCATAGGTCGCATAATCCATGGGATATGTTATGGCTTCGGAGCCTGGTGGAGGTCGTTATTACAGCTTTTCAACAGCGAGCTAACAAAGGCCGAGCGTTCTAATGGTGGCAATCGTGATGACGTGGATCACAACCGCCTGGGAGAGGAATTTATTTCGAAAAAGGAATTTTGTCAGGACCTGGAGAAACGCGGACTGCTTCATGTCCTTTCTTTAGGCGAGCCGGAGCAAATCGGATTCACTTTCGATTGGTATAGGCATAGTCTTTGAATAATTATACAAACTCCATAGAAATTTCCCTCTATTGCTAGAAATTAATTACCATTGCTCTTCTACGGATGCGGACTGCATTGAAGTACAGTACCCTTTTTTGGGTATGTCAACCACTTGTCTTCGCAATTCGGCAATTGTGTCCTGCATCATTAGCCGTAGGTCTAGGTGTGAAAGAGCCGGAAGGATGATATGATGGTTTGGACTTGCAATACGGGAGACACGGAGTTGTTTACGTTGGAGCCCCGATTTCTAACAAATATAATAATATTGGCTCGGAGTCTCTCCATGCCGTGGAATCGAGTCTTCCTTTTTCGTCTTATGGTCGATAGAAGATAGAAGAAAATGAGATCTATTTTCGGGAACAAGAATCGAGTGTAGAAATTCTCGCGTCGTATAGGCTTGAAACGGTTTTCCTAGAATACCCCATTCCTAAGACCCTGCGGTCGCATTTCCTGGATCATTTGTCTCCCGAAGGGATCTCCACCATGATACGCACAAAATCCTGTTGAACTTCAATGTAATCGCTCTACCGAACAGACTTACAGTATCTATTTACACCTATGAGGCTGAGCCAACCTAAAAGCCCAAAGAAGAGCATCGGGAATGCCACGTGAGTTATATGCCCAACTTAGCTCCGGTCACATGACTTATATGCCCAACATTCCTCCACTGCCACTGTACCCCTCCATGCCCCTCCATTAACAGTCTTACTCCCATAACAACAAACACGGTAAGTAGTAGCCCCGAAATTCCCACATCAGGTTTTTCTGCTACCACAGCTAACGAGTTTGCACCGTATAAAGTCCTGTCAAAGAGGCCGACGAGTTTTCCTGGGGGTGCGATTGCTTTGCTCTGCGAGATGAGCCAACCACTCTCTCCTGCGACCGAGATCATCCGTCAACAAATAAAGGGCGAGATCGCCCAGGCAGTGCTGAAACAAAAGACGCCCCAGGATACTAGAGGGACATTCTATGAAGAGGATCAAAATGGAAACAGAGCATATGGAGGACCATTGCTTGAAGAGAAGGTGCCACGGCTAGTGAAGGGAATGGGACTAGGAGAGGTCTGTGGGGCGAAGATTTTCAAGTACTGCTATGCTGCATCTACTTACTGTTTATTAGGGATTGACTTGGAGCCTGGCATATTTCTCACAGCCGAGGCCTATCATCAACAAATTCTCGCGCATGTGGCTTGTACCCTTGTCCGACAACGCAAAGATCACACCTGGTGGGCCTTTGAAGGAAGAGTTCTGTACTTTTATCACTGACGAGCCTGTATTGGGTTCGGCCTCTACTGTCATATTCATAGCGCCGGAATAAAATAAGAACTGCTGGACTAGGCCATGCCCAGGTCCACCTTTCTTATGCACAATCACTAGCCTCTAGCAATCGGCCGACCGAACGTAAAACTTGGCACAAAATGAAAAGCCAGGAGCTATCAAGGGTTTTCAGTAAATCAATATGCTTATGCAATGAATGAGCCCGATACTGACGTCATAAATTGCCAGTAGTCGTAGGGAAGCTGCGTCGCGGGGGATCGCTTGAGGTCGGGTCTGATAGCTCGTGAGACCGCGGTATAGGATATCTGAACTGCCAGTGATCGTAGGGAAGTTGCGTCCCGAGTGGGTCGCAGGTTGGGCCTGGCAGCTCCTGAGACTGCGGGATGGGATGTCTGAACTGCCAGTGATCGTAAGGGAGTTGCGTCTGGAGGGGATCGCTTAAAGTTGCGTCTGACAGCTTCTGAGACTGCGGGATGGGATGTCTGAACTGCCAGTGATCGTAAGGGAGTTGCGTCTGGAGGGGATCGCTTAAAGTTGCGTCTGACAGCTCCTGAGACTGCGGGATGGGATGTCTGAACTGCCAGTGATCGTAAGGGAGTTGCGTCTGGAGGGGATCGCTTAAGGTCGGGTCTGACAACTCGTGATATTGCGGGATAGGATGTCTGAACTGCCAGTGGTCGTAGGGAAGCTGCATTGAATGCACCTCATCTGACAGCGGACTCCGAGGCTCAATATGACCGTTCTGTGTTTCTGGAGGTGCAGAGCTATCCGCATTCGAACCAGGAATGCTACCAATTGTATTTCTTCGCAAGTCTTGTTGGTTCAAGGATGCCGTCGATGAAACTGGAGAGGATTGATAGAGCAGCGTTGAGCGCGTTGGATTCGAACCCCACCTGAGCCCCTGAGCTGGACTTAGCATGCTTGCAAGGTTTAAAGACTCTGGATCACGAAGTCGTACATTAGTTTTCCTGCTATTTCCATCATCCAGTGCTAATATATGCCATGACGGCTGATCTGTGTGGTGTTTAAGTGCCTTTCTTGCAAAAACTTCGAAGGAACATACCTGTCAGTAACTGAGAACCCTGGCCGCTTTCAAGCGTGATAGACTCAACACATTCCCAAAGTTTTTTAAACATCACGTGGGCGAGGTCGCTTAATTCCTGTCGAAAGGAGACGTTTGATATACCTCTGTCACGTAGGTCTTGAATCCATTGTGACCTTTTGGGCCCATCCTCATGGAGTAGCCTTAAACTGCAATATCTTTCAACGCGAGAAAATCATTATCGGGTTTCTGCACTTACTATTCTTTTCCAACATCTCCTGGCAAGTAGAATAAAACCCCAAGATACCGGTACCCATCATCAGAACTATCATCAATGTCACGGCACAGGTTATCGATCTTGCTTCCTTCCTTTGACCATTGCGTAATGTTCTCCTTGATATCATCTTGATCATGGCCCACTAACGAAGATTCTAAAATGATGTTGGCGAGGATTTCCGAACTGTGTGAATGAAGCCTTTCTAGACCTAATTTATGTTTCAGCTTGGAAAAGAGAACCTTCAGGAACCGCGATCGAATCAAGTCATTGTCTATGCGATGCTCGCAGTGTAACAGACTTCGATAAAAGAAGCTCAGAGCAGGCGCCTCAAAGTCGGCAATTGTCTCATCGGCATTGAGGAAGAAATCAGATGGATTTTTCGCCCAACGGGAAATATTACTTGAGATGGAACTGGAAAGGCAAATTTGAGCTTTTGTGGCATTTCTTCTTTTGCGAGGCGGGCGGGGTTGTGATGATTTCAAACGCTTCGCGGGCTTTCTTGCTGTGTTGCCGTTGGTGATGCGAGTATCGTGAGACAAAGGATTCCCAACGATGATTCTTCGAGCATCTTCGGGAATGTATGTCCACGAAGACTTGAGGAGTTGAATCGTCTAAGTTCCCTCAGCCAATTGCCCGGGATGACCACACAGCAGACGCGTGACTCACCTCTGTATCCCGCAAGATCACATCTATCCGAGTGGAGCCTTGCGTTTCTGCCTCGTAGCAGATATTTTGCAGCTTCTGAAGGAGAATCTTACTTTCTACAAGACCCATCTTCTAGGACTTGTCTGGCGGTTAAGGTGAGTAATGCACGGTAAGTGAAAGGATCGAGGGAGAAACGGGCGGCTGGTCAGGTAAGAGAGAACAACCATGTGACTTCATGTAATGATCCCTGTCGTTGCATTAGCGTCTACAGCCATTGGGGGTTTGCAGTTGAGCAGTAGAACCAGTATCTTGGCTTTATCAATATATCAAGTGTATATTGAATCTTTGTCAAACACACATATACGCAAACTGCGCTTTAACGCGTATGATCGAAACGAGAGGCCGAGAGGTTGGCCAAGTCTGACTGAGCTATCAGTTAAACACACGGAATGTAGCTAGCGCAAAATTAAACCACAATCCCTAGCCAATCGTTTGCAGTGCTACCGGTAGTACGCCATAAAGTGACCGATTAGCAAAGTTCTGGCGTGATTGTGTACAGATTCCAAGATACGAATGCTTCGGTTCGTGCGGTTAGCGCGCTGGCCGCTGGCCGGAAGCACGAGAGGAACTCGGAACTCTTTTATTGCCTGGCTCTAAGCCACTTGACTTTCGTAGTCCTATTGTTTATTCAGAACTCGTAGGGTCCAGTCATCCGTGGTAGAGTGGCCTCACATTTACTAGAGCTAGCATTCGAAAATTACCCCGTTGGCGCAGTCGAAAGTCATTCGAGGCTGTGTGCAGACGCCAAGAGACTGACTGCTTGAGATGGGGGCTCAAGTTCAGCTTGGAGGGGTCAGTGCGGCGGTCGCGCCAGCCCGAAGGACTCACCCGGTTCTCACCCTGATTCTCGCCCTATCTATAGCGCACTCACCCTTCTCACTCCCCGGCCGAGAGATATAGATATACTCCGCAGGCATGTAGAGAGAAAAAGGAAGATTACTGTTCAAGGCACCTGGTAAGCCAGACGCTGAGGTGAAATTCACGGATCAAATGGGACAAATCACGGAGGAATAAACCTCCCACCTAGCACTTCGAAGGCTTTCATGCTAGGCGAATCGTAGAATCTATTTTTACATTATTCTGACTAGGATGACCGGGAAACGAAGATCGAGCCATGGAAGACGAGCAAAGAGTAGGAATGGGATCATATTGAAACATGTACTTCAGCGGCTAATAACCTATTATTCACCAACAAAGCACCAGGACCCTTAAGCATTAACGTAGGTAACGCTACATAAAATGACGCAGCAGAAGAGGGAGTTCGCAAATGGATTAGAAACTTAGCATGCGATTTGCAGGGTTGGCCTTCCAGTCGTTTAAGCTCGCGAGAGCCTCTTCAGTGACCGCTTCAGTACTAAAAGGTCGCCAGGCCTTAAGCGCAACAGATTCTGTGGCGGAGGTTTCCCCCACTTTTGGACATCTTGTAGTGAGAAGTTGTCGGAAAACTTGCCTGTGATCAGCAAATGGACCACGGCCTCATCAAGGGCGGGATAAGGCCTTGCGGCAAGAGGGTTCCGATGCAGGGCGTACGCAATCATAGCATCCAGCGGGAAACGGGAATTGTTTCTACATACCTGTCAGTTGAGGGGAGATGGTACTGTACTGAAAGAATTCTCACATCTTTTTGCCCGCTTCTTTGCTGCACCGAATAAGAAAGCTGGGCCCGAAGTAGTACACACACCACCACCAATATTCACCGATTTTCTTTTCATTGTGGAAAGATTTGTGGAGTTTTCTTTTCTCGACTGGTGTCACGCCTCTCGAGTTGCAAAGTGTGCTGACGACATTTTTTTTCAGAGCAGTCTCTGCTGTGCCCCGTTGACGTTCACACTCGATTTCTCTGACAAAAAACAGAAACAGAGAACATCGAGCAACACGTAGCTTTACATCATGCATGTCGTTCTCATTGTGCAGTCGCATTAAATAGGTCATAAGACTGGCACGATTGGGCTTTTGAGCGGCATTCGAGGAGCTTGAGTCATTCCAGGAAGGGCCGCTCCAGAAACCAGAGACCTTCCAGGTACAGGAGTACTTTTCTAGAAAGGCTGCGAGGTTGTGTGAATGAAGGCGTTCGCCGGTGCGCTGGACTTCCGTCACCTGTTGCAAAGTCAGTCGGGAATATACCGATTCCAGAATATCGGTTTCATTCGGTTCACAATCTTCAACCGCTACACTTGGTTGCTCAGGCTCCTCTGGTTGCTCAGGCTCCTCTGGTTGCTCAGACTCCTCTGGTTGCTCAGGCTCCTCTGGTTGCTCAGGCTCCTCTGGTTGCTCAGGCTCCTCTGGTTGCTCAGGCTCCTCTGGTTGCTCAGGCTCCTCTGGTTGCTCAGGCTCCTCTGGTTGCTCAGGCTCCTCTGGTTGCTCAGGCTCCTCTGGTTGCTCAGGCTCCTCTGACTGCTCAGGGGCAAGACGGGGCCTGAGGTTCCTGGAGGATTGGTCTGATTGAGATTCAACAGCAAGGGAAATCTTTCGCTTTGAGCCTGCCTGAAGACCCCCAATTGACAAGGGCAAGTGAGACACATCTGAAAGCTTCTTGGGCTGCGCAGACAGGTCGTCATCTTTAAGCGAAGGAGAAGTAGATGTAGATGTGGAAATGCGACCTTGGGGATTCGAGGAAAAGTCGACCGGATTCTCGTCTTCACTCAAAAACCTCATAGAATGATCAATGGCCAAGTCAATATCCGATTCGCCAAAGCTTTCATTTGAAATTGAACAACCATCAGGGTCACTACCCCTTGCATTGCCAGGAGCATAGTCGGCTAGTTGCTGTGGTTCCAATGAGTATCGTTCACTCGAGGGAATCTGAATGCCTGACTGAGCCGAGTCTATGCCGATAATATTCGTAATTATGTCGTCAGAGCCAGCAGCAATTTCGTCCTCATCGGAAGCATCTTCAACTGCCGGCTGGAGTCTCGACAAGGATTGTCGGAACCGTTCGGGTGTTGCGCTTCTCGATTCAATTTCCTCGGATGTCGCTCTTGCTGACCTCTCCAGTCGCCCGATCGTTGGGCTCGTTAGGCTGACCGAACGAACTTGCGTCTCATTCTTCGTATATCGGGTACCCAGGGCTTTTGAAGATACTGGCGGAGTCGAGGTATATTGGTGGTCATCGTTCATTTCGATGGCAGAGTCGTGAGAAGTCACATCCGAGTTGTTTGGTGAGATTATGTTTGTGCCGTCCGGGTGATGCTCGTCGAAATCGTTAGGGAAAGATTGATAACGGGTGTCGAGGGATACATCTGGAAAACAAAGGTAAATTAAGTCATCTTCTGAGACGTTGTATTTCTGGGCTTCCTTACCGGACGACAAGTTTTGATCGTTCGGTGGAACCACCGAGTCTGACAATCCTGCGAGATGACCCTGATTTGGGCTACCGTCGATGGCCGATGAGAAAGATTTGCCAGAGCTGTTGTGCTTCACCTCATAATCGATTAAACAGTCTGCATCAGCTTGAATTTGCTTGTAAAGGCTCATGATCGTTTCCACAGGCAACCTCGATTGAAGTTTACAAGAGATGCGGACTGCGTCTAAAATCTATGATAGTGTCAATAAGGGTCAGGTCCTAAGTAGGGTCAGGCGTACCTCTTTCTCTGCATTTTCTCCAGGTAAGAAGTCGAAGCTCCCTTGTTCTCCATAGTGATTTGCCTGGAGGAAGAGTCAGATGGTGCGAGTTCGGATTGGGTGGCTGGCTCACATTGTTGAGAGAAAACTTGATCTGAAGCATTTCAAGGGTAAAGCTTCTGAAGAGGACCAAGGAATTTGATGGCAAGTGATAAATGAATATCGAGAGCACTTAGAGATCGCTGGTGCACTTTGAGGGAGGAGGGGAGCAAAGCCAGCTGCGAGGACGCCAACTGCGAAGACAAAGAGGGTGCCACTCTTTCTCGGCTCACCCTCGGCTCACCCTCTGCTCACCCTCTGCTCACCTTCCCTGATCGTGGGATTCATTGTGCTCGTAAAGTCGAAACACATGGGATAGAAGGATTTATACAACATTTTGCAAGTGGCTGGGGGTATGAAAGGAACTTCACGATAGTTTGGCGAATTCATCCTTCATAGTTGAAGTGAATGACCAAATCCTTTCGGTCTTGTTGTGAGTTGTTAAGGAAAGGGAAAAACGATCTTTGTGAATAAATCACACTGGATTAGTCATTGTCAGCTAATGCTGTTATCATGTGACTGGTATTGTGGACCAATGATGAACGTTAATTTACAGCATAATTGCGGGGCGCTCAAAGCGCTCACTGAGCGCTCACTGAGCGCTGAGCAAGGCAGAATTATTCCTCTTGACGATTGTTGGACCTGGTATGAGTCACACCACTGGTGCTGCTGCCTGGCCGGCTGGCGAATTTTATGACGTCATTTCCCAATATGGTCACATGTGTTGATCATTGCCTTTCTGGGACCCCTGCTTACCTAATCCGTCCTGATTCAGGACCGCTTAATAAGCGACCTTCAGCTGCCATCACAACCAGGAACCACCAGGTTTCTGCTCCATACTCGGCGGACCCTTATCATCGGAGGCAATTCACTATGGCTTATGGGAGCTCTAGGAATGGAAAGTTCATCATCCTTTCACATTCTATGCCTATTGAGTGTGGGAATGGGACACTTTTTACTGATCTCAAGTTGCGCTCTGATTGTCATACTCTAATATCCACGCCCACAAGGTTTGTACCTGATCATATCCTCCGTTGCTTGCGTTTATTCTCTGTCGTTAAGCACGACACATGTCTTTCATCATCTATAGCTTATCGGGTGAGTCGGTTCGGCCGTTTGAGGCTCGGCCAGGTCAAGTTTCTTCTAACTAGATTCGTGGATAGGACGAGGGTATTGAGACTCCTGTACTAGTAGTTAGTCAGTCGATACCTGATTTAGGTACAAGAAACAACATGTACCAGATTCGAAAGGTCTCTGAGCCATTTGTTCTGCATGGAGGAATCGAAAATATATACAGTCAACTCTCGCTTATACCACGGTGGGATATTGCACATTCTTGATAATAACACATCCCTTGCTTGGATGGCCCCTTCATTCCAGTTTTTTCCATATAAATTGACAGAATATAACACATTTTGTTTTACCACACTTTCTTCCTCTCAAATCTGCTTAGTCAGCGCAATCAACCAATCAGAATGCCTCAATCTACAAGCTCTCCTACCCTCCCGACCCCACCCAAGCGCGTCAGAATGGGACCAAAGCGTACCAAATTGGGTATATCAGACGCGCAGAAACAGGCACTACGGGCATTTTGGTCTAATACTAGCCCAAAGCCCACGCAGACTGCATGTGCTAAGTGGTTTGAGGACCAATTCAAACAAGTGATTGACCGGTCAACCATATCAAGGATCCTTTCATCCAAATACAATTATCTTGATACGGGCCCTGCAGGGGCAAACAAACGATCTTCATCCTCTCATTGGCCATTATTGGACCAAAAGCTATATGACTGGGCAGATAACCATATTGGCAATGGAATACCAATAAATGGCCCTTTGATCCAAACTAAAGCAGCTGAGCTTTGGAGACAAATACCGGAATACAAAGATGGGACCAAACCTCAATTCTCTGAGGGTTGGTTAACTCGCTTCAAACAACGCCACTCTCTTCAATATCATACTTTCCACGGAGAAGCTGCCTCAGTCCCATCCTCGGTACATGATCAGATCAAAAGCACCAAATCGATTTGCAATCAATTCAAACCGTCCGAAATCTACAATATGGATGAAACTGGCCTATTTTGGCGACGTATGCCAAATGGTGGTCTTTCAAAGGGAAAAATTGCTGGCAAAAAGCTTGATAAAACACGAATCACTATTGTTGTTGCATCAAATGCGGATGGTTCCGATCGAGTCCCTTTATGGTTGATTGGCACAGCAAAAACCCCTCGCGCACTCCGGGGGGTTAATTTCCGAGCTCTGGGATGTGTTTGGCGTCACAACAAGGCAGCATGGATGCGTCATGACATTATGGAGGACTGGTTGCGATCTTTCTATGGGCGTATTCCCTTAGATAAGAAAGCTTTGCTCCTTTTAGACAATGCTTCACCACATGTTATTGGACTCCAGCGAGCGCCACCACCACCCCGGATTACGGTTGTTTTTTTGCCAGCAAACGCAACTTCAATTTATCAACCCTTGGACCAAGGTATTATCCAAAACTTGAAGCACCATTATCGGAAGAAATGGATGCGCTATATGATTGCTTTTCTTGATCGTGGGATAGACCCAAAACAAAGAATGAGCATTTATTATACTGTTACCTGGGTAACGCAAGTTTGGAGAACAAGTGTATCAGACCAAACGATTATCAATTGCTTTAAACAAAGTACTTTGATTAGTCCAAAGTCTATACCTATGCCTGAGTCCGCGCCCGAGTCCGCACCTGAGTCTGCACTATTTTCCGAGCCCGGATTGAGTGATGAGATTGAAAGTCTATATAATCAAGCAATTGATAAGCTTGGTGATAAAGATATTGTGCCATTTGACGAGTTTTTGAACCCTTCGGACGAAGACATGTTAGAAGATGGGACTGAAGGGCGAGATGAGACCAATGAGCAAGATATATATATTGCCCCAACAACCTCAGAAATTCAGGATATTGACATTGATGGGCCCCCACCTGAGCTTCTGTCTAATTCTGCTATATTGGACAGCCTCCAGGATATCCTACTATGGGTTTGTAGCAAAGAAAAGGGTACCTCGGACCATATTAGACAAATTGAGAGCTTAATCAGCGACTTTGGCAGGATTCAGATTGATGAGAAACGTCAGGTGACTTTGGATCAGATGATGGGATGGAAGACTAAATAGGTATTAGGGCTTAGAGTTAGCTTGTCAAATATTATGTCATCCTCTCACCAAAACACAACTCAATTATACCACGTAATTTGGCTTGGATAGTATGCTGTGGTATAAGCGAGAGTTGACTGTATTTGCCCATTTTTTCGGATTCGGACGGCCACAAAGACATCGGATTCACATTCCAGGAAAAACTCCTTCGCTTTTTTGAACAAACTCCGCTTACGCCTATATCTTTGCTGAGATTTGGCTCTAACACTCTGTGACTGACGTTTGGCGACCATGGTTTTTCCAGCATACACACAGAAAGGAAGATATCATCTGGCTCGAGCTAGAACAGCCCATTATATATTCCCAACCGGGTCCCTGCGGGCCATGGCAGTTGACTGAGGTGAACTCCCTGCCGCCCTCTTCCCACAGGGAGGCCCACCCAAGCGAAGGCTCCCTCAGTGACCGTTCATGATATAAAATGGCACTTATTCTCTCATCTCCCTCAAGTGAACCTGCCCCCCTCCTTTCCTTCGAAATCGTTACATCTCCATATAGAGTATGGAGGTGCCTGCCATTTACGCGATTGCTGCGGGCGGCATATTTCTGGCCCTGTTTCTGATACAAACCCGCTATGTCCTAGTTGACTGGACAGAATCATTTTCTGTTTTACTTTCCGGACATCTGACCCTCCCTGTCCTTGTTCGTAGGCATCGAGTCCTTGGACCATGGACCCGAGCTGGTATCCTCGTTCATGTCTCTTACATCGCCGTCAACATCGCTCTGGTCTTTTTGCGTACCGAATCGCTGGTAGACTCGGGCCGCCGGGCGGGCGCGCTGGCCCTTATCAACATGATCTTTCCTCTATCAACCGCCCACCTTGGTTTCCTAGCCGGACTGCTTGGAATCACCTGGCATACTTGCCGTAAGATCCATCGAGCAACCGGTTGGACAGCTGTTGCTCTGCTGTCATTCCACATTATCGCCGAACTTCAAGGCAAAACATTTAGGTTTCCTCTCACTGAGACACGAAATCTGCTCACTGTGATCGTATGCACTCAATCAACTGTGGATTTGGCCTTGCTGACAGACGTAGGGTTCTTCCGCACTCGGTATCCTAGCTCTGTTTTCCATTCCATACTTTCGTCGTTGGTCTTATGAAATCTTTCTCCGAAGCCATCAGATACTTGCCGGACTTTTTGTCTATGGCACCTGGCAGCATATTCCTGCCCACGCCAGCTCGGCGAGACTGTACGTGTATGTGACACTGAGCATCCTGGGGCTAACAACGCTTCTGGAGTTGGCGATCCATTTATACCGCAACGGAATATTTTCTGGCCATGGTGCTCCTCGAGCCCTTGTATCATTCTCAAGTAAGAAAATACCAGGGAAAGCCTCCCCAGAATCACAGCTGCAAAGATCCAAATCATTTTACCTCGACCAATGCATGTCGAGCCTGGTCAATACATCAACCTCTGGATGCCGTCGGTAAGTTTGTGGTCATGGACTCAGACGCACCCTTTCACCATCACATCCTGGTCCAAGGGTAGACAGGATACTTTGAAGCTACTTGTGCAACCTCGCAATGGCTTCTCTGCAGATCTCGGACGCCATGGTGCGCTGCCCACAGATAGCTCGGTATCATTCTTAGCCTTATTTACCGGACCTCATGGACTCACCGAGGACGTCGATCCCTACGAAACCATTCTGATAATTGCGACCGGATTTGGAATCGCGACTTCGATTCCGTATCTAAAGAAAATGATTCATGGCTACAATACATGTACGTCCCGTACTCGCCGACTGCATCTGGTCTGGCAAGTAGATTCCATCGGTATGTGCATATACCACGGTCCTTCGTCCGATCGAAGCTAATGAGGAAGAAATGGTGAGCACGGCCGAAGAGCAGATCGATGATGTCCTTGAAGATGATATCATAGATAAGGGTTATGTTGGTTGAATCTTCCACGGAGTTTGTCCTTGTCACTGACGAACTACTACACTAGATACTCAGCATATCCATTTACGTGGAGCACGGCCTTGCAAATAGCAGAACACCGGTTGGAAAACATGAAAGGATATGCTATTACCAGGGCTTACCTGATTATCGCGAAATAATCTCAACCGAAGCATCTGGGAGTCAGATAGAGAGACTGCCGAACATCCCGGACGAGCCAGGTCGAACTCTTGTAATGGGTAAGCAGATTCCAACAAGCCATGGCAATCACTACTTCTAATATTTCCATAGTTTCCGCAAGCGATGGTCTCAGAGATCGCTTACGCGACATTGCAAGAGGCTATCTCCACCAGGGTGTTGAGCTTTCAGAGCTGGAATATCAGCCTGAGTAGGAAAACTACACGGATTACTACGAATTTCAGTGGAAGGCAGATGGATGTTCGATAGTAAATGTCTGTTTGTGATACAGGAGGTTGGAGGTTTTCTGCCTATTCACCTGTCTGAACTGTGTCCAATCATCTGGCTCCACCATTGTGTGAAGAAACGTGGTGGCAGAAATGGAACGTAGCCAAAAATGGAACCGTGGCCAAAAATGGAACCGTAGCCAAAAATGGAACCGTGGCCAAAAATGGAACCGTGGCCAAAAATGGAACCGTAGCCAAAAATGGAACCGTGGCCAAAACTGGAACGCGGTGGCAGAATTCGAACAGCGGCAGAATTGCTACATAGTGAGGGCTGGAGGATTGGCGATGTATCTGCCTCCCCGGAATCACAGGCTCTGCGGAATTTCCTACGGTAGTAAAAATTATTTCTAGACTATAAACTATTCAAATATGAATCGCGATACAGTCTGAAAAGGCGCCTGAAGGTACTTCGTTATCGTACAGCACAGAAATGCCATGAGGGCTAGATCACCGTAGTGCGGGTCAGTTGCGGGCCCATGCGGGGGTTATTTCTCTCGGAGGAACTATATTGCATTAGATACTGCTCACCCTCATCACCCAGTTCTCACCCGATCCTCACCTTCCACTTTCTCTGAGGTGAGAACGTTTTGCTCGCTCTGAGAATGCTCTGCTTTCGCGTGAATCAGGGTTTCTGGGCGCGTACATCATGAGCCCTTTCTTGCAGCGACCTAGCGCTTGCACCTCGCATCTTCCTGGCGGACCACAGTTGTGCCGACTTGAACGATTTCAATGATTTCAACGATTTCAACGATTTCACCATGGTTTTTGGGAACCCTCCCTTTACGAAGGGCAGGGGTTCGCTCGCCAGCACCCCCCACTCCTTCCAGGCTTATAAAAGGCCTTCTTTTCCTCCTGTTGCTTCTCTCCCTCCAAAACGTCAGGCTGGAGCTTTCTTCCTAGCTGTTAAACGGCGTCCTTTCCTTCCGTTTGCGTTGATCGCTGATTCTATCCATTCATTCATTCCTGCCTGGGTGTTACGCGGGCTGTTAATACCACCATGACGCTTCTCTGGGTCGGTCTGCAGGTAACCACCCGTCCAGTAAATTCAATAACGTTCCTCTCATTTCTCTCTCAGGATTCTTACCCGAAATGCGGTCAAGAGTGGGATGAAGACGATTCCTCCGACGTAAGTGAGCCTTAACTCGTTACCTCGCTTTTGAACGGTGCTAACTCAGGAATAGCTGGTAAACAGACTCGGCAAAGTCCTGGAGGAAATCGGACAACTAGATCAGAGGCAGATGGCAGAAGTCTTGGTGCGTGCTAAATGGGCGGGCTTTGCCAGATGGTACATGCTGGCGACCCTCGATGGGATGCCTTTTTCCTCAACTTATCGAAACAACTGCCATATATCGTTCACTGTTCTGGTTGGCTTCAGGGTGAGCATATTCTGCCCAAGGTCTTGGAGGAGCTGGGAGCTGACTTATCAGGAATGCGTTCGCGCGGCGGACGCTCTTCTTTTGGATGAGAAGCACCTTGCAGCTGTAAGTCGTCTGCTTCAGTTACTATATTTCGCCCTAACTTTCGGTAGCTCGTTCGGCGCTTTGGAGCCGACCTGGAACAGCTTCGGAAGCTAACGATGCCTCAGCTGCGTACAGTGGGCATTGGACTCGAATGTGCTGGATTTGTGGATGAAGTTTACGCAGCAGAGGCTGTTCAGGATTGGTCTACACCAGCACCAGGTAATATGGAATGCGACCGCGGTATTTTCGTCTTATCTGACTGCTAATCCTCTTTTGAAGAAAGCACTATTACTGGTGCTATGCAACCCGCTCCGTTCCTTCCACCACAGCCTCCTTACGACCTTGGTTTTTCAACACACGATGCATTAACCGCCCTTGGCGATTCTCAACCGTGGATAAGTTCTCTGAATCTACTTGATGACGCAGACTCCAGTTTGGCGGACTTGCCTTTGCTCACCAATAAGCCCTCGGAAAGTGCTTCTCCCTTCACCGAACCGAACCTTTCCAGTGATCCCAACTCGTGCGTTGAGATGACTTCACCCGTGACCGCACATACACCTGGAGATGGAACGCCATTTCGATCTTCACCTTTGGACTCGTATCCGAGTCCGGGCGAAAGCGAGCTTCCAGGCTCGGAGACTCACACTATGATAGCGCCTCACGCCCCTATAATTTTACCGAATGTTGACGAAGGAGCTTCATATTATCCGACGCCACCTTCGTGTGGCAATGAAGTCTCCAATGTGGGAGAGCAATCTATCCGGCCGGAATCTGGCCGCCTTATGGCTAGCCAAACAGAAAATATGGATGAGCTTGTTAGTACCAACGCGGACGATTTATCCGTTCCAGTGGCGCTCAATTATAGGGTGCAGAACGTGAAACGTTTGCTCTTTTCTTGCGATGCTACGCTTAATGACATTCGAGTTCAGCGCATCCTCCATGTGAGCGCAAATCCCCTCATTGCGGAGGGTCTCGAGCAAACGCTATGGCCCCTGTTGGGCCATTGGAATTTGTCCGAGTCACTCGACGTATCGGCGCTAGGCCTCCCAGTGCAATGGAGAGGCATAGGTGCAGCTGCAAATTACCTCAAATTACTTGATTCCGATGGGAAGCCATCTCATTTGAACCCTATTGCAGTGCGCCTTGGACAGGTATTGCTGTACTTCAACTACGAAGACCTTTGCAGAAACCGGAACAAGTTAACCCATCGTACCTCGGACAAGGCTGATAAGACTCATGTACTGAATAACATACTCGAGGAATACCAGGACGATCCTCTCCTTAATAAGGGAGAACAGGTTCGCCGCAATCGGGTCACAGGCTACCACCTTCGCCGCGGCAAATGGTGGTGGAGAATTGCGGGTACCGTAGGAGTCGGTATACTTTTACTGGGCAACACTTCTTTAGTACACGACATGTATGTCTTCCGCTGGTTCATGCGTGGCTCGGCTGACCCTTGTGAATAGGTGCATCAAGAGCTTTACTGATGCTCAGCTCAAAGCTTTCGTCACACTCTCTCTGAAAACCCAGTTGGGGTCCAAACGTATATTTGAGGCGACGGAGTCCATGGTCAAATCTCTCATATTTGGCCATGTCACACACGATCCTTATGCCTTTCTCTTCAATAATGATTGCGGTCTTCTTAGGCCTGAAGAATTAGCACTGGTCCGAAATGAGGACGAACAAGCCCTACTTACTCAGCTCTCTCAGACGTGCTGGGAAGCTGTGGATATTGTGGAGAATGCAAGGCGTAAAATGATGAATTATCTCGGCTGGGAATCGGACAAGTAGCACCAGTGCGACTGTAGATCCCATGTGTCGTAATCCTGGAAATAGATATGCACTAGATGACTTTTCGAAAACTGTAATCGTTGCCACTCCTCATATTCGTGACTTGAGTCTTCCCACCGGTATTGAGACAATTCTGCAATCGTACGCATAATCCTCCATTTATCTCTAGAGCTCGGTTGTTAAAGGCAACGAATGTCAATCTAAATTCCCTTCTCTGATCTAACTGCTTTATCCGGCCCTTTTGCCCCGGCCTTTATGCTGGACCTCCGTTTGGATTCCATGTGTACGAGTAGAACGTACGAGCGGATATCAGAGCAAACCAGGCCAGGCCGATGAGATCGCCGAGACTCCACCGAATTTCTGTCAAAAAGGGTTGCTGAAAAACAATAAGCGAGTTCGGAGCGAAGTTACTGGGTGGCTCACAAACCTTTTTCAGCTCTTCAAAGGAGCTGGCCGAGGTAATCGCAGAAAGAAATTCTATGGCAGCTGGGCAAGTTGACCAGCGTTCAAGATCATCAATACCGACCACCCCGTCGTCCTTGGCGTAATTTTGCATCAACTCCATCATGATTCTCGACACAGGCGCTAGGTCACTCGCTTGGACCCGGCTTGTCTGCCGGGGGATACAGCAGTCAACCCGCGCTGTTCGTCTGTCAGGCAACGTTTCGGAAGAGGCGTCCTTGCATTCGGCTTACCGATCTTGACCTCTCCATTAAGATTCATGAGGACGCTGGAGCAATATAAAGCAGTATGATGGAATCCCTGGGTTACTAAATGAGCCAGTCCTTCCAGAAACTACACATTGTTAGCAACTCAGCCTTTCAGTGCAAATATTCTATGCACAAACCTGGGACATAATAGCAGCGAGTTGCTGCTGGTCTGGGAAAGCTTTGCAGGCAACAATATGATCTAGTGACAGCGGGTCAAATTCGCCAAGAGTGTACAGGGCATCGGAGGTGCGGAAAAATTCCCAGACGGAGGCGACATTCTTATGGTTTGTCGAACGGAGAACCTTCAGAATTTTGTCACTGTCCCTGCTGGAGAATCGCCGAATCGCCCGTGCAGCACGCCCATCGGAAGCTCGAACGCATACAATCACTGTTCCGGCTAAATCACATTCGTAGTATTTCTTGTAAGTATCCCAAGGGGACTCATTCCGTATATTAGAATCCGAGCCGGTAGGGCTGTTCGCTTGAAGACTCATGGCTCGTGGCGAACCTCTGATGACCTTGCCTCCAGGCTCAGAGAGTGAGGATGGAGGGGATATATTTGGATGGGATCTGGAAACGAAGTGCCCCGACTCTGATTTGAGGTCGGAAGATGGCGACACCGCTTCGTTTTCGGGTGGGAGTTGCAGCAGCAATGCAATCTGAGAAGGTTGGACTCTTGTGGCTCGCTTGTCAGCCTTTGACTTCATGATCGGGCTGCTCATAGTTCAATCCAGGTGAGAAAGTAAAGAAAAGATAGCTTTGCAAAGGACTACTTGTCGTAGTCTTTTAACGGCTCCCTGGTGTGATGTGCTGCGGGTCACTGAGGGGCCCTGCAGGGATGTGGCAAGAAAGAAGTACCACGCTAGGCAGATTGGCTGAATTTGGCCGGGGCCAGTATAAATGACGCTCGATCCTGAATTATGCCGTGAGATCCTATTCTTTCCTGTTGCTTTATCTTGCAATGAGCCGCGCTCTGTTTACCGAAGAAGAGGTGCAACTGGCAAGTGAGCGGCGACTGAAATATATTGGAACAGCGAAAGTCAGCATTAGTCAAATCCAGTTCGATCCTCCTTTGCCTCGGGATCTAGATCCTAAGAATTTGGATCGACTTCGCAGGGTCTTCCGCCAGAACCGTTGTCGCCGTCTAGATGTTGACAATCATGTCCCTGCTATCGTGTCGCCACATGATCTCGCCGATGCGTTGAGGAAGGCCAACATATCACAGCAGTCACTATTGACGACGGATGCTCGTCAACTACCCAGAATTAGTTTTCTGGAAGGGCAGCTACTTGGGCTTCATGGTCGTCACCGCGTCCAGGCCGGAGCTGAGGTGCTACCTCCTGCTGATCGTTGGTGGACGGTGGATCTTTACTCAGATGGTAACTATGTCGAGAAAAGATGGCTAATCATGTGCTGACAATCATGGTAGATATTGGTGCAGAACTCAGAACTTCCTTGGTGGAGGAATACGCCAACGAAAGGAAGCCGACCGACGGTGAAATCTATCGCAAGATTCGACAATACGAGGGCGATTACGATGAAACCTTCCGGGAGCGATGGTTTGTACGTCTATCGCGCAGCAACCAAGAGCGTTTGGATCAGTTGGACAATAAGAAAAACCGCCGTATTCGAGGTGCCTTTGACAGGCTACTAACGATTCCTGGACTTTGGCCAGGTGGGATGAGGATTAGTGTAGTTCACAGACTGATAGCCTCCGGATGTGTTGAAGTGAGTTTCAGAAAACTGCCCCTCTTCCACCGTGCTAATCGAACGCTTTGTCCATAGTAGGAGACTATAACTTATCTGCATCATATCTGGGACTTCTGGTCCTCCTTGGTTGCTTCGGACCACGCTTCCCTCAAGAGGATCGACCAGAATACTGTGGAGCTATTGCAGCTGCTGGCACCTGGTAAATCACGTACAGATGGGCGAACAGCCTGTGGAATGATCCTTAGTGGCCAAGCATTCGCCGAGTTCAGCGACGAAGAGCGACGGATCATATGGTCCCGAATGCAGAATTTTGACAGCATGATCCCGTCTTTGTATACCTTCTTCGAAGACTTCAAGTACCTAGAGGCCTGTGCCCACTGTGTCAAGCGCCTCTGTGGTCCGATCGATATGTCGATCTGGAGAACCATGAGTTCAATATTCAATCCACCCTCAGAAGAGGGAACCGCGACTTCAGGGGCAGCGGATTCCCTCATCCAGACCTCCGAGTCTACTTTCCGACGCCAGCCGGCAACTGATATGGAACGCCTCGAGACAGGATATTTACAAATATGGCTTTACGCAATGAGGCACTATACGTTAATGCCCCCGGACCCAAAGAGCGATGACGAGTTGTTGGCAAAATCAACTCGTGCCAAGCCCGATGAGAGGGCGATTTACGAGATGGCTGAACTCGCTCAACAGCTTGGCTTTCAGTCCACCGAAATCGATGCACTGATCAAGAGTTCACCTGATCATCAGATCGCACGATCCGCCCTCCTACAAGCCCGAAAGCCCAACCGGTATCGATACGATAGCCAGGATTTTGATCTTTTGGTCAATCAGATTGTGAGCTGTTTCGCCAAGGCTGTTTCCGTTCGACTGGAGCAGCCTCAGGGTCTTCTGGCGGATAGCGCAATGAAGCTAAAGACTCGATCCGGGGAACCCCAAACACGGACTCACAAGCAGGATGGACCCTTGCTGTTCTTGGACCGTTTGCACGCTGATGTTGAGGTTGCCGACAATGTCACCAGCTTTTTCGTCCGCCGTTGTGTATATTTTGCATTTTTCGGAAAGTCTGCACGGATTGCGACTAGCCATGTCAACCAATCCGAGGACATTGGTCCAGATCAAGGAATGGGGGAGATGCCTCCTTCGCCAATGTTCGTCGAAGAGGACGACTTCCCTGTTACTCATACACCCGCACCAGACCCCCATCCACCTCACGGGAAACAGGGAGAGACACAGGAGCGGACAGCTGAAGTGATTGCAGGACGAGGAGGCAGTGAAAGTCAGCAGCCATTGCGGACGGACCAAAAAGAAAACGCGAGGCGTCGACGGCGAAAATTTCAAATACGCCGAGCTGTCTCGCGTCCGGAGGGGGATATGCACCAAGAGCCAATGGAGTTGGAACTGCCAGAAGTGAATCATGACCAGGTTATGTTAGACCGGAGTAGGTCGCCTGAAGAAAGTTCTATCTCAGTCGGGCCTCAAAGCCAGCCGGAACCGGTCGAACCAGCGACGGTCATCACGCAATCTTCCCATGTCTCTGCTGTGCCGGATGTTGACGATAGTAGGAGTGACTGCACACGAGTCCCTTTGGACGCAGTTCCGCTCGTGGAGGACCAGGAAGAGCAAACAATGGTCGAAGAGGCCGATAAAGACGATGCTCCTGATGACCAGACACGGGTCGATGGTAACGTACGGCGAGTTTCTCCAGAACCAGAGGCAAGCAATTCCTCGGTAAACAGCCAACCCCCGCAGGAAAACTTAGATGAATTTCTTGCCAGTTTGAGGAGAGCCCAGGAAGAACAGGAACAATTGGAAGAGAGGTTGGAAAATGAGCGGCTGAATGAAGAGTTTGACTTACCAGGGCAGCCGCCTGACGAGACTTCTCGACTAGAAGACAGACAGGATCCATCATCGTCGAGCTCTGAAAACCTACAGGAAGAGTCTGCGACTAGAGAAGTTCTTGCAGCTGCTTCAGAGACCACCACCGACGAGGCGCCTGCAGAACATGTCCACCCAGGATCGCCAGACCCCGTTGTAGATCACCCACCGCCTCCTCCAGTTGTCGAAGATCTGCGTGCCCATACACCCTCCGCAGCCGATCATATGCCATCAAAGACGGCCGAGGATCGGGTCCCTCAAAATCACATTGAGATTCAACTCTGGTCCCTTGAACGAGGAGAGTGGAGACGGTCTGACCGTCTCCACATAGATCCGTCGAATCCATCGTTGATGGAACGAGTGGCGCAGAAATACTTATGGAAAAATTATTCACTGTACGATAAGGATTTACACAACCTAAGGCCGGCCCAATGCTACCGCGCAGCGACTGCTGACGGCAGCAATGCCTTATTTGTGGTGTCCGAGCATGAGGAAAAGAAGCTGGCGGCCGAAGGTCGACTTGTAAAGGAGAAGAACCTTCTGTGGATGGCATCTCGAGTCTTAGACCGGGTAGAGGATGTAAGGGATCCTAGGCACTCATGAGATACCCATCTTAGGACATGCATAGTCCTATGTGGCTTGAAATAAGAGCGTACTACAGATAAGACGTATGGCACCCTGAGAGAAATCTAACAGGAGTGGTACTGGAGTGAGATTCTGCTTTTGTGTCTATGATAGAGCTATGTAGAGTATCCTGGAAGTGATAACATGAAAGGACGTTGACAAAAGACTATTTTCAGCTAGCTCATTTCAAGAGTAAGGGTCACTTGGAAGGCCGAGAATAAGAGACTTCTTTCGAGAGGGCTTGGCTCATGGGAGAATCCTCTTGAGAGGAAACCACTCACAGTAGGGCCTGCTGAAGAGCACAGGCGACACAGAAGGCCACACGTCATATGAACTGGTTCTTCGTACGACTTCCCTTCTAGTCCAATCATTCTAGGCCCAGACCAGTCCCGATCAAGGTGACCAGCCTCTTTCTTGAGAAGTCTCTTCGCTTAGAGGTCATTTCTCTGAAAGGTCCTTGAATATTGAGGTACGGAAGTGAGAGGCGCTCGATCGCGGATATAGCTAGCAGCCTGGACTATAGCCAGCGGCATAAACTCGAGCTCTTCCATCAATTTCTGACTATCCTGCGAGCCAAGGACCTATTGATTATCGCCACCCATGTCACTTCACAACCTCATGCATAACAAATTCTGGTAGCACGAACCCAACACCCCTCCCGCGTTGATCGTTTCGTCGAGAAGCCTGTTGAGTTTGCGAGAACCTAGATCAATGCGGGTAACTGTTGAGTCTAATCTCCATCAAGTGGAGACTCTCTCGCCACTCCTAAGGTAGATTAATTCACAGATAGCCCAGGCCAGACCAAGCTGTGCAAGGGCTCACAAGTATGCAACGCGATTTTCCCCATCGTAACCGAGCTAGCCGTTTCGAAGCCCATTCGGTATCCGATTTGAATCTACTAATAAAAGTTGATAAAGTTATACACTTAATACCGGGCTGGGGTAATAAGGAAAGGATGGGGCACGGTGGGGATATAGTTGCCAGATGGCAGTCAATACGTGTGTGCACTACTGGTATTGGCTTACTCCTGCTGCACTGATTTGGAGGCACATTTCGCCCCCTAAACCGCTGCGCTACAGAGACACAGCGTATTCGATTAGCTCAAAATAATGGGCTTATTTACCCGATTTCTAAATTCATATATAAAGGCAGACTGTCCATAGGGCTCTGTATGTCTTCCTCCCTTTATTTTAGTTCAACCTTTTGTTACGTACGTGTTGGACTTTGAATATTTCGAGATGAAACTTACATATGTTCTTCCAATTGTGTTATTTTGCAACATAGTGCAATGCGGACCGGCTTCCCGTCGAATGTCAGATACGGTGGACACGGATTTTGTGTCTTCAAAATCCCTTCCTAGGAGAGCTCTACTAAATGGATCGATCCCAGAAGTCCAGAGCCATTCTGAGTAAGCACTCCATTGGAACATCCTAAAATATTAACTGATCATGCCCGGAACTTAGAAAACTGCACACCCTTCTGCCTCGGCAGAACCCACACGATTGGCAGCTTCCCAGTTCTGGTAAAGCCGTCTTACAAGTGGGCTCAATTTTTTTAACAGCAATTGTGAAATCGGCGACCGAGATCGTCTTTGAGCTCCTGAACACCAGCGTGTCCCAGTACGGCATTACGTTCCGAGAGTATGCAACGGGACTGGACGCAGGCTCCGTGGAGGTAGCGAGTGGCGGTGTTGGGAAATTCAACCCTCGTGGTTCGATCAAACCGGGAGATTTTATTCAACTGGGCCTCTTGGATAGAGGATAGTGAAAAAATTCTACGCAGGCAAATAGGCGATGCTATTTGATGGAGATGGAGATATGCGACTGGGGGATTTTGTTCCAGGCCGCAGCGCAGTTCGCTGTTGGATCTTGCAGATGGGTCTCCATTCAGTTCTATGGGTATTTAAAGGACGGCATTTCTCAACTTTCTGGTGCTTCATAATCCATCTGTGTTTTTTCGCCCGGAAGGTATTATTGCTGTTATCATAACTGAGCCTATTTGGAAGACGGCTCGACCAGATTTGGGAAGAGTCCAAGTGCGTCTCTGCGCGAGTTATGGCAAATTCGGAGTTTTCAATTCTATGCAATTGACTCTAAATAATCCGTCTACGTCGGTATTTCTTCAATAATACAGTAGTAGCTCGACGGTTTTGCCTTGCGCCCAGATCGCCTAGATTTTCGACGCAACGTTGTGGCGTCAACTCGGTGATCGAGAGACCATTAACCAAGCTTACTGTTTAAAAGCGTATTTGACCCTCCAGATATTCACTTTAGGACCCACTACCGAGAATTTTTTTCTTGATACTGCTTCATTTTCCCGCTACTTATGCTCGTTCTTCTAGCGCGCGGGATTCGTATGGAACTTCTCTGGTCTATATTCTTGCTGGATACGGCAAACGCGATTTCATTCCAAATTGGAAGTAAATGGATACCGAGTCAATGGCTTCGTTGATTCATGGCCGGCTTATTCTTGTTTTTGAAGTCCCTGCATCGGATTCGGGCATCGCCAGCGACTGCGCACGCGATGCACATCAGAGGCATGGCGCTGGAACGCCATTCGATGTAGCAAACCTACTTCACACCAGTTGCATTTGAGTGGTTCTTCTTTAAGATGAATAGCATCAAAATGGCGCGTAACACACCCGGGATCATGAAACATCTGAAAGCGAACCTTGTCCGGAAGCCCTTCACTTGCGAAGCATTGAAAGCATGCCTCTGGCTGCTTAGCAGTTTCGAGGTACTCCTGGTGGCACGTAACGGCTTGCCACATACAGGGGCAGGTACCTTGCAGGATTCGATATCATTTCGGGTCTGCTGTAAATCCTTCGGCTGGGCTATCAGTCCAGCCGGCGAAGCAGATTCAGGAGCTTTCTGTTTAGGCCGGCCCCTCAATGGGCCTCCTTCAAGGACGTCACAATACTGGACAACTGCTTCAGTACCCGTATCGCGCCGATGCCACTCATCCTCCAACGAGTTAGAAACAGGGTAGGAAAGAAGGCTCTGCACGAGATGCAACTGAAGGGGGTGCATGGTGTCCTCCAAGGAGGGGTTGTCTTCATTCTCTTCCTTGACCGCAGCGCCCGACAGCTGTGCCTCGATATCCAAAAAGGCTTGCTCTTCATCAAATTTCTCTCGGATCTGATGCCGTAAGCTCCGGTGTAGCCTTTTCCGCGTATTTCTCACCTCCTTCTCCCGTTGCTGGAGTCGGAGAAGCAGGCCGGGTTGCTGAGTCTCTTCGTATTGCGCACGTATCTTGCCTAGATTGCGCCGGGCCTCTTCCAACTCGGGATGATCTTCAACTTGCGCCCTTTGTTGAGGAGTCAAGTAGCGTGGGCGTCGCGTGTCTCGCCAACGGCTTTGCCGGGTAACGGCTCGCATCAGTTCCACATCCGGGTCGAGGCCACAGATAACTCGGATCATGTCGGTGTCGATTTGCAAGGGATGATAGTGGTTGAGAAAGGTGTGAGGGCTAGCATGCTTCATGATCAACATATGTTGCTCCTTGCTCACCCACCCTGCGGACTACATCAGCCACCAACTTGACAGGGCAAATCAAATTCGCAGTATCAAAAGAAGAACTCACCGCTTTCGTTGATCACTTTACCACTTCCATACCGGAACTGATGGGCGTGAAATGCCCCTTTCCACCCGCGAATCTCGCCAAATGTGACCAGCAAGGTGGACATCGTAGACTTGGGCATCTGTATAGTCCGTTGAATGGTTGGAACGCCCATGATCAACTCCGTTTTGCAAAAGATATACCATTCAGACTTTTTCGGATCTAAAGGCACCAGGAGCTGCTCACAGCCTTTGCTGATGAAAAGTTTCCGCAGCTGAGCCTTCGAAGTCAGCCCCTGATTCCGGAACGCCCGCGCGTGAAACAGGACGCCAAAAAGCAATGTGTGCGGGCATATCACCAAAGACGGCCCGTAAACGATTTCGGGAAGTGCAAAAGTCGTTCTGTTGATAAGTTAGCTGCATCACCCTAGTCAGCCATTCCAGAGATGACAAGAAGGATCTGAAGAGATATCATATATCTGGAGGTGAATGGGAAAGTGAGAGGGAGAGACAGAAATTGCGCTTGCCGTACAATTTGGTGAGACCGAGAAACTTTTTGTCCCTTCGGGAGTAAGTTCGATCATAGGGACGGGTGGGCCTCCACGGGGATCCTTCTGGAGGGAGATCTGCAGGTCCTTGAACTGCAGACTCAACAGGGCGCTTTTCCGGTGCAGCGTAAAGATACCGAGAGAGTTGAACAGACACACTTGGATACGTTGAAAGCCTAGATGGAACTTCTTCTCCTGTGTTGATAAGATCGTTTCATTAAACGGGCCGACATCCTCGATATAAACCGGCGTCTTCTTTCCAGGCTGCGTGTCCAAGCCAAACTCCTGGACCAAGTACTTCATACCCTATAATCAACGGTAAGTCAAGGATATCAAGCTGGATCGGGATAAATTTGGAGGCATAATGACCCTTCGTATCTCTGAGCCATCTTCATCTTTGATCACAATCTTGGTGAGCTTTTGATAGTAACAGCGAAGGTTTTTCCAGTCGGTCTCGAATGTGCTAGCTTTGTTGATGCCCTTTATATGTCGACCATCCTCGCCTCGCTCGAGCTGGAGACACCAGCGTAGGAAACGATACATATCATTGTTCGACGCCTGGCGCAGCGCCTTCTCGGCCTCGCGCCATTTTGGTTCATTGGGCCTGTTTCGTACTTGGCTAACACAGTACCTGTATCCGCGTTAGAGATCTCCCCGTCAACGCCTCCGGTAGCGATGTACCTCAGTGGGTCACTCACCTTTTCCACCGACTCTCAATCCGCTCTCGTCGTTCAATAGTCCCCGGTGCTTTGTCAAAATCCTCGGGGATTTCAGAGAGATCAACCCCACCCTCATCCAGTGGGTCCTCGTAGAGCTCTCCAGCATCATAAGAGACCTCTGGCTCCAAGGCAAGGTTCTCATCGGGTCGGAGACGTTTTCGTGGGCTGGAAACGTCTTCCAGCTCCGTCAGATCCGTCTCGTATGTAGCATCGCCCCGCTCTGAATCGCTAGAAGTAACCGCAATAATGTCATCCCCGCCAGAGTCGCTTTCCTGATTTCTAGTCCGCTGGTGTCGAGAACGCTTCATGGTCGAACTCAACGGATTTGAAGGGACGGCGAGGGTGCGGAGGTTGAGAAATGAGACTACAAGACCGCGAAATAATGAAGTGGCTGGTAGGTCACGAGTAGACGGTCGGCGACTGATTTCTTTGGGACTGTGCACCCACAGCTGGGAGAGCAAATAACAGACCAAGGAAGCACGAAGAAGAGAAGAGAACAGACGATGGGCAAAGAAGTAGTCTCGGTGGAGGGAGAGGGAAAGCTTGGGGAACAAGAAAATATACGAAAGAGAAAGGGGCCATGGCGGGCAGATACAATCTTGACCAGGTGCTGAGAAAGTGAGGCCATTTTTGGCGCCTTCGCGAACGCCGAGCTAACACTGGCCGTCGCTGAGGTCCAGGAACTGAACTGAACGGCTGCTGGTGGGGCGGGGGTCTTTTGCGAGTGGGTCTAACTGGTGCGTGGTGGTAGCTGGACGTGGGCGTGTCGTGACGGCGCTGTCACGTGTTACCAGATGGCGGCCGAAAAAGACGACCCTCGAGGCCGAAAATGGCGGACATTTGGTAAGCCCAAGTTGTTGTAGAGGCCATTTTCGATTATGAAAAACCGGAAGCAAACCAAGAAGAATTTGTGGCTTTATGGTGGAGAAATGAGTAACTAAAAACCAATTATATTTCTGTGTTACAAATTCGCCACACCATTGGCCAGCTATTACTCCTTTCTCCACCTTGGGGTAACGGTGACGCTGCAGTCTTCGAACAAGGGTCGGAGCTGTAGAAGGAGAAATCCAGCTTAACGTAAGTATGTCAATTTACGCCGGAAAAAAGGGTCTACTAAGGTACATTTATTCTGTTAGGACAGTCGACTTAGCAAATCCCCTTAGGAACTAGAATAATTTGCTTAAAACATAGTAATAGCAGAGTGAAGGCATAGCTTTTCTATTATCCTTCTTTCCACCCTTGTTATTTGTATATAAGAAATTAGACACCGTAAAATATATATCACCTCACGATTGAGGTGCATACCTAGCCCCCGAGTTATATAGATCTCGAAAAGCATAGAGAATGCCTATGTACCAACGGAGAACTATGACGATATAACTAGGCTTTGCCCGTGAGACAACCACGCTAGCGAATTGTAAAGAAGTAGGGTTCTAGTGTTTACAGGATAGAGCCTGTCAACTAGGTAAGATGAAGATGCCTGGAAGCGAACAATATATTGGAGGAATACAGAGACTGATTCTTGGAGAACCGATGGGTTCTCCGGAGCAGATTATTTAACATGGGGGATCAGCGTTACGGTGAACCAACACTGACGTGTCGACACCTATATGGTGTCGATCCTCTGGGAGTGCGAGAGATCTGTGCATGGCGTCTGAGGATTCCGTTACAGTTTTTCGGCCGAAAAAACAGCTGAAAAAATGGAGGCATATACTGCAAATACTATTGAAATCCTCCTACCTTAAAATATGCTTTCTATAGCTTCCGACACGCCTTCTGATCGATGGATCTGTGACACAGGTGCCGACGTCTATTTTACGGCTTTACCTAGCAACTTCATGCCTGGTACGGCAAAGCTAGTCTCTATCCGTATTTAGATAGTCTCCGGCACCACGATTGAAGAAGGTCTACGCGGAGATATCTGTATAAAGCTTTCCGGA